CACCTGACCGATAGCAGTGTTGGTAGAACACAACCTCAATAACAAAATGAGTGCAAGGCACCACTGTCAATATTACAAATTGAAGACTCAATACAGAGCAAGCAGAATCTGCACATGGATAGAATCCACGTTGTAAAAAGCAACACCCACTGGCCCCAAACTTCCACTTTACCTGGAATACTGACGAGATATGACTGGAGACCTTGGACCTTGGTTACGGTGAGAAAGAAATGCCCCCCCCCCCCCCCCCCCCCCCGCGCTAACAAATATGCCAGAAAGAGCTGGCACCGGTCATAGAAGCATCAAATGAAAAAGAGGGAGACGTGGAACAAAAACGATAGCCAGAAAGTGGGAGAAAAAAATAATTGCACTGGGTGGATGTAGGCCATACCTTCGACGACGAGCCAAGAGTTTTCTCCTTCTTCTGTGCATTGTAGCGACGGCTATCGTAGTAACTAAACACACACAATCCGATAAAGCACACAGAAGTAAGCAGCGGGCAACATGTTAGTCTAGGCAAGCGGACCATAACTAGAAACAGGAACCCCAACAGCCAATACAGTCATGTACCGTAATGTTGCGTATTAAAGCCGGGCTTATTCCTGTAGAAGCCGATGTCAGAGCCAGGTTTATATTCACATCAGGCTTCTATTCAAACCCGGTATTTCTATGTGTGTCAACACTAATACCAGGCTTATGAGCTGGCAGTGTATCTTGAAAATCAGGCTTCTATATGAGATAGGCTTTAATACAAGACACTACGGTATGCTCTACGGCTATCGGAAGATACCAGTCTTTGCAGCAGCAGCAGCAGCGATGGCGCAGATCGCAAGTTAACACGCACAGCACATAATGGTTGCTCACAGCAAGGCTTCAGATTCCAGACAACTCACTACTCACCGTTTGGCGTTGGCATACGCTGTGAGCGACAGATCAATCTCCACCTTCTTGCACTGCTTGCGCAAAGCCTGAAACACCATACCAAGGGTGAACAGAAGGCACAGGGCAACAAACCAGATCAGCCAGGTGTAACAACGCTCAGCATTTAAATTGGCAAAAGCAGCCCAAGAGGTCCATGCACTTGTCCACGTGTGTTACTCGTAAACCCAAACTGGAGCCCCAAAGTCTCAAAATCATGCCTGTATGAGACATTGCACAAATGTTTCACTGAACACGTCTGTGAAGACTACTGCATTTTCCGGAATACAAGCCACACATTTCACACTCGCAATTCAACCAAAACAGTCAGTGCAGCTTATACTACGATGATCAAATGAACGGTGACATACATTAACAGGGTGGATGTCTGTATTTCATACAGGGTGGATGTCTGTATTTCATACAGGGTGGATGTCTGTATTTCATACAGGGTGGATGTCTGTATTTCATACAGGGTGGATGTCTGTATTTCGTGACCAAAATCTAGCTGTGGCTTATACTCCAGTGCGGCTTATTCTCTGGAAAAATACGGTAAGCCTGCTACAGTATAAGTAGGGTAGCATAGCAGGAGCTAACACTGTTCAATAGTCATTCCAAGAGCAGAATACTATTCGGGTCAACTACACGTTACATGTACATGCATTACAAATATGCAACGCCTCTTACTTTCGCTCGTGCCTTCGCCTTAGCAACTCGCTCCCCCTCAGACAAATCCGTATCGTCATCATCTTCGTCGCCCGAGAGCTCCTCAAAGGGATTCCTGCGCAACACATCGCAGAGAGGTACGTGAGCATGATAAGGACAAGTCATTGTACATCAAGACAATGGTCAGGGACCTCAGGCAATGTACATGTACATGGCACTGTATGTGGAACAGAATAGAACTTCTCATTGGCACATTTACTGGTCCAATGTACAACGTAACACCTACCCTACACCACGCCACTGAGGGGGAAACACTGAGGGGGAAACATATGTTCCCTTTTGGGAACATTGGCCAAATTAAGGAAAATTAAATAAATTTTAAAAACGATTACAGACGCAGCAAAATGTTAAAACATGGAAGCATGCACTCATGCATGCATGTGCACACACATGCACACATACACACACACATACATACACACACACACACACACACACACACACACACACACACACACACACACATTTCAGACATCTCACCGCAGGGACATGACGAAGGCATTCCTCTCAAAGCGCAGATCAGTGATGGTACTGGCCACAGGGTCACCCTGCTGCTTAGCCTCTCGTATCATTACAGCTATGTCGGCCCAGTCGGCAGCACTGGCAATCGCACTGTTGAGTACCAACAGAGCACGCTCAACCTGCAAGATAAAACAAAAACCAGAACTCATCCACCTCATCATTTGTAAACCAACTCAAAAGTGAACATTCAAAGTTTGTGACAAAAGTTCGCTGAAGCTTGGAAATGATACATCGACAAAAGAGAGAGAGAGAGAGAGAGAGAGAGAGAGAGAGAGAGAGAGAGAGAGAGAGAGAGAGAGAGAGAGAAAGAGAGAGAGAGAATGAGTGAGAGGGGCACACACACGCACGTTCCCAGCACTAACCAAGTCAACATTCATCTCAATCAAGCCAGCTTTCTCTTCACTCTCCTCCTGAGATGGCAGAATGGACAGAACAGATACAGGGCCGTCGACAGATGACGTTACAGGACAATACTGGCACATGATCATCAATTTAGCCGAGTAGTTACCACAGTAACACTAACAGTAACACAAACATGCACAATCACCTTTGCTGATAACTGGCAGAATCTGGTCACCTGGGTCTCGCATTTTAATCACACCACCACTCTACAATGCGCTCTCAGCCGACCCATTCCACTTGCACATCACCGCCACAATGAGGACAATTCCGCTGAGATAATATGATTTTGCAGGCCCTCGACATAGCTGTTTCGCTCCAGCAGAGCTCATCAGTGGAGGGAATATCAACATCTCAACAGAGTTGTCCTCGCTATGGTGGCGATGGTGTGCAAGTGGAACGGGTCAACCAGAGAGGTGGAGTGGATGACACGATTCAATTCGCTTATTAAAGCGGAAAAAAGGCACCTACTGGTCGACAATCCCCCGAATCCCCAACAAACTGGTGGATTTTACATATGACCCCAGTCATGGGCGAGGACAAAGTGCAGAAAAAGGACACACGCATACATACCATTACATGTACTTCAAGTACATGAGTACACACATCCAGTTGCGCTCACTGAAATCCGACCCAAAGTGCAAAACTGGCGCCCTGGACCAGTTCCGATTACATCGCTGTACTTGTACAGGTGTTCGTCCAGCAGCATTCGTACCACCTCCAAGCTATCAAGGGCCGTGCAAGTAAGATGACGGCGCGAAATAAGCACTTGGGGTCGGATTTCACCGAGCACAACTGTACAGTCATGTACATACTGTGTAGATAGAAACTGGCAGAGAAGCTACATCACTTCCCAGTATTGATAGTTGAACACATACTACAGGACCATCACACTTGCACACAATCACAATGATTGTTCGCCCACCAATGCACCCTATAGGCTATACCGTCCTGGACAGGAACATGACTTTTGTGATTGTAGACATATCAACTCCAACAAACCTCGCCACGTTGTAAGGTATCGACACGCTGCTGAATGTCCTTGCGGACATTGTCCAACTTCTTGACAGCCTGCTTCTCCTGGACAGAATACACATAACATTAGAGAGTATGAGGAAGGTCAGTCTACGGCAGCAACCATAAAACTATCTATGTACTCCCCCCCCACACACACCCACCCACACATAATTAATGAGCAGGCTACTCCATGCATATGTTGTACCAAGAAGAGCCTTCACGGAGGAAAGTTCAGCCTCCAAAGCTAAGTCCATGCATAGCCAACAAAGTCAATGTCCCAAGTAATGCTGAGAGCAGTTAAACCAACCTGATTCAGTTGCTTCACGTCAATCTTTTGTTCCTCCTGTTTGGAGAAGTATTCATCACATGCCTGGAGAGAGAGAGAGAGAGAGAGAGAGAGAGAGAGAGAGAGAGACACACACACACACACACACACACACACACACACAGATATACAGTTACACATTACGGGCCATCTGGCGATATCGATAATTTCACGGGACAAAAGAGTTTAGTTACGGCCCACCCTCTGAAGTGAAAAAATCTGAAACGTGGTACACAATTATTTCAATAAGGGGTCGTCGCAAAAGTTTTTTGTCGTCCCTGAAACGAACATGATTCGTTTGGGGGGGGGGGGGGGTGCGAGCCAAAATCGCAAGCCGACCGACACTGTACATATGACACGTACATGCATGCGATTTTCGTCGTCCAGCATAGCAAGCTGTGTTCGTTTCAGAGGGAGGGAAGGGAGTCCGGGTACGAAATGAACGATGTTCGTTTCAGGGACGACAGAAAACTTTTGCGACGACCCTCAAGCTATCGACATTTTTAAAACAAAACTGGTCTGGACCCACCCATAAACGAAGTTTTTAGTACAAACATCGATAAATAACTCTTCTTCCATCCTACATCAGCTCACCATCTGGGATGAATCGATAAACAATTTTTAAATTTATGGATGGCCCATTACTGAGCAACTAACCACTCGGAAAAACATATCGCAGGGCAGAACACTTGTACATTTGTGCAACGATCGTCCCGTCATGTTCAAAAGCCAAATCTGAAGTCTCCATTACCCAGATGTTTGTCCGTTTAGCACAACGCAAAACATTCGCAGTGTATGCTACCAGGTGCTTAATAATGACTACTCGCTGCTACTCCACTATGCCCTCTCCCTGAGCCAAAGGTGTCTCATCCCTACCTGATTCAAAGTTTGAAACTGCCTGTGGGGCTGTTCACTATGCTGTGAAAATAGTATAGGATGGAATTCATCATACCTACGTACGGAAGCACAAATACACCCACATACACACACACATAATTATAATAATTATACACACACACACATGCAGAGGAGAGAGAGAGAGAGTGAGAGAGAGAGAGAGAGAGAGAGAGAGAGAGAGAGAGAGAGAGAGAGAGAGAGAGAGACAAAAGAGAGACTGCCCAAATTGGCTATACGTGTGTGATGACAACAAACAGCAACAGGACAAAGACAGTAGCAATGAACACCATAGTTGACATGTGCACAGAGCTGCTGCCGGATAATCACTTTGGCCGTTTACAGGGTGAACTGACACTAACATACTGCAGTCAGCACATCTGCTCATCAAACTTACGTCACGTGAATATCAGCAGCAGCAGCAGCAGCAGCAGCAGCAGCAGAACCAGAATCTTCAGCAGTGTCCTTGGCTGCTGCCTTGCCACCAGCTATCTGCGGCTTCTTCCTCTCTTTCTGAATGATGAAACCCTGTGATGTGACAAGACAAGGGAAATACACACGATCACGCCATATCATTAAATACGTCACGTGCACAGATCCACAAACAGACATACAAGCGAACACATCGACAACGGGTTTGCCAATGTTTCCTCAAATACACTGGTACATGTGTTAGCAAGGCAGGCAAGCACAGAGTCAGTACATGAGTGAAGTCAGTTCAGAACCACACATTGACCAAGCATCATAGATAGGGCGTCATGCACCACCGCAGTGCGTAAATGACACACTTCCATTTTAATGTTTATGAAGACCACAAGCACCAGGTTAGGGTCTAGAGGGGCGCTTTTCATCTCCTGGCATCAGAATACTAAAATATCAATCATTCACCAAGACCTTGCAGACTACCACTCCTACTGCATTCGAACACCGCACATCAAAGACAAAACATGACACATGTACACACGCACACATACGCACGGATGAAGACATGGGACAAAGAAATGTCCTGCACGATTTTTAGGACACAGACATGCCTCGGTCAGTGTCCCCCAAAGATCGACAGATTTTAGTGTCCGTCCGCCTTTACAGCGAGCGCGTATTCAGACAAGAGGCGCCCACCAAGATTATAAACGTTTTAGGCAGCATCACAAATGCAGCTGACCCCTCGCGAGGTCTGGAGTGGTGTCCACAAAGTCTTGGAAAGTCGTCATGATAGTATTTCTCATCATTTGCCAACTGAGGAAAAGCCTAATGTTGGTGCTGGGCACATACAAAAGTACAGTGCTGCTAAACGAAAACCGATCGCATGAGTCAAGTACTCGTCGGGCGCTGTGCAGCCCTAGAGCTGAGATCACTGGGATGCTCACTGGTGCATGGCGCAAAGCTGACTCACTCGATCGGATCTCATTGAGCAGCACTGCACAATGCAGCAGAGTGCTGAAAAGCACTTAGACTGCATTAGTACGTCAACAGATCTGCTACATACCTGGGGCTGAGAGCCGACGTCTTGCATGAGTTTCTCGGCGGCACTCATAGCAGTGAAGAGCTGCACTTGGTGCTCCTCTACACAACACACATCACCAACAGCACAGCACAGAGCAGAGCAGGAGAGATTTGCTTGAGTTGTTCTTGCAAGAATCGCCTAGCTTTTTTCTCCTTCCCATGCATAGAAGTGCAGAAAACTCATGCCCATACACCAACAATAATGCCCTACTACTAAACACACCAACCTGCCAAGAAGGTCATTTCAGCCGTGATCTTTGTGGACAGAGTATGACCGACCATCCGGAGGCAATGGTCCATGAGTTGTGGCCCGAACACTGCACGAAACAAAGCCAAGATAACAACATACAGTGATATTATAGTGCCAATAATAGAAAAAGCCACCCAATGATGAACAGAAGAAATGCTTCTCATGTAGCATTGCAAATAAATTAGACAGTACAGGTCCAGTCCAGATACCAACATATACTGCAAAACAGGTCATTACTTTAGCGCCGGTGATGTTTTAGCGATTTTAGCGAAAGGAGTGCTTTTCGCTAAAGTTTTACCGCGCCAATCGAAATTTTGCATGTACAGTACTAGGCATCTTTCTTTTTGAAATTTGTATCGCTAAAATATTTCATCGCGAATTGGTCCTGATTCAGAAAATACAAAAACATTTACCCGCTGAAATTAGCCGTTCTACAGCAACCTCCAGATATGATATCCAAGGCACTCAAGCTTCCGATTTTTTTTATTATTCACGGTTCACGTGAGACTCGGTTAGATCTATATATATATACATGTATAGAGAGAGGCCGAGTTTTCCGCATCCGTAGGAACGCCACCACCCTTCAAGGATCAAGGCGCAGATGCAGCTCCTAAAGCGGTGGGAGGTGAGTAGATCAGCTCACCAGCATGTGGTCAAAGACCGAAAATCCCATTCACTGCATCCATGTTTTCCTCGTGCCAGGCCACGAGTTCCCAATTAACTGTGTGGCTTCCGATTGCCAGCATAATAATGCATATACGAACACATCACACTTCCCAGGTAATCACACTCCAATAGAGTGGTTTCACACCTATTACATGTTATTTACAACACAAGACCATACGAGACAGCCATGTTGATTCCAACCCTGTATTTTTGGAACGTAAGAAGGTCCTGCATATCTGTTCTGGGTATTTACTATTTACGATCCCAACGCAAATCCATTACACGCACTGTGCTTATGATGGAGACTCTTATATTAGGGCATGCCCACCGGAGAGGACAGCCACTCGTAGTTTCACATACATACATGTACAAATTACAGGTATTACAAGCTAACACACTTGTATTTGTACTTGTTGCTCACTGCCAAAACTGATCACGTGGGTCTCCCCGGGAGAGGGGAGAGAGACTCAAAAGGAATCTTAGAAAGATGACTCAATTGGCTATTGAACCGCCCAACGGCCGACACCCCCTGAAATCCCCAAAACTCTGGGTGGACTTCAAAATGATCCCACTTATGGGCTCACCACGCCTCAGTAAGTGGGTGAGGACAAGGCGCAGAAAGAGGATTGACGGCATCATGGTATCCGTCCCGGGATCCAACTGCAGTTACCCTTGCCCCCAGTGAAGGTAATACTTGCTACTAGTGTGGGTGGCTAAATCAAAGTGGATCTGATATAAGCGTCACTAGCACCATTGATTACACAAGAGTTAATCTAGCTAACAAACACACACACACACACACACACACACACACACACACACACACACACACACACCACACTCAGACATGCCCATCGCGGAAGCGATGATAGCGAACAGCTATGTTAGACATAGCAACTTGTGCTGGGATTACACCATTCAACAGCTTGCAAGGCTGATGAATTGACCGCCACTAATTTTAGCCTGGTATCCACCACACAGCTGACTGAAGTGACCACACACATACACACACACACACACACACACACACACACACACCACATACACACACACACACGCCACAGCTGTACAATCCATTTCAAACGCAACTAACCATAATGTGGACTGAGAATCTTGCGCAGTGTATCACCAGCCTGTGCTCCCTGCACAATACTCAAGATCCTGAACAAAGTGCAAGCGGACAGATTTATATTGCCAGTGGCTCGGAAGGGGGGGGGGGGGGGGGCAAAAACGCCATTGGTTAGCCACTTTAAGAAAAAAAGAATTATTCAATTGCCATTCCAATGACTCCATCAAGACGGGTGAAAAACAAAGACCGTGATGCAAGATCTCTATAAGCTCACCCCTCTCTTGTGACTGGCTCGGCCTCTCTGGCGTTGGACAGCGGGTAGGATTCTCGCACGGCAAAGCGCACATCCTCATTGTCCTTGTCCTTACGTCGGCGCAGCAAGTTGAGAATGGTGTACTGGTGGTCCGTCAAGACAACATTTCCCTACGGTGTGGCAAAGAGAAGGTACGACGACAACAGAACACGTGAATGCAAAGAAGTCAGTGTCGGACAACCAAAGGAAACGGATACTCCTTCCTGCCAGTGGCTATCCCACCCCTAGAGTGAGCGTGCTCGAATCTGCAAGATGAAAACACTGCATGCCCCAATCATCCTGTACAGAAACAAAGCCCCTGTACCCAGCCACCATTGCTAGTGGGCAGTTCTGGAAATTTCCGTGAACAAACTTGTGCGGCCTACGGAATAACCATAGACCCTGTACTAAATTGAACCACTTATTGACAATTCTACTTCATTAAAATGTTGTTGTTCTGGTCTCTAGCATCAGATTACTAAAGTATCAATCACTCCTAAAGACTAAGCATTCACCACAACTACATCTGAACACTGCGACACTGAGGACAGGAACAATGCGTGCACACGCACACATACGCACGGATGAAGACACGGGACAAGGGAATGTTCTGCACGAGTTTTAGGACACAGACATGCCTCGGTCAGTGTCCCCTAAAGATCGACAGATTCTAGTGTCCGTCCGCCTTTACAGCGAGCGCGTATTCAGACAAGAGGCGCCCACCAAGATTAGAGACGTTTTAGGCAGCATCACAAATGCAGCTGACTCCTTGCAGAGTCCAGAAGTGGTTTGAATGCATAGTCCACCACACGGTCTTGATCGCACTTATCATCACCTGCCAGAGACCAGAGCTTATGAAATTGAACAAGCAGAAGCAACGAGCACCCGGCTACAGCCCCAGCGTGTCAAACGCGCGTCACTCACTCTATCGTAGAGCTCAACAATGAGGTGATAGGCTGCCTCATCAGTGCCAAACTGTAGATCAATGATACGATCCCCGCCGAGCTGCCGCACACTAACGAGACGGCGTGACTTCAGATGCTTGCGACACTGCAACACAAAAACAAAGAGTGAGCAACTGAATGAGGACGAAGCAGCAAGGCGAAAGCAGCACACCTACAATAGGTTCCTGGCTCCCTATCGGATGGGTGCCAGTGTCTGTGCTGCTATTGACATTCTAGGCGTATGGAAGAGATGCACCGAAAGTAACGGAAATACAAGTACACTGAGCATTCGTGAAGTTACAGTAATATCCCAACACACATCAGGTGTGCAACGTACATGTACATCAGTAGGACATTGAACTTACTTTCAATGAGAACTGCGACGGCATGTTGGGTTTGGGCCACTCAAAGTCGGTGCTATGAATGCGTATGCCGGATTCAAAAAGCAACATCTTCTTCAGATCGGGCCTGCCACGGCAAAATCCAAAAGGAGCAAGAATCAAATAGAAACTAGTCTGGTCTGAGTTACATAGTACATAATCAATGTGGACAAAGATCGATGCCAACATCAAAGAAAATGCGCCATCATCACCAACGCACATTACAGAGGTTGCGCACAACGAAAATTCGTAAGATTTCGACTGTCCGGGTTCGAGTAACGAAAGTTGCTGCGAAGATCCGTCCAATTGAGACCGAAACAGAGCAGATCTACGAAAAAAATCGTTACCTGGAGTACTAAAATACTGATATTTTACAACTCCCTGTCTTGACTCTTCGCACCCGCGTGGCCGCTGCGTCGGCCCACTACGAAAGAGTTCACGCGTTGTGCGCAACCTCCCGGTTTACGAATATTCGTTAGCTTTTTTCGTTTAAAATATTCGTTATGGCGCTACGAATTTTCGTTGTGCGCAACCTCTCCATTATTCAGATCTTCTGTGCTAACCCACATTCGGCTGCACCAGAGATTCGTAATTCAATGCAATGGAACATGGATTTTCCACTATAGAAACCATCTAGCAGCAGTGTATGTGCCACGCGGATAGGTGTTCATGCTAAAGGTCAGCGGCAGAGCGAGGTGAAATTCGGAGCACAGCCAGCCCAAGCCAGTCAGATCTCGTTTACACTATGCTGCATTATGCACACTCGCTCTCTGTCACCAACCAATCTGGCGGCTAGGCAGGGAGCCTGGCAACTGACTAGGCATTACGATGGCCTTGAATAACATGCCAGTTCCAGGTGATTTTCCACCAGTCGGTGAAGAACCGAATAAACAAGGTTCGGCCGCGGAGAAAACGTAGAGCCCTCCACGGTTCAACAGTGTTCGCCATGTTCCACCAGCAATACATGTAGAGTGGTTTAACATCTCTGTCACATGACCATACGGAGCAGCCATGTTAGTTCCAACTCCACACAAACCCTGCATCTATGGGTCACATGATGTCGGCCATGTTGGTTGCACTGTCCACATGCCATGATCACTTTCTCCACAAACTTAGTCACATGACAAAGATGTGAAACCACTCTATACGGTGTGAAATGCGTTGGCCAGCAATGACTTACTTTGCTAAGCGAATGAGGTATGTCTTGTTGTCCACATCATACACATTGACAACTCTCAAGCCGAGTAGACTGCAACAACATGATCAACAAGTGAGAGAACACAGCAATAATGGCACAAACAACATTCGCGGCAAGGACGCCAACAGAAGCAGCACCAATACCAGCAAACAAAGAGACTTGACATGGTGCAATTGTTCAGCTGTCAGTGGACACAAATCCAGTAAGTGTAGTGCTGTACTGATGCTGCTATATACACTTTGACCTGTACAAACATGTACACATCCATGTACGACAAGCAGCTAAAACAAAGCGGCTAACGCTGGGCACACCATGCAAGAACCCGGCCACTCCATACGGACCATAGATTTCACAGACTGAACCAGTAGCGCCAGCAAAGCCCTGGCAGGAACCAAGGATCCGATATCAGTGGTACCAAGAGTGCGCAACTCGACGACTCTCCAGCCCATGGCAGAATTTTTGTATGACATCAGTCATTGGGCTTACTCATGCCATAAAGCGCAGCTAGAGATTAAAGTACAAATACTACAGTGCTAGCAACTGAAATCCAACACCCTGAGCGGTGGGTTCACATTCTTTGCGATGTGAGCGCACAGGGGGTCGGATTTCAGTTGCCAGCACTGTAGCAACTTGTACATCGCAGCTGTGGTAGTCGGAGCAGAACAACGAACAGTAGATCAATGCGTCCTGAACACGAGGAACTGACACAGTGTATCCACAAGACAAGCGCTGAGAAGCATACTCACTTGATTCTACTTCTTCTGGCAAAAAAATAACGCACGATGAAAAATTCCGCCGTGGGTGACCTCCACCGCAGCTCGAGATAGTAGTCGCACACTCTTGGTGGTACAGTCAGACCTCGCTTCAACCGCACACATCCGTTTTCCACAAAAAAATATCCGGATAGGCGAGGGAACCGGATAATCGAACACCAGTTATGTTGGATGCATCACGTATGTTGTAAATCTGTAACCAGCTATTTTCTTGCGGATGGCGAGGGATCCGGATAAAAGAGGACCGGATAAGCGAGGTCGTACTGTACCACCCATGCCCTTGCTACCAACGACGCCACAGCACTGGTGCCATTGGGAGTCATGGCTGGGTTTGAGTGACCATGAACATGTAGCATGAACATCACTTTCGGACTTGCGCCCAACACCAGAGCAGGCTGCTCCAACACAAAAACGGTCCAAGACATGACGGACAGGCCACCTAAGCATATTTGCATTCGGTTCGGTATAAGAATAACAATACACGTACAGTGCAGCCTCTCCTTCTCCGCACCTCCCGCACCCAGGCACCATGTAAGCAACCAGGCACCCTGTCAGCAAGTGAATGTAGTCAAATCTTGTAATTTTCTACGTCTTCGTGGCGGTCAGCTCAACTACTGCACCACATAGAGGATTTTATTATGCAAAAGACGTTACTTCAGTAACGTCTGGCGCTAGCCAGGGTCCACACAGCTTTAATTCCGTGTTTGTGTGCTTGTGCTGTCGGCATGCCTGGCGCTATCCCGTACCTGTCCCGTACCGTACCATCAAAGACAGCTGGCCACAATATTCAAATAGGGCTTTCAAATGAAAGATCATAACGTGAAGCAATTTGGAAGAATGAGTATGTATACGAAGTGTATCGGGGGAATGCATGCAGGGCGATAGTGCGGGTTCAAATCCTAGGTTATGTCTTGAAAAAAAAATAGAAGAAATGAAAAATTTATAACATCCCTATGCTTTTTGCCTAGGTCATCAAGGTGGTAGACAGTGTCGTATTACCCTCAAATGCAAAGAGAAAGTTTATTTCTTTCGCTCAGGGCCCTACGCTATGCTTTTTTGCCTAGCTCATCATGCATGTTATTCAAACAGATGGAAACTTTTCGCAATACATGTACAATGATATAGCCGATCAGTTCGTTGTGGTATGGTTGGGCATTGTAGTCGTCATGGTCGACGTAAAACACTATTTACATACACAAACTCGGGGAGCAAAAGTCTCTCTGTCCCATCAGCTGCCACATACCAACTAAATACAAAAAGCATAGCATAGGGCCCTGAGCTTCCAAGCTCTATCGTTTATTCAGACATCTCCTGGCACGCCAAAAGACGGCCAATTAATTAAACCTGACTCACTTGTGAGGTCTGCATTCGCCACTAAAGTGAAAAGGCATAGTGGTGGCCTGCGGAAGCGAAGGCTACTGTACAGGCAGAAAATTTCGTCGGTCAATAATTTCGTCTAACTCCAAAGAAAGGGATTTCGTCCGGTTGAAAATTTAGTCCATGGACTATAACAGTGTATTGAAACGCTGGACAAATCGACATTCGTCCGTCATTTAATTTAGTCCCAAAGCTCCTTGGACGAAAAAGACGAAATTAAATTCCAGACGAATATTTCTGCTTGTACAGTATATAGCTTGGGTGTTTCTGAACATTCAAGCGATGCTAACGCGGATCCCGCGAATATTATTAATTGTCATTAGGAAAATACAAGTTACACGGTCAGTGTCGTGCAATGTTATCGCAAGAGCTGATTGTTTAGTAACTGGTGGTGTTAGTGGACATTTAATTTATAGCGTAACTAGTAGTTTCTTGGTCCTTTTTTCTTTATTATAAATGTGTTTTTATTGTTCGTGCTGATGGTGATACATGTATTCCTGAAGACTGTCACAAAAAAAACATTTCAATCTGTACAACTCTTTGCTCCAATGCACTGCGGGCATGGCATGTATACATGTATGGGATGAATGAGTGTATTCCTACATCTCCAACTTTACAAACCATTATGAGAAGCCTGGTGAAGGAAACACAACGCAGCGGAAATTTAAAAGTCACAGTAGAACGAGGGAAATGTAAAGGAAACAGGGACACGGCACTTACGTCAACTCCTGAAGTTCAGCTACAACAGCTCGAACATCTAAAGCAGTAAACCGGGACTTCATGATGTATTGGCCGACTCACAGAATAGTGAATACAGAACTACAATACAAGTCTAGCCATGTGTCTTTTCACTACGTAAAGACTTGAAAGAGGCTGGAGAAGAAGTCACTGGCTACTTTACTGGCCTGAAAGTGATAGCTCTCGAAGTTAGTTCGCGAAGGTCTACAAATAGTAGTTCGGGGTTCGCAATGTCTTTTTTGAGTCTTTTTATCCGGCCATTGGCTCGAAAAAAATGTATGTACGTAGATCTACATTTTGTAGCTACGATCATATGCGCGCACGTGCACACGCGATAAAAATATTTTTACTTTTTTGATTACTTTGCGTCTTTATAAATTTACCTGATAAATTAAAATTATTTATACAGATAACAAGGCAGCACAAGTCCGGGATCCTTTCCATGTCGTTGAGCATTTACTACAACAATTACAAGTACTGAGTCTGTTCCGGTACATGTACAGGTTAGTTGTGGCCTGCTCAGGCTTCTGCCGCTGAGGCATCAGTTGGAGCTCTTCATCGTAAATAGTAGGAAAGGTCACACAAATCATAAAGTGGAAGGTGTCGGCTGAGTGATCGTGAAAATAAGTGAAGATGTTCAGCTGTACCTGTGCGTCCAGAATCGCCCGACTTAGTGGTTTGGAATTGTTTCGAAGCTATCGGCCAGCTGCAGCGAGATACACCAGCACTGATTCCACCAGTACCAATTTTGTCGATGATGGCAAATGGCCGGGCCCATTCACGAAGAAGGGTTTGCCTTCAATGAAAAATGCATCGAATAAGCACAGGCTTGAAGAGCTGGGCTTCAATAATTTAGATGAGCTAATTCAGAGCCAGGTACCTGCGGCTGGTGGTCACATTGAAGACTCTGCTTCTCAGAGTCAGTCGAATGAGGTTGGTGATGAGAAGGATGTGTCAAAGGCTACCTTGCCTTCTGGTCATACTGAATACTTGGAAGTTAAGTACGTCGCCCATTTGAAATGGCTGTTGGGAAACGGCTTTGTGGATACCAGTGGATGTTCTCTGTTCTTCGGTCCTGATCCGAGAAGTAGGGGCCATAAGACCATCCAGATAGTAGGCATTGAAGAAGATGTAAAGCGATGCAAGGACTCCGTGGCCACTCTATTGCACGGCAGTCTACCTGTACGTGCCCGTACGGTCTCTGAGCACTATCCAGCCTACGTTCCCGTTCGTCCACCAGGCCAACCAACCTCACGGGCAAGTCCTGCTACTGTGTATTCTCACATTCCTGTTTCACCTTGGTTCAAGCCCCCCGTGTTGAAATTCACCAACGCGGTGTTTAACAATTCTGAGCTGGACATTGCGTATGGCGTATTGTACAGAGATGGCGCTTTGCTTCGACGTGCCCAGGTGCCACCTATGTCGGAAAGGGATAGAAAGCTGGCTACTCAGGCATCCGTTGTTGATCAATTATCAAGTACTGTCGCAGACATCCAGGACCAGATTCGCAATGTGATGCAGACGCCTATTTTCAGGCCGTCGCTTAACATCAGTGCACGCGTAGGTCATATGGGTAGTCCCGCGCACCCATCCGTCTTTGTGCACCGATCCAGCAAGGTACCAGGTCTTAGGGCCACATTCCAGCCATGTATGCCATCTGAAGCTGATTGGAAGGAACAACTGCCAGAGAGGACATCGACCGACACAACATTGACAGTAATGGGCACTATTCTCGGGTCATCAGCATTTGCCAACCAACTTTTTTCAGCTCAATATGTGCTTGATGGAGAGTCGTTCGTTAATCAAAGCGTATCCAGGTGCACATCTGCTTGCACCACACACCACTTCAACAACTTTCTGCCGCATCTCCAGCATGATTTGCGCTTCACCGTACAAAATCATGGCGGACTGCAGCCAGTATCCGAAGAGGAGAGAGCCGAGGTGACCAGGAGCATTGGTAGCGTGACATACCTGGGCGGTGGACTATTGATGCATCAACAGCCGCGCACCACTGCTCAGTGTCAGCCAATATTCCTTTCGAAAATGGTAGTGAGATGCATTGAGCTCTATCCATTAGCCGATGATGTGTCTCTGGAAAAAGGCACGTTACATTTCTCTACAACCCGTGGAGGAGTCCTGAGGCCCCGCATGACTGTAGATGTTTTCGATGTTGTACCGAGCGCCTTCTCTTCGCATGATCAGGTCAGGCATGCCCATCAGCAGCTCAGTTCAGATGACTGTGAGCAGCTTGTGAGCTCTGTGCCATCATTGGTGGAGCATGGGTTGCGCTTTTGCGGCATGCGCACAGGAGCTGCAACGGCAGCTGCCACCCAGGCCTGATGGAGCTGCTGTGATCTTAACTGTGTGCATGTTGGTGCGTGCGTGTGTGTGCGTGCGTGTGCGTGTGTGTGTGTGTGTTGCTAGTGTTGACCACACCGGTGGGTGAAGCACTGGTGGTGACATCCAAAATGCTGGAATGTGTTTTGTGTGTCTTATACACTGGTGTATCTCCCCCATGGCAACTACCAGCATTGGTGGTTTTCAGCCAATTCAGGTGTACTTCTGCTCGCTCGGACAAGAGTTGTTTTTAGGTTTGGCTGGCTTTATTGGATTGCTACATATTGCTTCAGTTTCAGAATCACAGTGTCGGCTTATCGAATTAGCCCGCTTCGCAATATGATCATTGTACCGATACCCTTGTGGCCTTGACTCCGGTTTGATTGACCTGCTCTCCATGCTTGAGTATAATGTCGTGTGGGTTCAATGTTCGGATTGCACCAGACCAGGGTGTGTACTGTCTTTACTGCTGCTGCTGAGGCTGCTAATCTGCACTGGTGGCAGTGGCAAGGTCTCAGTTGGACCTGATGCGATCTTAACTCCTTTATACTGACTTCGGAATCTTCTGTCCGTGTATTCAAGAAAGAGCTGCGCAAACATTCCTGTAAGTATTCACGTCTACTCGCTGGCATGCCGCTACCTTGTTCATACAGTGCTGGCAACTGAAATCCGACCCCTGAGCGGTGTGCTCACATCGCAACGACCCAGCACGGGATTGTAAAACTACGAAATAGAGACCGCTAGAATGTGAACATACCACTCAGGGGTCGGATTTCAGTTGCCAGCACTGTAGTAGTCCCCTTTCCCAATCTGTACTCTCTTGTACCATCATCCTTTGATGCGACAGATCGGACCCCACGATTGGTGGTCAGCCTTTGCGTCATCCTAATAAAGTTGTTATTATTATTATTATACCAAGAGTACAGCTGTGATAATATTACGACTGTACTCTTGTAATTACATTGTACATGTACAGTGAGATTTCAGTATAAAAATAATTAATACGACTCGTACTGTCCCTGAAAACGGTGAAAAGTATCTTGTTTTCTAGCCCCTTCCAGTATCTAGATCTGTATCCCGAGACAGATACTTTGATGTCGTCAATCCCTTTCCTGCACCATATCCTCGGCCACTTACTTTGGTGCATGTGGTGAGCCCGGAATTTGGATGATTTCCAAGTCCGCCCAGAGTTCGGGGATTTCAGGGGGTTTCGGCCGTTGGGAGATTCAATAGTAAGTTGAGTCATCTGTCCAAGATTCCTTTTGAATTTCTCTCCCCTCTTTCGGGAAGACTCACATGACCAGTTTCGCAGTGAGCTTGTACACGTACTGTAAAAGCGGAAATTTTCGGTGGTGTAATATTTTCGTTATTCTCCAAAATCGGCGGTTCGGTAGAGGGAAATTTTCGGTAAAACCCGTTCTCCAGGTAAGTGTACTACAATGTACCACTACTTGTATACAGTATCGGTTGTACCGAAATTTTCGGTGCGTTTTATCGGTAAAAATTGCTGGCACCGAAGTTACCGAAAATAAGACACCACCGAAAATCTCTGCTTTTGCAGCATGTGGAAGAGCCTATATCCCCCCCCCCCCCCCCCCGTTATCCTGGCAAATTGCTTAGACATGCCTGCACATCGTCATCCGTGCCTTTCGAAGGCCGTGCAGCCAAGGCGCCTGACAGACACAATGCACGGTTGCAAGAGTACATAAACCAGAGTGTGCAACTGTGCAATCAGATCTGAAACAGCGCAGTTCGTGCTCTACGTTGCCCTGATGTGTGGGAACTGAACTATTATTATCGATATGTGCAATCATGTATTTAGCTCCTCATTGATTTTTTACCAGGTGTGGGCCATCCCCTGATTTCATAGGTGCCAGACATTTTACGTTTTTCATTCACTATTTTTTTCATATAGCGTGGTTGACCGATTCCTGATATGGACACGTGTACGTGCACGGAAAATATGCGTACTTTGAAATGTAAAAAAAATGAGGTCAGCCAAGCCGCGACTTGCGTACAGCTCACATTTTTCGTGTTTCACAGCCCAGAAATCAGCCAAGTTTCCATGATTTTAGACGTCCTGTTTTAGGATTTTGGTGTTTTGGTGTGACTGCGTACGCTGCGTACATCCGCTGGCAAGTAAATTCAGCAGGCCATCCGTATCAAAAAACCGAAATCGGGACAAACTCAGTGATCTGCACCAACGTGACTGGTTACGCAACTTTTCACCGTACCTGTGGCTTACCATGCTGTCAGAAATGACACACTGCACGGATTACGCTCCCACAGGAACCATCCTGAGTTGCACACTCGTTATGTACTCTTGACGGTGGCGATTGCAATATATGGCAACGTGTACACTCATTCAAATATCATCTAATATGCAGTAAAAACGGGAGCAAATGCACTGATAGAGATCAATCGAATTAGTACTGGTGTTAAACTTGGAGAAAAAGAAAAGGCTGAACAAAACGAATATGACCTCATTCAGTCTTGGACTTTTCACTAGGTGCGTTATGAAAAAGGAACACCGAGGAGAAGAGGATTAGCCCAATCATCATTGAGAAGGCGCCAGCATAGTACGGGAAAGCACTGACAATGAAGCGTTCATACTGTACATGTGTCTTTGGCCTGACTGGTACCTACATGTAAAGAACACACACAGGCATAATAATTGATAAATAATCTACGTGAAAATCACATGGAAACAAGTTATGAAGCAACTATCCACGACTGTAACAAGATAATAAGCAGTCAGAAAGTACGATAACAGGGCACAAGACTGACATGATACTGAGACATTCAACGACCTGAGACCTAGCTCTCACACACCTCCAGTGCGCAAACCAACAGCCTTCCAGCTGGGAAGGTTCAAGGTTTTGGTAGGACCTATGAGGGACTTAGCTTGTGCACATTTTCACTGCGCTCACCTTCGCCTAATTGGTCCTACCATAACCTTGAACCTTCCAAGCTGGAAGGCTGTTGGTGTTGGTTTGCGCGCTGGAGGTGTGCAAGCTAAGTCTCAGGTCGTTGAATGTCTCAGTAACATGTCAGTTTTGTGCCCTGCTATCGCACTTTCTGACTGCTTATTATCTTGTTAGAGTCGTGGATAGTTGCTTCAATCTACATGGAGATAACAATTTAAAGGGGAAGTTAAGGCAAAAATCAAAATTTCACCAGTTGTAGTCTTCGGGGTGCTGAGTCGAATGGTCTTGGTCCGAGAAAGCTGAGACGCTCCCTTCCTACTTGAATCCCAATCGAACTCGCGCACTTCCACCGAAACTGGGTGACTGCGCCCTACGAGATGGGGATTTGTATGCAAAATGTCACTAAAAGCGCCATTTCGTTCTTATAAAAAGCACGGATGACCGCGATTGGCCCATATGTTGTAGTCTTTTGGACGCTGAGTCGACTGGTTTTGGTCCGAAAAGGCTGCGATGCAGCGTTCCACCTTTATTCCCAATCGAACATGGTTGAACAAGCGGTCACGTGCTCCTGCGTACACCAGTCACCTGGTCACCGTGCCTGCAGGGCACAACTTACTAGCCTGCTTGACCTTTTTTGGGTGCAGTCCTGTCACTCGAGTTGAACCTTGGTGTGAAAGTTGTCGCCTGCTGGCGTGGTGACCAGGTGATTTGGGCACCCAGGAGCACGTGACCGCTTGCTCAACCACGTTCGATTGGGAATAAGGGCCGAACGCTGCATCGCAGCCTTTTCGGACCAAAACCAGTCGACTCAGCGTCCAAAAGACTACAACATATGGGCCAATCGCGGTCATCCATGCTTTTATAAGAACGAAATGGCGCTTTTAGTGACATTTTGCATAAAAGTCCCCATCTAGTAGGGCGCAGTCACCCAGTTTCGGTGGAAGTGCGCGAGTTCGATTGCGATTCCAGTAGGAAGGGAGCGTCTCAGCTTTCTCGGACCAAGACCATTCGACTCAGCACCCCGAAGACTACAACTGGTGAAATTTTGATTTTTGCCTTAACTTCCCCTTTAAGTAATGCTATGAATAATGTGTGTTTGAGTATGAGTGCACAGATTATTTGTTCAAAACATAATAATTGACATTTAAATTTTTAAGTCGAGAAAGAGAGAGAGAGAGAGAGAGAGAGAGAGAGAGAGAGAGAGAGAGAGAGAGAGAATAGCATTCTAAAATAGTCAAATGTACAATGTGGAGAGAAAATTATATACATGAACGCTCTGCCTTGGGCCGGAGCGCTATCTCGCAGAAAGGACCCCAGACACTAAGGGGCCGTCTGAGGTTACCGATTGTTTTTACAAAACGAAACGTTTTAGCAAGAGTTCATAACCCCCAAGAGTGTGCAACGGGCATAGACCCAGCGCTCGGCGAAATTCCTACATTACGTCATGCGCAGCTTGTCATCCGAGGTAAATTTGGGTTCTTTGCGATTTATGGAAACTATACCCTGAACCGCTCCTAACTCAAGGCTGTAGCCTCGACTTTTCGAAGCTTTTTTTGAAGACATTTCGGACGTACAAGTCGTACTTTCTCAAAAACAAACTCTTTCTCCAAGAATCCATGGACATCGCGACAGGAAGAAGTGAGGACGCTGCTAAAAATATTGCATTGCCGTCGAGGACAATCATTCTGATAGCTGTGCAACTCAGCCGCGCAAAAATGCTCCTTCGACGTATTCTCTCAAGATCCTCAACCATTTGAAATCATCTTCGAGGAAAGCACCGGAAATATGCCGATGGCCTGGGGAAGAAATTGTTCTTGGAGACTGACTGCACTGGTGAAAGAAGAAGGCCATGAAGAATCACCATTGCATCGAAAAAATAAATAGTTTTGTCTTTACAATCGTGTGCTTTGTTTCACTTTTGCTTCTTGAGGCTCAGACTCAGACTAGAATCGCAGTTTAGGCAGTTTACCCTGGGGAAGCATCCTGGTTTGACTGTAAATTTTAGAAGAATTCATCGGCGTGACTCATCGCACTGCACCAAAAATGACGCAATGAAGGAATTCCGCCGAGCGGGCTTCCATACAGGGACTGATCAGGAGTTGCACACTCTTGGTTTTAGTATTTTCAGCCCCACCCACCCACCTTTTCTGCAGGTAAAGCAAATTCCGATAAAATATTGATGTCAATTTTCGACACCCAGAAGCAACTGGGCATTCACCATCTGCATTCAATAATTATTATTTTCAAAACGAAACTCTATCAAACCCACCCACCCCCAAACGAAAACTTTTCGTTTTGAAAATATTATTGGTAACCTTAGTCCACCTCACGCCACATACAGATCTAATTCGCTAAACTTGGCAGGAGATCGACAGAAGCACGTAGCACTACTGCCACTAGCAACGCGGAACACCAGACACGCTTATCCATACAAATGAATAAGCACAATGTTCCCATCCCCATACTAGGCACTGCTGGCTACAAGGTTGCAGATGCATGTTCACTGCAGCCTGTCTGCACTGCATGGTGCATCACCCCTTTCCAAGTGTTAGTCTAACCCACCACTCAAGTATTCATGTACAGCCGCCTTGCCCTGTCTGCACTGCATGGTGCATGACCCCTTTCCAAGTGTTAGTCTAACCCACCACTCAAGTATTCATGTACAGCCGCCTTGCCCTGGGTTTTGATACAGCATGCACGTTGCTTACCATACTTCCACAGATTTTATAAGGCACATCCAATTCTAAGTCCCCCCCCCCCCCCCCTGCCCCTTTTAAAGTCACTATCACATACTAGTACAGTCCATTCAGAAAAAGATGATATCCTAACGCTTTTGGCCATAAATGGGTCAAATTTGAGTTTTTTAAACATTTTTTTCTGCAATCCCTCATGGAATGCTCTTCCGATTACGTTTCTGAAGTCCATTTCTCCGAAAAGCAAGCAAAATTAAACAAGAATAGGATTTCGGCCAGGTTTTGTCTTGTAAGCACTGAATTGGGAAAGGCCATGAAAATCCAATCCGTTTCACTCGATTTTTATCACTGCATTGTCCGGTTCGAACCCCAGATAAGGTTCCTTTTTCGGACCCTTTTTCTAGCCTCAAATTTCGCGGCACTGCACTGTGTACAATCAAGAGTACATAACCCCCCAGAGTGTGAAACTCCCACATACCCAGCTGTCCCGACAGAATTTCAAGTTGACGTCATTATTTATGACACAATGCTCCTTGCACCAGTGATTCTTCGCTTCATCGGATTTACAGGCAAGGAGAAGGCATCCTTGCCTGTAAATCTGATGAAGTAAAATAGAACAACAACAACAACAACAACAACAACAACAACAACAACAACAACAACAACAACAACAACAACAATTTACAACATGTGTACGGGTGTCAAAGCATCACACGTTTTTCTTTGCAATAATTTGTACAGGATCAGATCGGCTTCGGTCAACCACAGGTTCCGGATTCGTCTAATAATCTGTGTACAGTGCGCATTGCATCATCAAAATGACGTCAACTTGAAATTCTGTCGGGACAGCACTCATAGTGGAGTTGCACACTCTGGGGGGTGGGGTATGTACTCTTGGTAGAGGGGACGGTTTCAAATAGGACATAGGTTGCAAACCGGAACGGACTCAATATTCACTTTCTCTCTTGGTATTTTGATTAGAAAACATATGTCACAGTGAGACTACGATGTGTCACACTCCGAGCCAAAATTTCATGGCTCTGCGATGACCAGAAGCGCCATACCAAGTAGGTGAGTTTTTGACGTGTTGCTTCGCACTGCGACTTGAGTTTTACGACTTTCGAAAAATCAACTTCTTGTCGCAGGTAAACAGCGGCTCGCCTCTCGCCAATAAAGCACCGCATACCAATCAAAACTAATGGAAGCACACACAAGGCTTATTGTTACTCTGTACTGGCCGTCGTGGAGCGATAGCAATTACCACATTTCAGACCCAGAGTGAATTTGACGTGCACTCTAAAACGTGTCCGGTTTGGAGCCACCTCTGATTTGAACTTTTTTGAAGCGAAAAATTGGGCAACTTGGAGGCAATGGGTCAACACAAAGGAGTGGCTCAGTTCGATTGACTCTGGCCCCAGAGCAAACTTCAACATGCCAGTTTCCTTCCACAAACATATTTCGAGTGAAAAATCAACGCTGATGATCGGTTTGGGTCTATACAAATTTGGCTGTCAAAGCGTCCCGGTATCGAGCCGTCCCCTCTACAATAAAACCACGAAAAATCGCCAAATATGGGAGCTCTCCAGAACCCATCTTTTTATGAAGGGACTGCAGTTCCTGTGGGTTTACGTGAGTACTACTAATAAGTCATGCTTGATTGTACATGTAAGTTGTTCAACATTGGGGTTTGTTGCAAAAACGGTGCGATTTATCACCAGGAGACTACGGTACGGTAGCCAAGTTGTTTCTGCTCATATTTTCATTCTCCATCCGATGGTTGACTTTGTGTGTTCTCTTCGTTTGAAAATTGTTGTAAGCCAATACATCATGAGTTTGGTGCATTTCTAGAATTACTAGACACACAGTATGCACACTGACCTGACTGGCACTATACAGGAATGTATACCCCAAGCTACGATAGTCCACTTGGAATCGGAACACGCCATACACATCAGGCAGCGTGAAGCGCACACTGAAGTCCCCATTGCTGGGCACGAGTGGCAGGCGGACAAACGGATCGATGCGATGGAACTCCATCTGCACATCCTTGCCAGCAAAGGGTTGCCAAACACCGTCGACCTTCTCTTCGATGTGGAGACTGAAGATCTGCAATGAACACGGAGTAAGATATTGGAAAGTCTTTCAGTATTGAGTAGCTAGCAGCACAACACTACAGTGAATCTTATTAATTGGAATTCAGTCTGTTAAGAGTACTTGTAGTATTCACTATTCAATGTATCCCGCCGGACGGACCTTTACCAGTGTGCGTCTTCTTCTGTTGGATAATTCAATTCTTTTAAAAGGGAAGTTCACCCTAAAATGAAAACTTTACAACCTGTAGCGAAAATGCACGGATTCCAATGGTGAAGGTCCAAGGTTGATCGGAAAAGCTGTTCTCGAGTTATACCAGCTTGAAGTTTGCACTAAATTTGGTGACATCATGATGATGTCATTAACGTGCCCGGCCTAGGCCGCATTTATGATGTCAGAGAGATAGACTTTGTATGGGAGGAGATAGGAAAATTTCAATACGTTGGCTCTCCGTTGCTCGAAAGAAGTCGGATCTTTTTAAAACTTCAGTATGGGACATATGACGCCCTACCGGTATCTCGACTGGAAGAAAAACTTTCTAGAGCGAAGTTCATTGTTGCAGAGAAACAAGAAAGAAATTGGTCCATGGTTAACAGGCATGTATACTTCAAATAGAAAGTATATGAACCTGAAACCAGCAAAGGTAGCAGGTACAACATTACACCTTCAAGCAGCCGAGCCTGTTGGCAACAGACCGAAAACAATCTGGCATAAGTGTACCCACCAACCGAACTAGCTGGCACACACACGCACACACACACACACACGCACACACAGACTAATAAAAAGCAACAGCATCGCTAGACAGACAAAGAAGGACGCAACACGTGCTTACACACCGGCAGACACACATGCCTGACACACCAACAAACACAAATGCCGACACAAGCGGAGAGGCATACATACCACATCATCTTCAATTGTGTAGAACTGTGGCGGTGTGCTTTCGCCGACAATGTGGTGCTTCACATTGGTATAGCGCAGCACACCAGAGTGATGGAACGTCCACGCAGACAGTGCACGGACAAAGTCCTCATTCCCGGACTTCTCAAACCTGGCAGCAAGAGCATGTTGAAGAAGATAATAACTAGAATTGTTTTGATGCTTCAGTCGTAATGATCCATTGCTTCGGTTCACCCGACCCATTGCTTTTTTCATTCTTTTTTTGTTTGTTTCATGCGACCACAAAATATTTGTTTGACTCTGTTCGTACACATTATTCTAAAAAGTAGCTGGCTGAACTCAGTTCTGCGAGGCTGTGTTTCCACTTTCCAGTAGCCATGTGCGCGGTCGACCAAGGTTGTCTTGCTTGGATGTTTTTTTCTCAGACGGGCATGGACATGTCTTCGTTGTTACTAGCAACCCATGATAGAATTTGCTGGCGGCGAGAGTCCATAACCAACAGGTATGCAACTGTAGCCTCTCTTTTCTATGGGCCAGATGCGCAGCACGCTGATTTCAATACATTCCGTAGCTGAAATGCACACATAAAGGAACGGGCCGGAGATCATCGTAAAACCTTCCTCTTTACAGCTGGCATGGGTCCTTCTGTTCCTTACATTTGACCAGGATACGTGTGTAGCTTGTCACACTGCACCAGGTTATTCGTACGTCAAGGCAGTTGTCTACATACACGCCAATGTAGAAAGACCTAATAATTATTCTGTCTTATGAGGCCGGTCGTGCCGGGGCCCAGATCATGTTTCTGCATACATTAGAACCTGTTTCAAAAGACCACCTGTCTATAAAGACCAGCATTCTGTGCAGCAATGGAGTAGGGGGGTTGCTACACACAGGATCCACGGAACAAGTAGGTATTCTTGGTCCAGCACAATAAAATCACCCCCCCCCCCCCCCCCCCCCCCCCGGGAATACATCTCTCACTACAACATACCTCTGAGATCCCGGGCGCGCACTCTCCACAGAAGCTGTCAAGAACCTGTCGTGCATACCAAAACGTAACCCAAACAACAGCAGACAGAATGTTGACACCAGCTGCCTATTAGAATGCACTGTTGCAGAAAGGAACAGGAACGAGCAAACAAGACGATAAGCATTGCTGCCAACAAAACCTGCCTGCACTATCAACACAAACAAAACACAAGACAACAAAGGGGAAGGAAACGCATCGCAGGAGTGTGTTCATACATTGGGCAACATGAGGCTGGAACGACTACAGTTGCGGGCAAGTGAAATATGGATACTCGCAGCGCCGAATGCCCCTGACATCCTCAAGAAACCTCGACAAAGTGCACAGGATGTCACAGAAATTGGATTGCGGACCCGGAAGTGAACACTGGTCCACATTTCGCACGGCAACTACTCGTACAAGTACAATGCTAAGTTAACGCATGTATGAATCTGATCAAGGGTACATACCCCCCCCCCCCCCCCCCCCCAGAGTGTGCAACGCCTGATCCAGCTCTGCATAGGGTCTTGGTCGAGCGTAATTGGATCTTCTGATGTTATGCGTACACTCCACACCAGCGCAAGGCCGACCTCAAGGCAGGGCACCGTTGTTTTTGATCCGAGAGTACCCGCGATTCCCCGGGTTCCCCTCAGGCTCAGATGTGTACGGTATTATGACGCAAAGATCCGATTACGCTCGGCCAAGACCCTATGCAGAGCTGGATCTGGCGTTGCACACTCTGGGGGGTTATGTACTCTTGATCAGATCCATTATTCGCAGCAGTGAACATAACAGGGAAAACGTCAAATCCATTTTCTGGCATGGAGAAACTGCCTGGGACCAGCAGCACACCAGCACAAACAATGCACGTACAGTGAAACGTCAGTACAGCGTACCTCCAACGGCCGTAAAAATATGTACTTTACAGCCGAGGTACTGTACATCCAAGGTCAGATGACTGGTATAGTACAATGCAGGGTTGTCGGAATAAGCCCATCGCGCAACGACGTAATTTGTACCATAAACACCCCCACACAGCCACCTGGGCATGGCCGTCTGGGGTGTTGAACAGTGCATTCCTGGTCCCAGTGTACTCAGTTACTTACATACATTACTCATACCTTTCATATTTGGCAATGCGCAATGGGCTAATTGTACTTGATATCCCATATGTTATGCCCAGTGCATCTTATACTGAAGTTTCACTGCAATGTGTAAGTACTTCTCATTATAACACCACCCTCCAACATTCTCCACGTGCACAGTGTACATGTACATGTACGTTAACGTACTTGTCACTGAACATGTCCAGAGAACCGGCGAACACCACTCTGGCATTGTTGCGTGCCTGAACGGCAGCCACCAGTCCGGTTTTCCTGCCAACCGCGTGAGGGTACTGGACAAAGAGAACACGCACACAGCACGCGCGCACACACACAGCACACACACAGACGAACAAGCACGCAATGAGCCACATACACAAAGCAAACAGGGTGCACCATGGCTGTGCAGAAGGCCTATAAAGCTGTTCCGTTTATCTGTGAACATTGGTTTTGATTAGGCTCATCTCCATGGTCGGTCAGGTTGTCATACACACCAAGCGTCATGCTCAGCTGCCAGTCTCTTTTTCGCATGTACATCTTCTTAGTATGCAGTGCTTCGATCGAAAACATGTGCTTCTACATTGTAGTCCTAGTTTTCGCAGCTGCTTTGGTGGTTATTGCTTTCATATCAATGCTTTGGAATGGATAGCGTTTGTTTCTGGTGGTTCCTCTCTCTCTCTCTCTCTCTCTCTCTCTCTCTCTCTCTCTCTCTCTCTCTCTCGCGCGCGCGCGCGTGCGCGTGCGTGCGTGTGTGTGTGTGGATCTTATATACTGTGTGTTGAAAGAGAGCTGAGTATTAGCAGAGCTGGGGGCCTAGTCATTCATGCCTCCTACCCAATGACAATGATCAAATATAACTGTATACAACGCAAGAACTTTTCGACAACTGCATACGCATATACAGAGAAAGAAAGGCACAGGCACACACGCACGCACACACACATCCTATAGTGTAACCTACCACTGTGATCTTTTCATCCTGGTAATAGGAGTAAGTGCTGCCGGAACCATGCACGATGGTGGTCACCAGAGAGTTGTCTGGGTCAACGACAAGTCTGCAGAGCGGAGACAGAAAAAGAAAGGTAGGACAGCAGATGTCGTAACTCTAGCAAGGCACGTACAAAGTCTACAGTACAATGCATTCTTTACAGGGTCAGGTTTGGGTATAATGGCATTGGTATTAAATAGAGAGGTTCCGCATAACGTAATTACGTTAGTAAAAAACGTAGTCGATCTACAGAAAGTCTTACGTAAACTGCATGTGCATCTGGGTTCCGCCATACGGAGTTTTCAAATCACGCAGCTGCCCTTGGCAACTCCGAACGCGGCAGTGTACGACCAGATCGACATGGGGAGAGAGTCATAAATTTGTACCCCAATCCACTTACTGACCAGCTACGTTATCAGAGCCCTATCTACGTACTCTCCGTAGACAACTTTCCGTAAGTGGAGTGCAAACTCGCGAATTCACGGGTTTTTCCCGCCCACTAACGTAAAGTTACTCAACTTTACGTAGTGCGGAACCTCTCTAATAACGGCAGATCATAGCTCATGAGCCAGAGAACTCCTCTCTGTGTAACAACAGCTAAGGCCACACCAAGTTAATTCTATGTTTCGCGTTGGACATTTTCTGGAAAAGGCACATGGGCGGGCGGAAAAAAAACAAAACTACATTCTACATGTACGTGCACTGAGCTATGTTGCACAGAGAATACTGTAAAAGCCATATTGAAGTGCTAACTCTAACGAGTTAACGAGGAAAGATCTATCGTTAAAATAGAAATCGTTATACAGAAATCGATACAATACTGTTGCTATTGAGCGTTGAGAATGAGTCAGAATCGTTACCTTTTGTTCACGTAAACTAGTCAATTTTAGGAAATCGTTCTATATGCGCCTCGTTAGAATACCGTATTTTACCGGTTGTAAGTCGACCCCCCTATCTGGAGGTCTCAATTCTGTGTTTTAAAGTTTTCACCCAAAGAAGCACTACTAACCACCTCCTGCTACTAACACATCAACAAATCATGTAAATATTCCTTATTGGAGGATATAACGGCCCAATCCTTGAAAAAGGCCCATAAACTGGCAAAAATGTATAAACATGGTGCACTCGTGCATGCAGTGCAGGTCATTTTTTGTAAGATACTGATAGTTCCCGGTTATAAGTCGAATCCCGGTTGTAAGTCGACCCCCACCCTTTCTCCTTCTATTTTAAGTCGTAAAAGGTCGACTTACAACCGGAAAAATACGGTAATGGCTTTTACAGTAGCACTACTAAACTGTCACCTATATCCAAAACGACAACACGTCACCACAGGACAGCTGGCGAACTGGGTAGGAGCGATACAATAACAGATTTCATGGATGGCTCCTTCCGCACTTTGACATGAGTGGAGTGGAATTCCGCTCCATCACTATCGTGGAAAATCTCGAAGTTCTTGACCCCTGAATCTCTGCTCACTTGGTGAGCAGGCCCTACACTGGCCTACAGTACGGCTTGGAAAAAAAGAAATTTTAATCGCTCTCACCTTCTACGTACCATCGCCTGGAAGGCAAAATTCATCGAGAAGCAGATAACCTCTGATCTGCCATACTGGCTAGAGAATGCTGGCCAGAACAGCCATCGATTGACTCGTCTCGGTTCTTCTTTTTGTTGTTGTCAAGGATTCGAAAAGATACGCGCGCGGTGAAGCGAAACATAGAAATGACTTAGTATGGCCTAAATAGCAACACTGTTCCCCTGGTCTACAGCACATTGTTCACTTACAAAGTTGCCACCACAACACAAGCAGAAACAGTGAAACTCACCCGACACCACTGAATAGCAAAGGAGCCGAGAGAGGCTTGCCAGCGATGGGGACGTTCTTGATGACGTTGTCGGGGTCAACGACAATGCGCGAATGTTTGCCTTGGTCGGCAGTGTCATGATTGACGTGATCAATCACGCTAGTCTTGGTCTCATCAAATTCAATGCCACACTCACTTCCCAACTTACGCAAGGGCTCGTCTGAGAAGGAAAAAAAGACATGTTGCAACACGCCAACAAGCAACAAGGGATACTCTTGAACTAGCACAGATATCATCAATCACTCTAGTAAACATGCTTGGTGTGGCAAGATGGAGCGCAAGACACAATACTACAGCGTAGTCCAGGATAATACTTACATTCACACTGCCACCACAGGTCATAATACACCTTCCCTGAAGTTTGTCAAGCAGGCAGTCAGAGCTGGCACACTGATACACACAACCATCACAAGTCGTAATTATTTAATTTTCCTGGAGACTGTCAAGCTGGCTCAGGGCTGACACACTGCCAGCTATGTCTAGCCAGGTTGATCTGTCGCTCAGAATCCTCACAAGAAACTCCAACATCCTGTATAACAACACGCTTCTACAAATGCCTGGCAATACAATATTACCGATGGAAGGATTGGCAGCTACAAGAACATTTCCTCCGTCATCGATGAACTTCAAGATGGTCCGGACATTAAGCTTGCCACCAAACTCTGAAAGAAACCAAGACAGCAGAATACACAAAAATATACATGTATGAGACGGAGTTTCTGCACTCGGTAAAGCAGGTCAGATTCTAACGATTTTAACTTCTTAGCTGAAACAGTCTCCAGGAAGAAAGACGAACAATTCTGGTGGCAGTCTAGATTTGTACACTCTAAAAAGGCTGAAAATCAAAGATGGAAAATTGATGTTGAGTGATACACCAGTCGAAGGAGCACGAACAGCTGCTTACAGAACCTTAAGCTAAATCACATCAGTCATTCTAACGTTAAGGTCACATTCGTGTGCGTACATCGCTGGGTGAACATCAGACAGCAATGCCATCATGACAGCATGGCGGCATAATTACCATCCGAGCGCACTGTCGCAAGGCTGCAAGCCATACTCCTGCTATAAACCTAAAAAACCATTTTTTTACACAATGTATTCTTCTGCTGATTTCCTTTCGTGCTATGGCATATGCTTGGTGTGTTGTATCACCTCGTTTCTTTTTCCTGTTTTCACATGTTTACTTGTCCATATCAAAGTATCTTGCAAGTAGGCCCCCTTCCATTGTAACAATCATGCAGGTCAACAAATAAACAGTGCTCACGGCACGTCCTTCCTGTTGCTGAAAAAATCATCATAGATTTTCAAGAAAATATCGGGAATCCTCTTTATCACTTCTCTCAAAAGATAAAAGTACATATTTTGTAGTATGAACGCAGTGTCGACAACATAATAATACAACTCTGGCCCGGGCTAGTCTGTTTATATGTGCTTTTTCTGGCCCGCCTAGCCGGGATCCCGTCTCGCCGGGCCAGCCCGCTTGACATGTAAACACACAACATGTTTTGTGTGGATTTGTGTACACCCCCGAGATCCCGTTGCAGGCGGGCTGGCAGGTTGAGTGATTGTTGCTGCTCCGCTCGTGAGTTCGTGTACAATACGCCATGTATATCCAAGGCGGAGGTGGGATTACAACGAGCATCAACTATTATTTTGTTCACAGCATCAGGCAGCGACATTCATCATGTTCATACTATTTCTAGTCAACAGTAACAAGCAGTCCATTGAACCAGTAACTACAGCTGAAACTAGCACTACCTGAAGCGATACCAAACATTGTACTGTCAAGTGTCAGAATGATCATGAGTGTTGGCATCGATAAACATCACTGTGATCAATGATCATCATGGTGATGTTCATCAGCTCTGTATACATGTAGTCATGGTACAAAGTCATGTAGTCTACATTGTAGTACTGCCTACTGGCAACCTGTCGGCTGCTGGAGCTGCGCATACAATCCACCCCCTAGTTGGCTTGATAATGGAGCATTGCTATTGAAAAAAATAATAGCACAGTCTCCAATAATAACACAGTCTCCAATAATAGCACAGTCTCTAATAGTAGCGCGGGTAGAGCTGTCACTGAAAAAATAAGAGCCCAGGCATCTTATTAGAGAAAATACGGTACACAATTTACAAGCATCCTACCTGTTACTGATGGAGAGAAAATGACCAAATGCTGGTAAATGTATTCACCATACTTCGAAAGCGCAAGGCCCGAGTTATCAGCTGTGGCGAATTCTAAATCAAAGCCACGATCTGAAACAGAGAAGTACGGACAGCTTATATATACGCGCCTGTAACCCATAAACCGATACGTCTAAAGTCCACCCAACTTTGAACATCTCTCACCTCTCAATGAATTGAAGAATATTGAGTGAGTGTAAGCTAAACTATGGTCATCCAACAGCACTAAAGTTTTATCTCCTGCGCTGGCAAGCTGCAAGCACACGCAGAGCACTGCTGCTACAAGCCATCTGTGAGGACCCATTCTCCAGGGAGATTTGCTGGTGGCGATATCCCCACAAGAGGCAATTCTCTGTTATTGCAAATATTGCAATAAATACAGCGTGAAAACATCTGCTGCACTTGCACTCCACATACCAAAATCAGTTGGCTATGCAGCGTCATCATCGAAAAACTCAGGAAAAAGCGAAAAGCGATACGGGAAGCTACCCAAGCGAGCGACGTAGCCATAACAATCAACATGGCGAGAGACAGCCATGACAACATGCGACGCTGACGTACATTCTCGTCGCACGCGGTGCACGCGGTGCATGCAGAGCATTGTTGTTTCGAGAAAGCTTTTTTTTGTGTGTCGTGCTGAGTGTGAATGAAATGAAAAGTTAGTTGTAGCCTTACTTCTGATTTGATTTTCATCTCCCTTTTGCTTTACCAAACCAGGCAATGGTTTTGCTGCTGTGAGATCTCTTGTTCTTGTGAGTAGATCCACCGTGTGAGGTCGAGAACAGAACAAAGATGGGAGTTCCTGCTTTTTTTCGCTGGCTCTCACGCAAGTATGCGTCAATTGTGGTGCATTGTCGGGAGGAGAAAGCCAGAGAGGTGAACGGTGTAAAGATCCCTGTCGATACCACTGCTCCTAATCCCAATGACACCGAGTTTGATAACTTGTACCTGGATATGAATGGCATCATCCATCCATGCTGTCATCCTGAGGATCGACCAGCGCCGAAAAATGAGGATGAAATGTTTGAGCTGATCTTTGAATACATTGACCGGATCTTCGCCATTGTGAGGCCCAGGAAGGTGCTGTACATGGCTATTGACGGCGTGGCACCACGTGCAAAGATGAACCAGCAGCGCTCTAGGCGTTTCCGCGCCTCCAAGGAGTCTGTGGACAAGGTCAATGATATTGAACGCATCCGGCGAGAGCTTCAGGACAAGGGTTGTCACCTGCCCCCACCCAAAGAGAAGAAAGAGCACTTTGATTCGAACTGTATTACGCCTGGCACCGAGTTCATGGCCAACCTAGCTGTTGCCCTGCGCTACTATGTGGCTCACCGGCTGAATAATGATCCGGGATGGAAGAATGTCAAAGTGATTTTGTCCGATGCGAACAGCCCCGGTGAGGGAGAGCACAAGATCATGGATTATATTCGTCATCAGCGATCGCAACCCGACCACGACCCCAACACACATCACTGCTTGTACGGCGCTGATGCTGACTTGATCATGCTGGGGCTAGCAACTCACGAGCCCCAGTTCACTATTCTGAGAGAAGAATTCAAGCCCGGCCAGGTGGTGAGGACGTGCGACATCTGCGGGCAACCTGGCCATGAGATGGCGGAGTGTGAAGGACTGCCCAAGGAGAAAATCAACACCGACGGCTTTGATCCAATGCCGGTTGCCGAAAAGGAGTTCATCTTCATCCGCCTGTGCGTTCTGCGCGAGTACTTGGAGAAAACCCTTCGTTTAGACGGTTTGACATTCCCGTTTGACTTTGAACGTGCACTGGACGACTGGGTGTTCCTTTGCTTCTTCGTCGGCAACGACTTCTTGCCTCACCTTCCATCACTGGAGATCCGTGAAGGTGCTATTGACCGGCTGGTGGGTATCTACAAGGATGTAGTTCCCCGGTGCGGTGACTACCTCACTAAGGCCGGTCATGTCAATCTGCGCCAGGTGCAAATGTTGATGAAGGCGCTGGGAGAGATGGAAGATTCCATTTTCAAGAAGCGTCAGGAAGACGACAAGGAGTTTCGGCGGCGCGCCCGTGACCGTAAGCGCCAGGAGAAGCTTCGCCGTGCTGGCCGCGAAGTAGCGCCGGTGTTCATTCACGGAGGATCACTAGCTCCAACGCCTATCGGTCAGACGCCAACGCCAGTGCACGGTGCAAAGCAAGTGGCGGCTGATGCACGCATGCAGCGCTTGCCCACCACACCCTCAGGACCCGCCAGCGAGGCAACAACACCAAGCAGCAACACAGCGGCCGCCGCCGACATCCGCTCGCAACTGCGTGCAATCAGGAACCAGTCTGGCGAATCGCCGTCTTCTCAGGCAACTACGCCTGGCGGTGTGTCTGTTCCCGGTGATTCACCAAGCTCAGGCGGCGTCAAGCGCAAGCATAATCAAGTTGACGAGGACGAGGATGATGCGCCACCGGACAATGTCCGCCTGTGGGAAGAAGGGTGGCGTGCCAGGTACTATGAGCACAAGTTTGGCATAGACGCACTGGAGGATGTCGTGGAGTACAACCGCTTCAGACGCGAAGTCGCCAATGCCTACGTTCAAGGTTTGTGCTGGGTGCTGGCTTACTACTACCAAGGATGTCCCAGCTGGAAGTGGTACTATCCATTTCACTACGCCCCGTTTGCGTCCGACTTCCCCGACATCACGGAGCTGGACGTTGCCTTTGAGGCCAATACCCAGCCCTTCAATCCGCTTGAGCAGTTGATGGGCGTCTTCCCAGCAGCCAGTGGCAAGTTTCTGCCTGAGTCATGGCGCACGTTGATGTCTTCTGACGAGTCGCCCATTATTGACTTCTACCCGACAGATTTCAAAATCGATCTGAACGGCAAGAAGTTTGCCTGGATGGGCGTAGCACTGCTTCCGTTTGTGGATGAGAAACGACTGCTGGGCGCTTTGGCCGGGGTCTATGATGACCTGTCTCCGGAGGAGAAGTTCCGCAACAGCCGTGGTAGTGACCGTCTCTGCTTCCACCGCAGCAACTCAGCGTTTGACTTTGTCAACACGGCTGTGAACGAGTGCACAGATGGAGAGGAGGAGGCGAAGCCGGTTGCCTTGAATGCAAAGCAAGCCCAGGGCATGGGCGGACTGGTTTGGAAGTGCAAGGATGACGTGACCATTGGTGGAGTTGTTGAGGCTCGCCCGTCTACCCTGGAGTCGGTCGACAACAACCAGTCCATATGCGTTCACTTCATCGACCCACCAGTAAGCGAAGGTTACACCTTTCCTGCGTGCATGCTAAAGAATGCGCAACTTCCCGGGAAGGTGTTGAAACCAGAAGATCATGACGTGGCGCAGCAGGGTGGCCGACGGGGTGGTCGTGGGGGATATCGTCCGCAAATGGGATTCACTCCGCGCAACAACCAGGCACACCGCGACGCGTCCACCGCCAACCGCTTCATCAGAAACTCGATGCAGGGCGGAACAGAATCGCACGACGGCCGACGCTTCACGCCCACACACTACAACCAGCGCGGCGGTTTCGGCCGTGGTGGTGGTGGCTACGGCCGCGGTGGCAGTGTCAGCGTGCCCAACTCTCCCCAGTACTGGGGCCACCATCAGCAGCAGCAGCAACCGTATGATCAGCGACACCACCAATACGACCAGCGGCAACATCATGATCCGCGACAGCAGCAGCATCATCATCACCAGCAGCAGCAGTACGGTCAGCATGGTGGCAATAATCGGCATAGCTATGGTGGTAATAGCGGCGGTGGCGGTGCCGGAGTTGCTGGTTACAGCCCATGGGCACATCACACGCCTAGAGGCGGCGGCGGTCGCGGCGGCGGTGGCGGTGACTATGGCAACGCCGGCAGCTATAGCGCCGGACGTGGTGGCTATCGGGGCGGTAACCGAGGCGGCGGCTCCCCGTACCAGCAATCTCCACAGTCTCAAGGTGAGTGTGCATAATGTTTTTATGCCTGAGGCCATGGGCATGTCTAACGTTTATATTCTCCTAGCTGTGCATGTCAGTATTGGCTTTTGGTGTGTACTAGTGTGTATGTGTGTGCACGGATATACTGGTACTCGTACTGTTGCGGACATTGAAATCCGTTGAGAAGTCAAGCGGCCACGGGCCACTGGCCGTGCAGCCGTGACCACTACAGGTCCTACTCGTACAGTGTTACAGTGTGTGTACACGCTAAGCAAGTAAGGACGTCGGCCCCAGTCATTCCACCGGACTTCTATGTCCCCACAATAGTACGGCCAACAGGCACCCAGGGGTGTTCTAAAAAGAACTTCTCCACCCAATACAGAAATGCCATTGGCAGTGAGTGAATAGCATTGGCCCATGTGATCGTAAACTATTCTTCTTCAGACAGCTACTTGGAATGGGCAGGAACAGGGACATGAACTATTTACGAAGAAAAACATGGGTGTGGAACTGTGGATACATTGGCTGCATAGATTCTGTGAACCGTCATAATTATGGCAGCAGATCTAACCTCAGGAGTGATGGCATATCACTGGTGAAGAATGAGCTTAGCACAGCTAAGATACTTGATTGGATTTGAAGAGTCCCTGCTTCCTGCAGGTTGTACAGATACATTTCACGTGCCTGTTACTGCACCAAGTCCTTTGCTCAACCAATAGGCAATCCATTTCTGAGTACTAGTACTGTGTGGGTACTTCCTCAAGTGACAAAGCATGTTGTGTGTTGATTTGGTGTGTGTCTGCGTGTTGTCAATGTTGCTGTCACTCGTGCTGCATGTCCAGGACAATATGGTGGCTATCAGAACCAACGGTACCAGCAGCAGCAGCAGTCACCCTACAACCAGTACAAGTAATGCTGCGGTCGCAGGCGGACTGCACGCCTCTCGGCTCGTCGTGTTTCCGGCTCCAGAATGCCGGTACAAGTGAGCCTTATTCGTTCTCTGTTTGTTCCCACATTTAGTGTTTAACATTTTCATTTTTAGTGATGTTTGAACTTTAACATTTACTTTGTTGGTTTTTGAAATGTTTCTACTGCTTCAAATTGCTTCTTCGCTATGTTTGGGTGAGCACCTTTCTTGCCTCTAACCCACCTTGAAGGGCAGCAGTTTACCTTCAAACATTAGTGACTAAGTCAATGCAGTTGTCACGAACGATTTGTGACCACAGCAAGGATGGCCGGCTCTTTTGAGTGAGTAAAGTAACTATGATGGTGTGCTTTGCTGAGGCGCGCACACTCACACACACACACACACACACACACACACACACACACACACACACACACACACACACACACACACACACACACACACACACACAAACATACACAAACATACATACATACATACAGAGTACTATTTGTGAAGTAGTCTGGAACCGTACTGTCTTGTCACCGCTGGTACGCGGGCTGTCGCTAGACATACACATTGTACAGGCGTGTCTCAGCGTTCTGTCACTTCTGTGCGCTTTATTTAGCGTACGTGTATTATACTGTATATACTATGTGAGCAACATTCTGTGTATGTTCCATCATGTCTTGTATTTATGTTCCTACTGTACATGTACATGTACCCATGTACAATACATTGTGAACCGGTCCAATAGAAAACTGTTCATGTCCCAGGAGTTTTATGGTATCCCCATCTGGGGGGGGGGGGAGAAAGAGTGGTGCAATGGGCAGGTTCAATTAGTGGCAATCAAACGCGTCCAATGTGTAACAGCAAATTTGTGGTTTCAGCGACCAGCCGAACTCTGAAACCAGAGTAATCCGCGAAGAGAAAATAATTATTAATTACAGTAAAACTCCCCAGATATGGTCAGGTTGGGACCAAGCGCTGCCTGTAATCAGGAATTGCCCGTATCTCAGATTTTGTATACTTTATACTGCTTGCAAGAAAAGATTTTTATGCCCATCAATATGTCTGTTTTTGGGCTTTTTCCCTTGAAAAGCCATGTTGTGAGTGTAGATGGGTGAGAAAGGTGCCCGGTACACGGACGTGCCCCGACTAGGGACGTCTGCATCTGGGGAGTTTTACTGTACGCCTTTTCTTGTAGCTGGTGACATTCTGAGAACTTTTGGTTTTCAGGACAGTTGTAATTAGGGCTGAAACGATCATCCATTTAGCCCAATCGATTACTCTTTATCATAACGATCGATTATTCAATTATAATCTTTAAGAGGCCGCACCTGGAATATGTACGTAGAATGGCCAAAAGTGGAAATATGTACAAAATTTTGCACAAAAAAAGTGTTATGTATGCAGACCGGACGCGACCTTGACCTTCGAGCTTCATGCTCCAGCTTCATTGTACTACACTAGGACTGTTTTTCGATTTTGACAGCATGTAACAAGGCGAGTCGCGCGTGCAGTGCGTAAGAAATTAAAAATTTAAAAAACGCAAAATAATCGTAATTGGTAATCTAAACGATTGCTCGATCGTTAGAGTTATCAAACGAGTACTCGATTATTCGGTATAATCGTTTCAGCCCTAGTTGTAATGATCACGCATTGTTGTCTGATGATCGTCTGTTTGCGTGGAGCTCGGCGTTATAACCAGTAGCTTGTTCCATTTTGTCCACAGTGTGTACCCAGCTCTGCACGTTGTGTGTATGGAGCACTATCTCGGCAATAGTGCCTGCCTTTGTGTAAGTTTCGAATCATCCATGCACTTATCAAGCTTTGGCCCCAAGCTAGGTGTTAGAATAACTACATCTATACTCTATGGCCATACAGGCATACACCCTTGGAGAAACAAAACAAAATATTAATGAGTATGATTATGCCACCCTAGCCAATAGCCATGCAGTATGACTGTAGGCTACTGGTATAATTATGTAACTTCAGCCACCAGGGCCTATTATATTGATGGAGTCTCATTGGAGCAGTTGGTTGTACTCAGTTATATGGTCGACATTCATGTAGGTACATGCACCGAGAAGACCAGGGAGTCGTAAATATACGGTATTTTACGACTCCCTGGAAGACAATATTCCATGCCACCGCACACTACGGCTATTCGCGGAGTGCTGGAGGTTTGTGATGCTACTCAGACTCGCCGGTATTAGTACACGTTGACCAAACCAACCAGTTCATGACTTTCAAAGTCAACTTGTAGTCCTTTGTTGGTGTTTTGGTTGTCAGATAAGTTTAGACCTAGAATTCCAAACTTCGGTGTGGATCATACTCATACCAGCAAGAGTCCATAAACATGTCGCTGGGTGCACTCTTGATACCAGTAGGAGGAACACATTTGGGTATGGTTGTGGAGGTTCTAATCTGCTTCATGCTCATATCCCCTTGCAGGATGGCCACTGAATGTGCTGTTGTCAGCCGACAAAATCCACGCAGAACATCTGATATTGGCTGAGGAACTCATGCGTACCACCAAGAGTTATGAACTCTTGGTACCACCGTGGTTTGGCGTGGGCTTGAGTTTCCATGTCACTGGGTGCAGTTAGTGCATTGTTGCAGGAATAATTTCATTGTACATGTACATGATTGTACATGAGTGTATGAAGTAATGTACATGAGTGTATGAAGTAATGTACATGAGTGTATGAAGTAATGTACATGAGTGTATGAAGTAATGTAGAATTGCTACAGAAAGATATACAATGTGGGTAAGGCCACCCTTTGTTAATTCATTGTTTAACGTCCTTTTTTTCGCGAAAAGGTACGCGGGAGGGCGGAAAAAAATACAAAAGCCCATTCCAAAAACTGGAAACCCCAATCAAACATTTTGACCAGTAAAGCATGTGATATATACAATATATCTGGGTCTAACGGCACTTGCAGGCATAGAACAACACTCTTTGATGGTACATTGGAGCACATGCCTGATGAATCCAACAAAACAGGTACATAGCATGGAGTTAGCATGTCATGAATTCATTACATCTGGATTTTTACTAGGACACACACCGCGTACCGTACGATATTTAAAAGCCAACAAAAAAGAAAAAGAACACAAGACAAAGGCATGCCCGGGAGGCAAGATTATAAGTTTAAGGTCATGATCGGCACACTGTGAAACTACACAATCATGTATTAACAACTTCGCATATTATTGGTACTAGTACTACTACTTTCTTGTTTTTTTTCCGGTCGGAGGCAAAAAGGTACGCGGGCGCGGACGTTAAACAACGAAAAAAGAAAGGGTGGCCTAATCAATACTCCCCGGTGTTGCACAGCTGGAGGTACAGTGTGTAGCCCCATACGTATGCATGTACACCGTGCATGTAAAATTGTTTTGATCAAAGATGATAATTATTTTGATTGTGGTGCAAGGTTGGACTCAGTACCGACTGAAGGGCACATGCCATCAAGGGTGGACTAGAGATAGAAGTCAGTGCCTTGAAGTTGAAGAGTGAGGGGTGGACTAGAGACCTGAATTGATGTCAGTCACAAGAGTGAAGAGCACAGGGCCGGAGGAAGGAGTTTGGGAGTGGTCCGGTCAACCTTTCAGGGGGGTCGGGGGGCCTCCCCCGGGAGAAATATTTAAATTTTACGTGAAATAGAGCGAATTTGGGCATCTCTTGGCTCCAGAAAATGCAGAAAATTATAGTAAAAGAACCCATACAGTGCCGGTCGCGGAGTCCTGAGCTACTTCGAAGCACATCATATATATCACACGTCGGCAGTACAGTCGAGTCATGTACCTCTGGATTTTTACACCGGTTAACCGTTTTGCACGAGTCACATGGACCATCCAGCTGGGAAAGTGGTCTGGCCATGGCCGGACCGGCCTGACCGGTTCCGCCGGCCCTGGAGCACCACGCGTGATCAAGGGTGTTGTTTCAACACTGCCCCCCCCCCCCCCCCCCCCAATATAGTAATAGGCATGCAGCCAGTGGGCCAGCCACATACACAGGCATGCAGCCATTGAGTAGTACATTGTACTGCACCAGTCTTAGTGCAATGGCAATTGTTGCTCCTTTGGCCCACTCACCAAGTCCAATTGCTTGCTGTTTAGAAATCCAATAAGAGTGGCATGATTAGACCGTTTGGGTATTGATACAAGAGCCACCAAGTCTAAGCAACTGACGTGCCAGACGCTGATGATGCTGATGATAAATAGAGAATCATATTAGGAGCAACAGTCCACTTGGGAATCAGTGTAGAGTTGTAGTAACGTAGTTGATGTGCATCCCAAAATCAAAAGTGCAACAGATGATTAATTTTGTAGGAGGTGGGGGCATCCCAAAATCAAAAGTGCAACAGATGATTAATTTTGTAGGAGGTGGGGGCACACTACATGATTGTATCTGTTCCTCTGAAGGACTTAGTTGGGTGGGCAGCCAATAGTTGCAGCGTTCAGAGTAAAAAAACTAGATGCATGATTACTGCTACCATTAACCGATTGGAATGATGGGAGCATGGTGGAGGAGATGCTTGTACCATAATTATCATATGCCAGTCCATGTACCAATGTATGATGCTGTAATTGATTGGGCATGTACACGATGATGCAGTTTCATAGTCACTTCACACTCAGGGGATTGCTTTGGTCACTCACAAGGCCTAAAATCATAAGTGATACTGTCTTGCAGCCATTCTTTCCAGCATGAGGTATCAGTGGAATTAGAATGATTCGTCTGGGATTCACATACATGATGGTATCTCTGATTTAAAAGGAATTTGTGAATGTGCCTGGAATGATGCCGGGAGTATTACAGACGAACTTACTTCAAGTGCCTGCATACCGGTGATGGTCAATGCTATGGTGTACCGGCTAGGCCAGGGCAAGTGGGCCAGCCTCCAGAAAATATCATCCCGCCTGAGCTAGCTGAGTGATATGCTGAGAAAGTCATCTGTGATCAATTATGGCCTGGAATTGAGGAGCATGAGAGCTTCACATGTAAAATGTGCCTGTAGGTCCACAAAGGAATATGATACTGTCTTGCAGCCATTCTTTCCAGCATGAGGTATCAGTGGAATTAGAATGATTCGTCTGGGATTCACATACATGACGATATCTCTGATTTAAAAAAGGAATTTGTGAATGTGCCTGGAATGATGCTGGGAGTATTACAGACTACTTGAACTTACTTCAAGTGCCTGCATACCGGTGATGTTCAATGCTATGGTGTACCGGCTAGGCCAGGGCAAGTGGGCCAGCCTCCAGAAAAATATCATCCAGCCTGAGCTGAGTCACGCTGAGAAAGTCAACTGTGATAAATCATGGCCTGGAATTGAGGAGCATGAGAGCTTCACATGTAAAATGTGCCTGTAGTTCCACAAAGGAATATGTGAATTAGGCCCAATGTGAGTAGAACCTAGCCTGATTCTAGGACTTGGAAGACAAGAATGTCCCAGCCTGACAACATACGGTAAGAGTGACCCGTCTTCTTGCAAGAATAACTCTACAGTACTCAGTACAAGTACTAGTAAGTGGTGGGTCAGTGTAACGGTCTCCAGTACAAACCCATACTACAAAGAGTACATCAATCTGTATGTACTGCATGGAGTGTTTCTGTGCTGTACCGTACGTGTAATTTGCAGCGCTGCATACGGTCATAGTGGATCTACTGCAGTGGATATGGCACATGGCCCCTTGCTTCATCAGATCATATGAATGTGTGTGTGTGTGCTGGGGGGGGGGGGGGGGGGGGGGGGGGGGCTCCGGAATTTGTTTATTTTAGGTACCATGGCTTGAGGGTATTATTGGAGAGGGTATGGACAGTTGTCCACCTGCACATGTCACTGAGGTCACCCGTCTACTCCAGTACTCCAGTGAATACAAAACCTCATTGACAATTACATCCTGGTATGGTTTGATGAACCACCCATACAATCATTACAAGGCCATACACACGTAGTACTACTACTACTACTACTACGGAGAAACCAACTTTGATAAGACGTACATGCACATGATTGTGTGTAGCACAGGTACAGTATATCCAAGTTCAAACGACTGGTATAGTATACTGCAGGTCCTCCACATACTACTTACTGGTCGTAGTAACAGATTATCCTGAAGTTTCACTGCACACGTAGGATGATTCTCATGACGTGCTGCTTATGCTCAGCTTCAAGCCTGAGTCCATCATAGACCTTGTAGATCAAGGTGACAGCAGTGCAAGTCCTTGCGAGGTCTTCCAGTGAAATAATAGAAACAGCTCGCATGTAGTCCATGACTGAGATCATCCATGGGGTTTTAACGCTTCTGTAGATAAATGAGAACAAAACGAGAAGAACGATACACATTCTCTCCATTCTGTTCTTGCAGGGGGAAACCCGGCCAAATTTTGGCATACTAGTAAATGAATACATATTCCACTTGTATTATGACGATGTATCTTCAAAGCCAAGTACTAGTACATGTACTACTGACAAATGTTGTAAATAGCACAATGATGTAGGATGCCCCGGGGTGGTGACAAGATGTACCAAAAATCACATTATTGGTTACTGTGCTGCTAGCATCATTCACTCATCCCATTGTCAGTATTGAAGAGGCCCCTGCATATGCTGGGGAGGTGGTCACAAAGCTGATATGGGCCATAGTACTGTGAGTTTGAGCTCCAATATTAATGGGGGCGTTCTATTGTCACTCTTTGGATTTTCGAGGAGTTCCTTTTTCTGAAGAGGTGATTTATTGGCCGCTTCAGAAAACGAAAGTCTCCTCGAAACTCCACAGCCTCATCCAATGGCAATGGGAGAGGTGGATTAGCTTAGAAGACCTTGGAATATTCCCTGGAAAACTGCCTTTTGTAAGGGAAGCCCATTTTCACGTGGGAGGCACGCTTGGAAAATCTCATTGTTATGCCAATTCCAAAGGAATTAGTGAGGCTGGCAACAAGGGTTCTATTGGGGGGGGGGGGGGGGGGGGGGGAGTAAAATAATAAAATACAAATTCGGATACTTCTACCGATCTCTTCTAAGAATAGTAAGATGTTTCTTGAAAAGGTGATGAGGACAATTCGAACGAACCCTAAGTCTTACTACATGTACAATGAGTGCAGTAGAATGACAAAGGCCACACCGTCGGAACAGAAAATTGCACGGAACAGCCTAGTATAAGTAAAGCTGTAAAAACTTCAAACTACCAGCGCCACCATTATCACTCTGAACAGGTCACATAACTTCATAAGCCAGCACCAACCTCTTTACACCTGAACTACAATGTCTACATTGTAGTTTTGTACTGCCACATTTTAATTATTTGCACTCACAAAATGATCCGAGTATGAAGTAACTATTTATAACAAGTAACATTACTCATACTACCGGTAGTCTTAGTCTTACTTCTTGCTAGTTATCTTCTGAGTTCTGTTCCCCAATCCATGCATGGTTCACTTGTGATGTTATGTTGGGTAGTTGTGTGCTGAAGAGACATGTCAGTCACGGCATCGACGTGTGTAGCGAGTCGAAGCTGAAGCGGCCTGAATAAGAATCTAGACACCGTTCACCACCATACTGTCAAGCGCCACGGGCTAGGTCACCTTCTGAAGGAATGCACTTGCGGCATTCATCTCTTGCCCATTGAAACGCCAACGGGTTTGTACAGTCCTATCAAGGTCCCTACAAGTACAAGGATCAGGCAATGACATCGACTGCATCGTGCGATGAACGCGTTTCAAGAGGAGCTCAAGTGCCCAGAAAGTATCTGCCAGTTTATCCCGTGCTCCTCACTCGAGCACAGGATGGTCCAACGGTGGGCGCAAAGGGTTTGTCCTGACTCCTACCGGTTCGAGCAGCACTCCTCTCTCAAGTGTTTGCGTTCTGCAACGTTAGTGCCGTTCCCTCGCGCCACGTTCCTTTCAGTGTTTCACCCTCTCAGTTTTAGCCGTGACGCCGTCTGGAACACGGTCCAACCCCAGCAGCGTGCAGCGGGATATGTGCCCGTTTGAGCGCGTCATGCCACACACCTAGACCGGAGGGGCATCGTCGACACTCAAACTTCAAAGATAGAACTAAAAAGTCTCGGCTTGCGAGTTACACAGACAAGACATTGTTACTGACTGACATGCAAATCTACCGCCGCAGTGTAGACAGCACTCGGCATAAGCCGGTTTCTAAAACTAACCTTACACTGTCCACAGTACTACAGTACAGTAGAAAAGGAGAAAAAGAGCAAAGAACATCTCCATTCAAATTACCATACCCGCTGCTGTTTCGAGCTTTCACAGCCCGCAGGAAAGAGAAAGCAGAAGTCAGTTCTAGTAGTAGTACTTCTACGACATAGTCGTAGATCTACGTACTGCACATATGATACCGGAAGAACGACGGCGGACGCCGGAACACGTAGGTCTACGCCACATCCGTGGACCACGGCAGTGCATGTGTGACCAGCCGCTGCATGCAACAGCCTGATCGAACAGGACCTGGACTGGAGTGGACGGATGGACGGACGGTGGTTCGCTGGCCCAGCTGCCGGGAGTCTCGATCTCGGACTCGGAGCCTAGCCGAGGCAGATCTGGCCTGGAAGTATTACGGGAACCGAAGAGGCGAAGTGGTGAAGTCGGAACTCGGCACGCTAGATCTAGGCCATAGGCTAGACTACATAGGCCATGATAGGGGCTAGTACGAGTAGGACGCGTCACTGGCTGAACTAGCACTGCTTCGAGGCTCATACTTGTGTGCCGGATACAAGCGTGCATGCTCCGTCTATTCGAGGTGGTGACTGCACTCAGTCTGTCTGAGCGATGAGAAGGGATAGGTCACACCGGTGCACCGCGATTGAACGCCGACTGCCAGTAGATTCTACATGATTGTAGTACTGGAGTACTACTGCACTGCCACAACCACTGCCTGCCCTCCGCGTGGTGGACATTTTTGACAGCGCAGTTTTTACTTCATTCAGTGTTTTTGAGGAACGATCAAGCAGTTCGGATTTGTTCCCAAGTACAGCAGTCTCTCCTTACGCCTAGAAGTAGAATCTCTGTGCAGTGGCACACAGTTACTGCCACTGCTCGGTAACAACGTGTTGGTAACCCGTACAGGGTGGGATCGCGGTTGCTGAAATCGACCGAATCAATCGCACTGTTCACCGCAGTGTTTAGAGGCGCTGCTCCGCCAAAACACGATGTCGCTGGGAAAGATGTCACGTTGGGTTTCCGAAAGACGCGGTAGCAGTACGAAAGAGGACGGCAGGACCCGTCGTCTTCAGAACAAGCAACTGCGACTTCACCGGCATCACAGCGAATCTGAGATTCTCGACTTGTCCGTGGAGATGAAGACGGTGAGTTGCAATGATGTTTTCGCTGTTCGTTGTCTATTATCGACGTTGCTAGTACCCACACCTTCTATTTCTAGATGTTATCCTCCTCTGGGTACGTCTTTCGTGTTGTAGTTCTGCTGCGTGAGTCACTGATCGGTCGGTGCGTGTAATGAGTATGTCCGAGTTTGTGGGAGTTGTGTGGCATCTCTTTTGAAGTTGCCATTCTGGATGCGATATCGGTTATAGTGGCGATGGTGGGTGGATTTCTGCGATTATCGCTCACCTTGCGTCTCACCCGAGTACATGTCATGCAACACCCGAACACTGTTTTACTGTTAGGCTTGCTTGAACAGGTGGCGGGTCGATTCAGAGAATGCAGCAGAGCTAGAGATTCTTTTGTTAGCCGTGCAGCAATGGGATGAGTAAAGCAGTACGAAACAGAGGTTTACCATCGATTAGTCCAGCAGGAGCTAGTGGGTAGAACGAAGGAGTTTGTGTTCGGGTGTAGTGTAGCGCTACGGTTCCACGTATTGTGTTGCTGTGCATGGGATGATGGGTATCTCACGTCTTCCACTCCGTACTAGTTCATTACATTCCGATCGAGCGCTTCTTCCGACACCGGGAGACGTCCGGGATTTCAGGCAAGGGCTAGCTTGTAGCGATGCTGCTGGTCCCGTCATCATGGTCATCTGGCCTCTTGCTAGGTGTGCATGCAGGTTAGGAACAGGGAGTCGTATATACGACTCCCTGGTTAGGAATAAGGATTATGATGATGACAGTACAGAACAGTGGGAGCAGCGATTTGGTTGGATGTAACTTACTTACTTACTTGTTGATCTGCAGCTATCACTGTCTGTATAAGTATCATGTCACTATCAGATACACGGCACAGGTACTAGGTGTGGGCCATGGCAGGGGTACGGTGTGGTGTTTGTGTAGATCTACACTCATCAGTAGGCATACTCACACTCACAGTCGAGTCGATCGCTCGCCTTGGCTTCATCCTTGCTAGCTTGGTTCCTTTCATTGTGATTATTAATATTATGGAGAGAGAATACAGTTGTATGTTTGTCTACATCATGTACATGTACATGTAGTAGTATGGAATGCGGATTAGATAGCCCACTGCGCCGTTGCTGCCTTTTTGGCTTGTTGTATTCTTTTCTTTCGCTTGCATCCGCAACCGGAGTAATTGGGTGTTTGGGTTGTTTCACCCGCATTGCAGAGAGCTCTCGGTTTATGTGTATGTTTGTGTGTCGTGCACTGTGCGTTTGTTGCTGGCTACGGTCCCGCGGGTGAGAAGGCGAAGAGGAAACACTATTGCTCTCCTGGAAGGCGTGTGCGTAGCTCTGGGCAGCGAATCAAGTGCAATGAAATGGGAATAGAGCAGATGCTAGTCGAATGGGGCGAGCAGATTTTTCAGCCTCAAACCTCCTGTAGAGCTCTCCGGGCTCCGACAGTGGTAGCTCTGGGCTGCCACTACTTCACGACAACCTGACAACGTGTGTCGCCTTGGGGTCGCCCTGCTGTCATGCCTTCAAGTCTTGCGAGCGGCCACAGCCAGCTCCGAAGAATATCCAGCGTGTTTAGGCGCTGGTCCCAGCTCTCCAACAGTGCAATGACATCGAGTTTGTGTGTTTTACTAATGATTATGTCAATAATGACTATGACTGTCTTGATCGGGCATTGGCGGGTATCTTTACTCAAGGGTCGAGTCCAACACGCCAGATAGCTAGCTCACAACCGACTCGTAGTCGACGTAGAGTCTACGATCGTGGCAAAGTAACAGCACGTTAGTTGACTGGATCGATCAAAATGGGAAAAAGGTCATATTTGGCGTAGTCGTGGTGTTCGCCTTGGCGCTTTACTCATGGCATTGTTGGCGCCTGTTTTTCTTTTACGCAAAGAATGCCTGGCACTTTCCGCCACTTAGAGCTTTCAGTGCTGGCAGACAACGGAATGCACGGAGGATACCGATGTCATACATGGTCCGTACTGTACTGCCCACATACTACATGTACTACTAGTAGTGCATGCTAGTGTCCGGTAGCACACTGAGCGGAGTAGAGGATGCACAGCTCACAACGCAAGACACAGAAACAACAATGGCTGTGAGAGGTCTTACAGAACACGACCTGCATCATGCATGGCGTCCTTTTGAAGTTAGTTTCCTATCCCCGTGGAGTGGCGCCTGCCACTTGCCAAGGATCACCTCCAAGTAACACCTGGAATCTCCTCACAGTTTCTGGGACATACTGCCTGCATCCGTAAATGTGTGTTTGTGTGAGCTGGTATTCCTTTTCGTTGATGCAGAACACTGATGACAGACTTTGTAATGAAACCCGTGCCTTTAGGCTTTTGTTGCTCTGTGAGACAGCTTCTCTCTGGCTGTGAGCGCTGTTCCACGTGTTCAACCAAAAATTGGGGGCAGGAGAAACACCTTTAGAAACGACTGATTATCTCAATCCTAGTATAATTAGTATAATTATTATAGGCCAGCAATGCCTTGGACTGGTCAGGTGTATGTTATAAATATAATCACTCCCAGTCCCAGTTGCATTTCTTGCATCATTTGTATGGCGTTGAGCCGATTATAGAGCCATTCCCAGCATATGTATCCAGGCTGAGAAAAATGACATGTTTATACTGGCAGCTGGTAATAATTGCCAAGGGGTGTGACAGGCTGGGCAGGCTTTGTGGGGGGTTCAGCACTGCATAGTTTCCTTATCACAAGAGGTTTATGGTGTAGGAACTAGTTACTAGGATGCAGCCTTCAGTCCATGCAATGCAGATCCATGTATTTTATTCTGCTGCTGTCTGTGCGGGTAGTAGTCTTTGGGAAGAGGCACGTCTGCAATCAACTTTGTGGATCTAGCACCTGCCTTTATCTGTGGAAATGGAATGTCGCGAACTAACGTTACCTGCGTCTATAGTGTAGACTCGAAATTGTTGAACAACTCCAACAAGCCATTGAATAACCTATATTTGATCATTGATGCTCACACTTTTGTGATAAATAACTATGACTGATTAGGTGGAAAGGGGTGTCTACACTCACACCCTAAGTAGGAAACACAGTAACGCAGCCCTTCCCTAAAAATGGATTCAAAATTTCTTTATATTTTCAAAGAATGAAAACACTGGCTACTTTCGAGTGCACCCAGCATTACAACTACTATCTCGAATTAGGATACGGTTTGAGAGCAGCTGCAATCCTGTCCTCCGTAGTACACAACCTGTCTACTCGAACACTTTGGGAGCCAGCCTTCCGAAATCTGTATCTTGACAGGGAAGTAAAAGGGATCCAACTCCACTATTCTTAATGCAGTTGGTTTAGGCACTGGTGATTTTTCAGTGATGGTGTGGGGTAAGGCATGATTGATGGTCTCCAATCGGAGGCTGCAGTGTCACTCTGAATAGGAAAGACTAGTAGAAGAGTGTGCGGCATTCTTGACTGAATGGCTGCTACCACCTGCCAGTGCCTAGCAGGGGACTACGGTATGCAGATGTCTTGCTATCCACGAGCAAGCCTGTGCCCATGGCATTGGGAGATAGCCAGGGAGGTACGGTATGCAGGTGCCTTGCTATCCATGAGCGAGCCTGTGCCCATGGCATTGGCGTATAGCCAATGGCATGCTCACTGCTATGCAACATCCATACTGGTGTTCAAACTTATGACGCAGGACCCTCATAGATGCCAAGAGCAGCAAAAATCTCAACAACGTGCCAGGTGATGTACGCAAAACAGTTGCCATTGAGATTCTAGCCAGCCATGCACATATGTGTGGTCTAAAAATCGTAAGTAAAATGCTGACCACAGACAAGTGAATCTGCCATCTTGGCTAACTACTTTGCTTCAAGTCATAAGTTTCTGTGTGATAAGCCACTGGCACTGATAAGCCTTGGCTAACAGTCAATATAGCAAGGCACTATTATTATAGTGATTTTTAAATCACTATAAGAAATTGAAGTCAAACTCGGGGGGGGGGGGGGATACGGTGCTCGGCTAAGCTAGGGTGAGTACAATTCCAAACTGGCCGCATGCACCACTGCAAAACAAACATTCATTCGCGATGCCTCCTACATACTACGGCGGTAAGACAGTTGCCGTGAATTGTGACCTTGGGACTGGGACTGTCACTTCTAGCCTGCTGGCTGCAGCTCGATAAACCTAACCCTGCGATAGAATGTGGCTATTGGTGTTTGCCTTGTTGAAAGGAAATAATATTACTGCATGTACTGGTGAACCAACCCGCATGGTTATCACATACATGAAGCTGCACTGGATCCATGGAGAGGGGTATACTTCAGCTTTCTATTAGCTGTCCAGATATTCTGAACACATTGGAACGGTATGTATGATCATGGTAGTCCACGGTGGGATGTAGCTAGTGCTTCTACTCTGTATCTCTTTATTATAAGTTTATTTCCTACACTACGGTAGAAGTTTGAGAAATGACCCCTGGCTCTGGAGAAGGGAAGTGACGGGAACACATAAGGGAAGTGATCGGGAACAGACCAGGGTCAAAGTCGGCGACAACCATCGTACTGCAGTTTTGAGGGGTTACATGCACTTGATCGTGGCTGTACGCATCTTTTTGTTGGTACCATTTATTTTTCTTTCCCTCAAACCAGTTAACATTTATTTTTTATTTCTGCACCTCGTAGCATGTCAAGAAAGCCAATTGAATTGAGGAGAGGGTGAGACCAACCACGGAAGAAGAGAAAAAAGAAAAGAAAAGCACGTACACAAAAGGGGTAGGGATTACTCAGGCAAGTTACAAAGCAATGGGATGCCCAGCGAGCTATGCAGCGGAAGTGGTGACTGTGATTTTGTTTACTAGAAGATACTGAAGTGCTGTCTGACGAGGGAACGGAATTTGGGCGCCGCGGTATCTGGAGCTTGCCACTGGGAGGCAATTGGAGCCACGTGGAGTAGGAGGAAAAGAAAGGGGAATTTACGAATAGGGTTTGGAGGCTTCCTTGATACACTGCGTACACATGTACCGGGACCTGTTGGATAAGTCGTTCACAAAAAAAACATGTCCTCATCACTCATCAGTGATCTTGACACAATCCCATCCTATCTCAGTATATAGTGACAAGAATAATTATCATCAGTATGTCCGACAATGTCCAAGTTGTTTGTACGCCCTTGTGGCTGTCAACTTCAGAAAACTCGTCTTCTATTACATAATTTCCACAAATTTTGTAGTGCACTAAGAAAGAGCACTATATCCATGCATGCAGGGTTGTTGCTCAGCAGCATGGAATGAAACACGCACATATTATGTACCTGTACATTTAGCGTTCTTGTTTGTCCTTTAACCATTCTGTCTCCGTGCACAGGGTGAAATGAGGATCATGCAACTGCGAGAGAGCCCGGGAGTGTCCCGTCGAGCATTCCCATCACCGGCCGGCACTCCTGGTCCGGAGAAATCCAACGGCAAGATCCAGCCGACCTCGTCCGATCCGTCATCGTCAGGCCCGTCCAATGATACGCTCGATAGCATTGATGATGACGACGAGATTGCCGAGCCCGGTTATGCCTTGCCAAGTGTATGCAGCCGTGGCAATGTGTTTGCCAGTCAACCTCGAACGTCCACGCCGCTAAATGGAAGGTAACGGGCTGGATTTGTTACCATCTTGTCAAATACCAAAGTATGTAGAGGGGACGGTTCGATACCGGAACGGTTTGACAGCCTAATTTGTATAGACCCAAACCGATCATCAGCGTGGATTGTTCACGAAAAATATGTTTGTGGAAGGAAACTGGCATGTTGAAGTTTGCTCTGAGGCCAGAGTCAGTCGAACTGAGCCACTCCTTTGTGTTGGCCCATTGCCTCCAAGTTGCCCAATTTTTCGCTTCAAATTAGAGGTGGCTCCAAACCGGAAAGGTTTTAGTGTGCATGTCAAATTCACTCTGAGTTCTGAAATTAGGTAGTTGCTGTCGCTCCACGTCGGCCATTACAGAGTAACAATAAGCCTTGTGTGCTCTTCCATTAGTTTTCATTGGTATAGCTCACCTGCTTGGTATGGCGCTTCTGGTCATCGCAGAGCCATGAAATTTTGGCCCGGAGTAAAACACATCGTAGTCTCACTGTGACATAATTATGTTTTCTAATCAAAATACCAAGAGAGAAAGTGAATATTGAGTCCGTTCCGGTTTGCAACCTATTTCCTATTTGAAACCGTCTCCTCTACTGTATGGAGGTTGTATGGATGGTGACATCTTTTGTGTGTTCAGCATTTACTGCAGTTTTAAGAGGCCAGTATATGGGCACTGGCTGCAGCTAGATTCCTTTATAGGCTGGCGTGCACTGATGTTGTCTCCTAGTGAAGGGCAAATTCATGGTACGCTTCGCAGCAGGGTTTTTTTCTGGACTAGACCGAAAGTTGGCTGTTTTTCTCTGTTCCTGTCATGTAGTGTTCACCGCCTTCCTGTTAACGGCATCACGGGGATCGCCACACCCACTGAAACTCCATCGCCGGCAAGCACCATTAGCAGCTGTGCTAAGCCGTCGAGCCAAGCGCTGGTGGAACAGGAGAAAAAGGAGGCTATCGAGGATCGCAACCAGGGTGAGTTTAAATGAGTTACAGTCAGACCGTGGCTCGCTTATCCGGTCCTCTTTTATCCGGATCCCTCGCCATCTGGAAGAAAATAATTGTTGGTTACCGATTTCCAGCATATGTCATGCATACATACAGTATGTGTGTTCGATTATCCGGTTCCCTCGCCTATCCGGACTTTTCTTGTGGAAAGGGGATGTGGGGATGTGTGCGGCTGAGCAAGATCTGACTGGATTCATTTGCTCGTTCTCTGTGGGGGTCCCTTGGCTTGCACAGTTGGAATGTTCTTGTTTCATGCTGTGGACAATTTGGGGGCTTGTGTAGCTCTTGCCAGCCAGTGTCAGGGTGTTGCGCATATCTAGTATCTCAGTATAGAAGTCAGATTCCGTGGCATTTAATACCTTGTTGGTTTTGGCAGAAAAGGGTGGCCGGAAAACACTGTCATGTCTTGATGAGCACTCTAGGTTTCTAGGTAAGACAAACTGATGCTGGGCCAATTGAGAAGTGTGCCATCTGGTATGTGCATGGCACACACATATCAGTAAATATCAAGTACTAACTGCCAGAATGGCTGCTAGTAGCGTGGTTCGAGCTCATTATTTGGTACAAAGACACTTACCATCATTTCCTTTGCACTTGAACACACAAATAGGTCGGGACTTTCCTCTTTCTGATGGCAATCTGCAATCGCTAGTTCTGTGGAGAACAATGTCAATCATGTCATGGGTACCTCCTCAGGTAGAATGATGGGTACATCATGCACTTGTCGGTGTGTTGCAAAACTGGAGCTCTGCCTGCGGGCGTGGTCAATAGTATGTACATGTATGTATTCAGGGGCGTCGGAGCCGTAGTTCATATTGGGGATTTTTGAAGCAATGGAATATGGGCTATTTGGGTCCAATTTTCCTAATTTTTTCCGGGGGGGGGGAGGAGGACCCCCGACCCTTCCCCCCCCACCCATTCATGGCCGCCCCGATGTCGAATACCTTCCGACACCCCTGTACTGTTGAATATTGAAGTGAGTGGAGAGCATTGAGGAAAGATGTTGTGGCTGATGTGAATGCACCCTACTGCCGACGTGCAGCAAGCAGCCTCTACTGCCAGTCTGACCTTCAATTACAGTCAAGTTTGGAATATCCCAGAAAGTCAAATGTACATCTGATCCAGTACCGTATCATCAATCAAAGGTTTATGACCAGCTCCATAATATTTACTGCCGTTGACCGATCTGAATTCTTCTGTGTTGACAGGTTATGATATAGTGTGCCTGGATAGTGTCAAGGCAGCATCAGCCAGCCTACCCAGGATGATCAGCGGGACATCCATTGTGGACGAGTCCGTGTTTACCGGCCCGATTCGCCGTGAGGACTACCTGCGGAAGCTTGGCCATCGCTTCAAGGTAACTTGCATCTTATTGCTACCGGTCGCTGGTCACTGAAGAGTGAAGACCATACTAATGTTCTTCGTCCAAGCATGAACTTGAAATTGTACAATGCACTGGTCGCAGGAGAAGTTATATCAATTTTTGCTGCATTCTCAAGGGACGCCACCACCCCTCTCGGCATTGGTAGACTACATATGTAGCAGATTGTGTAGCAAATCTGTGGAGCTCAGTTAGTTTTAGTTGTTACTGCATCATTGTTGGTGTTATTTTCTCTGTAAGCATAGTCCATGTCTTTGATAAGCCCATATGTCCTGGACAATGTTAATGCGTTGGTAGGATTCCCCCATCATTTAGTTGTTACTGCATCATTGTTCTCTGTAAGCATAGTCCATGTCTTTGATAAGCCCATATGTCCTGGACAATGTAAAGGCGTTGGTAGGATTCCCCCATCATTTAAAAACCTTTTCATAGGTTGTGTGAGAGTCGGTCAGACTGACCTTTCTGCGTTCCGCATAGGAATGCCCTTGCCCTCAAGGATCAGGAGGCACATACGGCAAATGCAATGGTGGGGTGGGTTGATCCGGCCCAGTGCATGCAGTAGTCACAGGCTGAACATGCCTTTCACTGCATACACATAGCCCTCAAGTCAATTAAAATAGTATTATTTTTAAAGCTTACTAATCAACAGCGGGTTGTTGCACAGTCAGAAACATCCTTCAAAGCGGGCTGCTGAGGCCGTACACTGTTGAGGATGCAAACCTGGCACTCTCTGTTTCTTAGCCATGTATCAGCAGGGGCGTCGGAAGGTATTCGACATTGGTGCAGCCGCGTGAGTAGGGGGGGGGGGGGCGCCCCGCCCCCCTCCCTGGGAAAATTTTAGGGAGATTGGGCCCCAAATAGCCCATATTTCATTGCTTCAAAACTCAAAAGTCACAAGATGAAATTATTGGTGCGGCTTTGGCCGGACCTGCCGCACCAGTTCCGACGCCCCTGATCAGGGATAACTTGACGTTAAATGTTATACTATGGATGGGAAGTAATGATGCTGGAACGGAAACTAACGAAGACCTGTGCATTTGCTTTGCTGTGTGTCTGTAGAGCTGGAAGAGACGCTGGGTGTCCCTTCACCCGACGGAGCTGTCGTTCTTCAAAACTGTCGACGTAAGAAAGGGGGAGTGTTAGCGTGAATTCTACATTAATGGATGTTAACCAAACGCTATAACCAATGCTATTTCAGTCAGGGGCCGTCCGTAAATATCGATTTCAAGACGATGTTTGTTCATGTCTCCCGTGTCCCATGTCTCCCATGTCTTTTGGGTAGGGGTGAAACAATTATACCGAATACTCGAGTACTCGCTCGGTTTTTTTCAAAAATAATCGTACTCGGAATAGATCAGAGTACTCGTTCATACATGGTACATGCAATTAACCACAGAAATCTGCAGTTTCAGAGCAGCAGTCGCCAGATATTGATGTGCAGACTGTGTGGTGAACATTTCTTCACGACTAGAGAGAGCCCACATGACCCACCAAACAATATACCGGAGAAAAATGACTGGCACTCGCTTCAATCAGGGTTGTATCATGACTGTGATGTTAAGGCCCTTGGTGTGCAATTTTTAGGAGATGAAGAATAGTCGAATACTCGAATATTCGATCGGAAAAAATCAGAGTACTCGAACTCGGGATATCAGTGCCAACTTTCACCCCTACTTTTGGGGTTGACGTTCACTTAAAGTCTTTGTGTAGGTCATCAACTGCATGTTTGCACAGTGCCCGCCCAAATTTAGAGATCGATATTTTTTTCAAAAGGACGAGACAAACAGGGACCAAACCCCCTCCCCCCAAACGAATATCCTTTCTTAAAAAAGATTGATATTTGTGGACGACCCCTTAGAAATTAAATATTCCGTTACCGACCGGTTTAGCCGGACGAATTCCATGCTCGAGTTTGCGCTCCAATGAAAGTCTAACAAAGTGGCAGAGTTTGCGCTGGCATGCCGCTGACAAGTCGTACCAGTGTACAGACAATACGATGCGTTGAGTTTATGACTATGTATCATGAGTATCACTACAGGAATTCGTGACTCATGCTCCAATTGCTTTTCAGAATGAAAACCAGCTCGCGAACCGAAAACATGAACTTGAAGTACGTGAACTACGTTTTAGGATGTGAAATTCATGATGCCTTTAAGTTAGCAGCTTAACGTCTGTATTATACTAACTCGGCCGTTGTTTGCTTCTCAATTTTGTAGGTAACAGCTGCAAGTCGGGTGATCATGACTAGTGACGTAAGTAGCTGTTAGTATGTTTATTGTCAATGTGGAGCTGTTTTGGATTTCTTGATCCTTTTGAAAGTTGGCATGCCCGACTTGGCGGCTGCATAGGATACACCCATGCGTATTTGTTGGTTTGTCCAAGTAATAAATAAAAAAATAAAAAAACAGGTCGCGTAATGAAGCAGCATAACGATAGATGTGCAAAGTCATGATGCCTGGTCCGCTTCTGTCCTGGGTTCACTACCCCGTGCGTTGCAGCCGCGAGCAAAACCAAGTAAGGATTCCTTAAAAAATATCTTTGTTTTCATCATTCTATAGTATCATGGGGCGGTGGCGTCCCACGGAAGCGGAAAGGTGGTTCTTGACCAGGGAGTTGTACGACTCCTTGTTCTTGACCTGCCCGGTACGCGAACCCGTCGAATTTTTTAAATTTTTTAATAGTATTAGATGTTTCTAAGGTGCATTCCGCACTCATTCACTACTAACAGAGTTCCTAGTATCATCCTGCCAGCTCGTGTTCTTTTGTGCATGCCATGGCGCACTAGGTCGTGGCTTATGAATTCTGAAAAAATCCATGTTTGTTCTTGCTGCATGTTGTTTTCCAGGTAATGGATGTCTTCTATCCTGCGTCTATTCCATATCCCGATGGCCATTCATTTGAAATCATTACTAGCAAGAGGAGTCACATATTGGTAAGTTTTGAATGCCAGCAAGCTAGGTCTTGAGAATATGATTGTGTAGCTACAGACACGCTACTATTCAGATATCCTGCGTGATCAGTCCTGGAGATGTCCTAGATAGGACATCACGGAACCCAGCATGCCCCAGCATACATACTATGCTGTTCCCATAGTAATCGTGACACGTGACTCAAAACTTTATGTCGCGGCCGAGGAAGATGAACATGTTACACTCAAAACAAACGCAACGAAGGCCTTTCGTCTCAAAAGCATTAGTTGTCGTTCTCCTGACGGCTTGCCTCAAGCGAGTCGAGATTCGTATCTTGCCTCTTGCCTTCACGAATTTTATTTTCCTCGTTGTGGAGTACGCCTGGACAAAGGAACTGGCAAGCGAATCGTTTTGGTCGCATTGAAAATTGCAAGTGCACAAGAGGATTGGCGAAGCAATTTGTGTTCGCACTTTCAGCAGAGCAGTAGCTGCTGCTGCAATAAAGTTTTTACTTTCGCCATTGGTTTCAGGCAGCAGAAGGATCTGGCTGAAAGCGATGGCGATACGTCCATGACCACCACGTCCTGGGTTGATATCCAAGAAAGACCGTCCAAGGTCCAGTTTTAGCCAAGAGCTGTCGTGTCCAAGAAATCAAAAACGCCAACAGCAAGCTTTGGCCAAATAATATCTTCCAGGTAGTGATTTACGGGCCTAGCGCCTGCTGCCTCGTCTTCCTCCTAGATCCTCTGCGTGGCCAGGTTTGGGGCGAAATGAACGCACGGGGCGTGAAGAAACATTCCAAAAGGACCAAAGGCAAAACATTCAAATAATTATTAGAACCAATCGTTTCCGAAGAAGCGCCGCGTGGCTACGAGAAACCCCACATGAAATCCCCAAACAAAAACGGCCATTCGGTCGGGTATTCGATGACGAATCGAATATACACTACCTCAATCCCCGCCGATGTCTGATATTCTCCGCCTATTCCTTCAAACTTGACCAATTCGGAAAGAAATCCATCGCCATTACGATCGTGCATCCTCCACATACATTCAGAAATGCTCACGCAGCACTTCTTTTCATCGCGTGTGCGCGACCGATGCTTCCATGACAACTCTGGGACAGGTAACCAATCAGGCTCATTCAGAGTGCGATGTCCTAGATAGGACATCTCCCCGACTGGTGATTGTTCGATTATTATTATTATCAGGTGTGCAATTTGAAACTCGGGTATTGAGCCTTCCCCTCTTTGGTCTTTCCATAACCTTGAACCTTCCAAGTTGGAAGGCTGTCGGTTAGCGCTACGGAGATGTGTTGAAGCTAGGTGTCAGGACGTCGAATGTCTCAGTACTCTGTCAGTTTTGTGCCTAGTTGTTGCACTTTCTGACTGTATATAGTATCTAGTTACAGTGGTGGAGAGTTACTCTTAACTCGTTTCCATATGTCCTTTTCCTTTCTACTACTATTATTATTATTACTATTATCGCTGCTGCTGCTGCTGCTGCTGCTGTTGTTGTTGTTGTTGTTGTTGTTGTTGTTGTTGTTGTTGTTGTTGTTGTTGTTGTTGTTGTTGTTGTTGTTGTTGTTGTTGTTGTTGTTGTTGTTGTTGTTGTTGTTGTTGTTGTTGTTGTTGTTGTTGTTGTTGTTGTTGTTGTTGTTGTTGTTGTTGTTGTTGTTGTTGTTGCTGCTGCTGCTGCTGCTGCTGCTGCTCTTGTTGTTGTTGTTATTGTTGTTGTTGTCGTTGTTGTTGTTGTTAATTTTGACAATTTACATTGAATAAATTTGGCACGATTCTTCATGTAAAAAGGTTCAGTTGTGACCCTGAAACACTGTCAGTGATTCCTAGAGAGAATAGCATGTTCAGTTATGATTGCATGGAGGACATGTATTGTAACATGCCCTGTCATGCACAGTTATCTAAACGGGTGGTCCATAGCTCACGATGTCAGTTTGCCTTGTTTTCTTTTTAGGCTGCGAAAAGCGAGAGCGGTGCACGCGCATGGGTTCATCTTATCCAGCGTGCATCAGGCAAGACCAGAAGATCAGCCAGTGCACAGTGGTAAGCCTTGATAATATCATTATGAAGTTTGAAATTTACGTGAATCCAAGCACTGCAGAATTATGCTTGTTTGTTTGTTGTGCTGAGAAGTCATGGACGACCGCATTTTTGAATCCTCCTCCCCTTCTGTGTGGCTTGTGTGTGGACATGTACGTGCATTTTTAGCAGGTGCGTTGTATGCATCTCATTGCTGTTTGTGTGTTTGTTTGTGTATCGTTGCATTCTCTATTTGTGTGAGCAGGCAAGGCAGTGGTAGATCTAGCTCACAGTCAGGTGTAGCCACTGTGGACACCAGCAACATCGAACCGTACGCACAGGCCGTCGTGCCCATCCGACGGCGACAAACCGTACCGGAGCCAACGTACGCCATCGCAACGCGTACATCACCGGTGCAGAAACCAGCCGATGGCAACTCAGGGACTCAAGGTGCCGACGATGAAGACGACATGCCACCGCCCGTAATCCCGCCGCGTCTTTTCAGCACGGCTGGCGACGACGATGACAGGGAAGACGATGATTCCACTGACGACGGAGAGGAAAGCTGCGACATGCTCGACGACCCGCAAACACCCAAACCTAACAACTACCTGCACAGCACAGATGGCTATGCATCACCGCCGTCCTCTCATACACTCCTGGTCGGCAGTGCCAGTCAAGTCACTAGCAGTGCCAATAACAAAGAGTCCACACTCTTGCACGAAGACGAGGCAGTCAACAGCATGGTTGTATTTTTCTGAGTTCCAGCAGCTCACGTTGTCTTGTGGGATTGCTGTAGGAGGTGAGATCCTTCCTCGGACATTACAGTCAGTATTGACAGCAAATGCATCTTTAGAGGACTTATTGGCTGATTCATGAGGCTTGAACTATCTATCATTGACTCTTCCGCTTCCTATTTTCCGCGTAATTTCCGTTCGCTTTCGCAGCATTTTCCTTGAAGAATCACCTGAGCCTGTACTGTGTTCTTGAGTCACATAACTGTACTATTTCTAATCCATGTATGTATATGTACGTACATTGGTCACTGAGTTTTGGCATGCTGCTCGAACGAGCGGAGCCCGTTTTGAGGAGCCTTGACCGTCATTTTTTTGTTAGGTTGATATGTAACACCGTAGCCTCAGTGTAATGATGTAGGTGTAATATTACAATATATTAGACTTATGAATGTTCAACGGTATGATGTGGCATACAGCACTCTGCAGTGCTGTGTTTTATCTCTCTATTGCTGCTATTCAAACAGAGCAGACAGACGCCTGTGTGTGTGTGTGTGTGTTGTCTGTATACTAGTATATTATACCAGTGAGTGGCATACCTGCTGGACCTTTGAGTCACTGAGTTCTAGCTAATGAGTTGTGGGACGTGAGTGTTTCATGTTGGGATGCCGCTGGTGCTGGTGCTGGCCGACAGGTGATCAGCTAAACTTAGTTGCATTACACACACATTCACAGGTGACCTTAGTTTGACAAATGAATGATCTTGCAGTCCTTGCACTTTTACTTCATCAACTGAATCAGGTCACCCTTTCATGCATGTCTCTAGCTCTTATGATTTTGGGCTTTCAAAGGAGGTCAGACTCAGCAGACAGGAGGATTCACTCACCCTACTTTGTCCCTCACTCAGTCACTGTCAAGTGTCAAGACCTTGTTATTCTTCAACAGGAGCCAGCAGGCGCGTGCCCCGTATGGGTTCCTGAGTGCCCGGAACCCCCTTTTTCCCCCTAAAATTGCAGGATTTTGCTTCATTTTTTGAAAAATTTACCGTGGAGGCCCCGCGGAACCCCCCCCCCCCCTTGAAGGGCACCGGCGCACGCGCCTGGCCAGTACTGTGAATGCATGCACTTTTTTCATCTTTAGTTTAGACATGTTTTTGATGACTACCAGTAGTAGTAGTAGTAGTAGTAGTAGTAGTAGTAGTAGTAGTAGTAGTAGTAGTAGTAGTAGTAGTAGTAGTAGTAGTAGTTTTGGTCCCATGCACCAGGTATATTTTTTGCGCAATTGATGTCTAGTAATTTAAAAGTACTAGTATCTGGAAGTACAACTACGGTAATAAGCGGTCCTCATACTTGCTCTGTGATGCCCCGGCGGCCTTAGGGCTATGGGCTTATGATGATGATGATGATGATACTTGTACAATCATGTACATGTACATGTACAGTCAACTTGGCTAATAACGACTGCGGATATAACGACAATTCGCCAATAACGACAGAATTTCCATGCCCAGAGCAAAGTCCCATCCAACTGTAATACATAATGGGACTTTGGGTATAACGACACTTCGCGAATAAGGAAACTTTTCTGATGCCCCGCCGAGTGTCGTTATACGCGAAGTTGACTGTATACTCCTCGCTAGAGTCTCCCTCCTAAACTGGTCTACCGACCGTGTTTATACATGTAGCTGTCATAGCTGTTGCTAGAGGAACAAGCAGATATTATTATGATGCATAGAGCTAGAGATGTGCTATGGCACTGACACTGGGCATGGGAGATACCAGTGCCCCACCCCCTCTCAGGAGCTGGCTCTGGGCCTGAGCTAGAACTTAGAAGAGTGTTGAGAGAAGAGATTGGAGTATGGAAAATTTGTGAAATTATCTTCGGCTGTATGCACGAATCAGTACTAAGTACATGTATAATGGTATGATCGGACAGGGGTCCTTTTGTGCCCCCATGGCATTTTCGATTTTTTTATTTTTTTTATTGAAAAACCACAAACCTTCAGACATGTGAATGTGCACATGATATACAGTGTACATACATGTACAATGTACGTATGTATCGAGAAGGCAGCATGGAAACGGCAGTGGTGGTGAGGCCTGGGCAGCTCGTCCGACCGTGGGTCTCAGAGTCAACGATGTTGTTTTCAGTAGTACATTTGCAAAATTTAGGGGCCCCATGGACCCCAGTTACCCCCCCCCCCCCCCCTCCTGGGTCTGCCACGGATACCTGGAGTGCATTGTGAATTAAAGGGAAACTGAACGCCAAAAATAAGTATGGCTTATCCGAAGGAGAATTGGGCACTGATTCCGATGAGCTATGTCTCGAGCCGATCAGAGAAGAGGAACTGTGTCAAATTTCATAATTAACACCTCCCATATTTGGAAATTGGCCTTGATGACGTGCGTACTGCTTAGCTGTCACCATGCTGTGCATGTTCAGCAGTGTAATCATGGTAATTGAATGGAAGAAAACAATTACTTTGGTGTTTTGCAGCTCTGTTTCGTTCCCTGACGGTAACCAAATCTAGATGTAGGAATATGTTGAACAGGAGAGTGACACATGTCTTCCCGAAGGCTGTCCAGGCTGCAGTGGTGATGAAGAAGACACGATCATCACCCCGAGATCGATCGTAGCGAATTGGAAAACTCATGGTGAATTTGCTTCCACTCCAAGGCAATGTCGAGGTATGAAGGGTGCTTGTACTGCCTTCCAAAGTGAAGAGGAGATGAACATGGCTTTGCATAGCTGTTGTTCTATGCCAACTTACCTACTCTTGCTGGTACCGTAGTGACGTATTGCAAATTTCGTGGACGAACAACTCTAGTCACTAGTGGCTAGTGAGCAACACTAACAGGTGAGATTTTTCAATTCGACAACAATTGTTTTTGTTTGAGAACTGGCAGTGGCAGTCATTAGACTCAGTAGGTGTCTTTGCTGCTTCTTTCCCTTCATTGGTAGGGTTGTGCTTGAATAGTACAAGTGCTTGAAGTAAAATAAAAAAAAATAGAACATGTGGAACATAAATCTAATCAAGCATCAGTACATGTATTGCGAATTTCAACTTCAAAGCACATGAAATCACAATGATCACGAAGTTTATGTAATCAGGAGTACACCCTGTGTTCAACGAACACATACACCCATGCTGTATTGCGCACGCACATGTACACATGTGCGTGCAGCCCCACCCCATCCCACAGACACACGCATGCAGCGCGCACATCCATACACATGTGCGTGTACCCCCCCCCCCCCACACACACATTCCTACCCATACACATGTGCGTCCCCCCCCCCCCACACACACACACGTGTGCACATACAGATACACAAACACACACGCACGAACACACACACACGCACGAACACACACACACAAGATACGTGTAAGTGTACATGGTCTTCCTGGTGCAGATGCTGAGCCAGCACAATGGAAATTACCTCCATCAAGATGCTTGATCAAGTGTTGTGATAATGGCACTGTTTGTTTGTTTTTACAAAGAAGTGTGGGAAAGATTACAATGCATTATAATTCATAATTGTTCTTTGCCTTGTACTGTGCAGACCAGAATGCTTCGCTATCAACTCCTGGCTTTCCATCGGCATGGTGTTCAGCTGCAGCGGCATCTGGTCCGGGGAGTTCAACTTGCTGGATGGCTGCACTGACACAGGATGGGTTTGCGTTGGCAATGCGATACGGCAGTCATCCCACATCACGAGCTACATGTTTATGTAATGTATATTGTCGCTCATCCAGCAACGTCAAGGCTCTGCATGTAAACACAGGAGAACACCATAATACTACAGGGGATAATAATTTTGGATATCAATTTCGTGACAATTATTAGATTCACACAATATTCACAACGTATGCAACACGATGCTGTCTATTGACACTACTTCAAACTGAAGTGCTCACTACTCCTCTCCCGTTTTCATCTCCCTCTACCTTATGAATACTCTGCATTACTGGTTTCGTTTCTACCCTTTCCATTGCTGCCAGCTCCCAGTTTTTTTCAATGCACAGCACCACCTTGACAGTCATTTTTGTGATTTGATGTACACATACTTTGAAGTTCAAATTCGAATTACATGATCAGATTTTTGTTCCACATTTTCTATTTATTTTTACTTCAAGCACAACCCTACCGATGAAGGGAAAGAAGCAGCAGAGCGACACCTACTGAGTCTAATGACTGCCACTGTCAGTTCTCAAACAAAAACAATTTTTGTCGAATTGAAAAATCTCACCTGTTAGTGTTGCTCACTAGCCACTACAGTAAGATCGGGCGCCGAAGAACACCTCGCCGAAGAACACCCAGGCTGGAAAACCGGCAAAATTTAAGAACAGTCCAGGCTAGAATTATCAGATTTAAGAACACTTTTAAAATTTGGAATTTCCACATGAGTGCAGTATGTGTAAACAGTAACTGCTACATGTACAGTCATTCCCATTTACGACACCCACTAAGAAGTACTACATAATAAGTCATTGCACTACACGTACATGTACATGTACATGTACATGACAAACGTCATGACGTTACCACTCGACTCGCAGCGCGCGTGTGAATAAGAACGGTCTGGCTAGAATCAAAAATTTAAGAACTTTCCTAGGCTGCGCTCGAGCCCCTGCGTTCTTCGGCGCCCGATCTTACTGTAGTGACTCGAGTTGTTCGTCCACGAAATTTGCAATATGCCACTACGGTACCAGCAAGAGTAGGTAAGTTGGCATAGAACAACAGCTATGCAAAGCCATGTTCATCTCCTCTTCACTTTGGAAGGCAGTACAAGCACCCTTCATACCTCGACATTGCCTTGGAGTGGAAGCAAATTCACCATGAGTTTTCCAATTCGCTACGATCGATCTCGGGGTGATGATCGTGTCTTCTTCATCACCACTGCAGCCTGGACAGCCTTCGGGAAGACATGTGTCCCTCTCCTGCTCAACATATTCCTACATCTAGATTTGGTTACCGTCAGGGAACGAAACAGAGCTGCAAAACACCAAAGTAATTGTTTTCTTCCATTCAATTACACTGCTGAACATGCACAGCATGGTGACAGCTAAGCAGTACGCACGTCATCAAGGCCAATTTCCAAATATGGGAGGTGTTATTTATGAAATTTGACACAGTTCCTCTTCTCTGATCGGCTCGAGACATAGCTCATCGGAATCAGTGCCCAATTCTCCTTCGGATAAGCCATACTTATTTTTGGCGTTCAGTTTCCCTTTAAATTATTAATTTTGTGTTGTTGGTGTGAACGTTTTGTGTTCAGCTGGCTAGCAGGGGATGCGAGTTTTGGAAGCAACAATAGTACGCAGTAGAGTCATTAGCTCATGCCCTTGTTTGTGCATTGTGCATGACGTACCTCCGAATGATTGATTATGTAATGACTCTGTTGGTCAGATCAAGAATGTATGATTTTGAATTTTTGATTTCACATCAGTGACCCACTCGATGCATATTCTTCCAATCTATGACATCATAGACTGTAGATGTATAATTATGGCTACTGACGTACTGTCTTTTGCTTATACAATCATCATGTACAATCATGTTAAAAATCATGTTACGTACTCCAGTCTCCAGGTTTCCTTGTAACGCTTACCGCACGTTAGTCATCTTCCATTATTTTGTGGGCGGCCAAGGAATCCTCCCACATGTCTCAGGCCTTGATGCCTTGTCAGTTTTGCTGTCCAGGCTGATTATTTGACGTAGACTACACTTCCGCGGAGGTGCGTGCCTGCAGAGATGGTTGCATAGCCGGCCATCGTTCCTCCACATACTACTGCTACTAGTACTAGTGGCGTATACAGTAGACCATGCATGGTAGACTCAGTACAGACTGTCAGTACGCCAGTAGTCATTTGCTGCTGCAGACTACAGTACTAGTAGATCTACGACAGCACGTACTACTAACCTAGCCTAGAACTAATACTGCCCGTAGTGGTAATACTTCGATTTGAAGCCGCGCCCCTGATGACATATGCCCGATATTTTCGTTCAGTTTGCGTGGGCTGCAAGCGCAAGAAAACCGGCGATGGTTGAGCAACCACTCGTGCAGTCGTGACGCAGCGTCTTTGCAGGACACGCGACTCGCAAGACACCAGTCGAGTTCATGTACGTAGATAGATACACAACTGCCAACTAATACTTGAACTGGCACCAGCCGCGCATATTTTCTAGTGTTTAGTGTTTAGAGAGACCCGGTTCCGGCCGGGCCGATGACACTGACACTACTAGTACTACTCACTGTACTGTACTACTACTAGTACTGTAGTAGCCCAGGCGTAACATCTTGACATCGCGGGCACGCTGTCTTGTAAGTTGTATTCTCTTCTTTTACCCTTTCTCAACACACTGCCAGTCTAGTACTACTACTGAGTGCTAGCTGTACTACTAGTGCGCTGACTTGACGATAGGTACGAAAACTGTTTTCCTTTGATTGCGAAACTAACAGTTACTAATCTACTTGTTACTTACTTTTCAGCAGCATGCAATGCAGCCGGGACCGTGAAACATTCCATCATCTGGCTGCTCAAGCCCCTTGCTACATCAAGTGCAAGCTATCACAGTAATGTTGGAGGTTGCCCCAACTGTACCCAGCACTGCACTGCAGCCCCAGGCCCCCAGCTAGCTAGCTAGGCATATTTGCAATGACATCATCAAGCTACACAAGAGTAACTCCACTCTCCAGCTTTGGACATGTACCATTATTATTATTATTACTCATAAAAAGGACACACTTCAGGCTCATTACAAACATCTTGAAAGTTTTCGTCTTCACAAGTATACTTTCAAGCCTTCTCATCAGGTGAAATACAGGCAAGGGAAAAGGAACAGGAACAGTGGATTAAATACAGTAAGAAGGTGGTAAAACAGCGCAAAAAGAAAGAAAGAAAGAAAGAAGATAGCTAAAGACTTTAAGTAAACAGCGAAAATTGCAATAATGACACAAAGGTGCAAATGCGAGAAAACTCAATAAGCGCGACATGTAGTGCGACAACAAGAGACAACCACTGGACATACATGTAACTAACGAGGTTTTGACGACCTACCTAACAGCCTAAGTGTGAATTTGATTTGTTTCTGCTTGCAAAGGTTGGGTTTCCTTGTGTGGATGTATACAGCTTCCAAAACATTCAGCAATCTAGCACTGCGTACACGTGACACAATCGAAAAACAATCATCCGAATACACAGCACGACAATCAGGATGCTCAAACAAATGACTAGCAATGGACGACTCATACTTATCAGAACTAACATCAGAACAATCAGCATGTGCGGTGGACACATCCGATTTCACATGGCTAGTCGAGTGGACCCTAGCCGTTGCCTCTGTCTGTGCTTTAGTCGCTGCCATCGCCGCCGTTGCCGATCTTGTTATTCTTCTGGTTGATGCGGTTCCTGTCACTGCCACGCACGTAGGTGTCTTGTCCGGTTGTTTTTCTGGTGGTCTAGTTAATTGTGAGGTGACGTTCCTTGGTGTTGATGCCGCTGCGTTGGACCATCTTGTACCAGGATGATTCTTTGCTGGACGTCCCCTCCGTGGTCGAGTGGATCGTGCGTGTTGTGGAATAAGGTGTAGCGGTGCGTGTTGTCACTTAGGCTGTTAGGTAGGTCGTCAAAACCTCGTTAGTTACATGTATGTCCAGTGGTTGTCTCTTGTTGTCGCACTACATGTCGCGCTTATTGAGTTTTCTCGCATTTGCACCTTTGTGTCATTATTGCAATTTTCGCTGTTTACTTTAGCTATCTTCTTTCTTTCTTTCTTTCTTTTTGCGCTGTTTTACCACCTTCTTACTGTATTTAATCCACTGTTCCTGTTCCTTTTCCCTTGCCTGTATTTCACCTGATGAGAAGGCTTGAAAGTATACTTGTGAAGACGAAAACTTTCAAGATGTTTGTAATGAGCCTGAAGTGTGTCCTTTTTATGAGTATTATCGCATTTTTGTCTCAGAGGAAACTATTATTATTATTATTATTATTATTATTATTCACACATATCCGCCGGATGAGTACGCGTGGCCCATGCACCATGGGGACCCACGAATACAAACCAGCATACGTTCCCTCAGCAATACAAGCAAGCAAGCACGCAAAGATAAATGAGAGCCCAGGCAGCGAAAACAAAACGAAGAGAGATGAGGACATAGGCAACGAAAACAATTCCACAGCATAGTACCATAACAAGGCATAAATGACTGTCCGGACAGTCTGACAGGCATGTTTTAGATAGGTCGTCTCTCCCGATCTAGCGAGACAAGCACGAGCCCGACCCATCCAGCTTCGATTCCCACACATGCCGTCGGTCACCACATGCACAATGACTATTTACTGATATGGACTATGGTCTAAACAGGGTCATTGTGCGCCATGCCATGTACATGTGTGTACTAGTAATACATTAAAAAATAAGTAATACAATGTTTATGTCATTGTAAATGCATTTGTTAGGAATGGGTTTGCTCCCACACCACTGCACATGCACACTGCGACCGGAGCTCGCGCGATTCCGCCGACTTGACAGTGTGTGGGAGGCACTGGGACTGTGGGAGCAAATCCATTCCTAACAAATGCATTTACAATACAAACTACAATGTCACCGCCGAAGCGCTAGCTGCGAGCTGTGTTGTGCATCTGCCAGGGCCTGACAAGTCACGTGGCGATACTATGGCATGCCATGCATAGCCTAGCCTATCCTATGACTATGACTCGAGTATGAGTCTGACGGTCACAGTCATTATACTAGTATTCGAAATTCTTGCGCCGCGCGCCAGGCAGATCAGAAGTCTGTAGTCTGTACTGAGACGACTAGTCTGTAGTGTAGTGCGTGGTATGCCACTTGCACATGTGCATCTAATAATTATCTGATTGTACAGGCTCAGTACTGCACTGGCGAGTGACGGTTCGCAGCATGCACGGTCTGTTCAGATGTAGTCTACGTAGCTAGCTTAGCTACCCTGGCTCGAAATCAATAAAAAGAGCGAGGAGAGGAATCATTGAAGCAGTTGCATGCAGCATGTGCGCGACTTGTGAATTTGCATGCGGATATTTTAGTAATTTGGTTTTCGAAAGTGACAAAGTTTGCTCACCTCTCTAGGTCGACTTATATTTGTTGTCGCCAATTGTAATACCTGCCCGTGATGGCGGACGTGGAGGCACAGCCGCTAGAGAGCGGTGCCATCAATCTCGACAAGGATCCCGCAGCGGGCGCTTCCAAAGGCAGCGAACTGGAGGCAGTAGAGGTTAGGCCTGCCAATACCAATAATGGGAACTCACAATCAAGTGATTCTGGTGTTGGCCCAGAACCTGCCGGTGATGTCCCGCCGCCATACGAGAAAGCTCAGCGTCTAAACTCCTATGATCAGGCGCTGAAGAAAGACACCGCGTCGGGGTAAGCGACTGAGTGCATTTTTTACTTGTGCGTGGATACACGTGTCAAGGTATTCGTTTCCACTCGAACCAACGAAATATTTGCAGGAATCCTGAATCATATAAACTGCTGCAAGAAATTCAAGTACATGCACGGCAGCACGGCAGTATTGCATTCCAGTTGCCATGAGTATATCCGGGTGGTCTTCAGGTCTTGGGCCGACTGTGGCTGGCGATCATGCATGGCGTTCGTCTTTCGAGCTTCTTCCGAATCTTCGCCTGTGCAATGGGCGCTAGTACGGAGCGTTCGCTAGTTGTCCGTGCTGTGGGTATAATCACTATGCCCATACTCGTAGTGTTTATTATTATGTACTAGCAGCTGTCCACACAGATGGTAATACCGCTGTAAGTTAGAACTACGGGCCTTCCCCAGTAACAATTCAGATAAGAATTGAGAGCAGCACGGAGCGCGATTCTCTGCCACACACAGTTGCCTTCAAGTTACGTATCTGCCGCTGTTGTTCGGTCTGACTTTGAAGCGAATTTCGGAGCACTCTACGTATAGGGTGTCAACATAATGCTATGGATTCCGATACTGGCCACTCACAAAAAAGTCCAAGGTTTCCTTTTCACAGGTCCTGCAAATATAACTGGCAGTCAGTATTTAAATGACTGATGTACATGACTTGTACTGTAGTCTGTATGCTGGTTGTATTAGCATTGTTATGTACTTGTATATTTGTCTGGAATCTCTACTGCGGTTTCTGACCAAGGCTGGGTGCCAATAGAAGAAACTTACTTCACAAATTTGCTAACGAAATTGACTGCAGCCTCCGTGGTCATTCAGTATTGTATACGGCTCTGTACTCTTTGCAAGAACATTATGTTTCATTTCACGGTCTGCGCTGCTTCGAATTAGTAGTCATACTGCAGATCTACGAATTCCCAACTAAAAAAGCCAGGTGCTGGTACCTCTTCTTGTGTGTTGGTGTTTTGCAAAATTTACTAATTTGCTACCAAGTGTAAAGTAGCATCATTAATTTTTACTACGACACAGACTCCGTGACTCAGCTGCCCACTCCTATCACTCTACCTCACTAGACCGATTAGCTGAGGCTTCCACTGAAGAAGCCACTTGTACGGGCAGAAAACAATTCCGATATGAACACACAAGGAATTGAAGAGAGAAAGAAGTCTGATAGGAGTACTTGTATATGAAATTTCAAGGAAACAAATAGATTGTTAAGGTCTTGGAACCGACGAATAGACATTCTGAGGCTTCTACTACTACTAGTGGCAACTAATGTTACTTTATCCTCTACAGCAGCTACTGTTGCTATACATGTACTGGCTATAATAATAATAATTCGCGGGATTCGCGTTGGCATCGCTTGAATGTTCAGAAACACACAAACTAGCCTTCGCTTCCGCAGGCCACCACTATGCCTATGCCTTGCACACCTTAGTGGCGAATGCAGACCTCACAAGTGAGTCAGGGGAGAGAAGGTGAGTCTCTCAACCAATCGGGCGTGTAACGGCCCATAACCCTGTAAACTGCATCCTTGTTACCCTCACTCCGAGCTGTGAGTACCCGTACTGTATTCAGCCCTGGTGTAGTACCTCATGATCAAGAGCCACTTCAAACTTATTTTACAACCCTTTCTAATGACGAAGCACATACCGGCACGAGCTTGTGAAGTACCCGCACACTTGTGGTCAAGGACGTTTACCTGTTTTGTGCCTTTACAGTTTACTGGCTTTTAATTTAATAGTGTAGTGGCAAGATCTCTGATTCTGAGTACTGCGCAGGGCCATTCTTTTCAGGGTGTATTTAAATACTGCTGGTTACATTACGCTGGGGTGGGGACCGTGTGTGCAAAGCACAGTACGACTACTAGTATCTAGTATTGGAGATTGTCAGTCTGCTTCCCTTACAGGTCCTCTTTGAGAACTGGGTGCAATCGAAATGGAAACAATCACAGTCATAGGTTTCCCCGTGTAGTAGTCCAGTGTCTCAGGGCCCTTTGCAACTAGTAGGATACCTGACACAGCTCCACTCCTTGCTGTGTGTGCTCTTGGTAGGGATCAGCAATGTTATCGTACATGGAAAAAATATTTTGTAGAAAATTATTTTAAAATGATTCAGTTCAGTTAGGTTGCTCAACTCAAGCTAGACTGTCTAATAATGACAAAGCCAGGGTGTACAATATGGGTCATGTCCTGAGGATGGAATGTAGCATGGTATAGCTTGCTTCTCAGTACTGCTGTACTACGTAAGAAGTGGTAGATGATTAGAAATCATGATATTGTATGTCCCTAGGCATGAGTCTAGTCTGTGCGCATGTCATCAGTCTGCACTGGGTTTGACAAGGTGCCAACACCTTTATGAACTCACTGTTCACTGTCAGATAGGTGCAATGATGGAATCGTCTAGGCCTATAGCCTGTCACTTGTTGACAGCTCAGGGCATTCTGGGCTTGATCACATGATGCCATTGCCGCATCAGTAGCTCCAACACTTGCACACCAGGGAGTGGCAGTATCCCTTACTTGTATGCTGGTCGGTTCATGGTTGAACTGCAGATACTCAGCATGCCAAAAATCGAATGATTGCCCAATGCCATGGCATGTAGGAGCATGTTGCTGCTGACAGGTACCAATACCAGTGTGGGTAATACTATCTTCTCAACAAAGTCACATGCATGCCTGCACACGCTACGTCTGCATGCTACTGAGCATATTGTTATTGGAACACAGTAGAATATGATGGTCACATGGTATTGGCTAAACTCCTGAATTGCTCCTGGATAGTTGGCAAGGTTGACGATAGTTGGTCATGAACTGTCTAAAATCCATCCAGGTATTACACTACCAATGCTATTCCTATCGATCTAGCCTTTATGGTAATCCACAAATTGGTCTGCACAACGTCTGAAGACATTCCTATGACTGTCTATAAGTCGGACGTCTCTTGGACAATGCAGCAACAAACGTAACGAACGTAACAAACGTAGCGCCCTACTTGTTCGTGTTACACGCTCTGTGTTTCCTTTATGTGCAGTGATGAAATTGATGGTGTTGTCCTCCCGGTGGTGCCTGCACCTAAGGCAACAGATGATGCGCCAGAAGATGGTGACAAGAAGACCGAGTCAGAAGAGAAAGTGTCAGTCGTTCGCCTGGTGAGGCTACTGTTTGTGTTGTGCATGGGCGTGCATAGTTTGATAGCGCTCTATGCTGCTGCTGCTGCTGCTGATGGTGGTGATGAGAAAGAGAGCACTGTGCCTAATTGTAGCAGTGTGCGTGCCGTGCCGATCATGGAGGTTTAATTTCATCCCGGAGGAGGTGACGTCATGAGATTAACACATCCAATTGCCCGTGGGACTAACGTGATGTTATGATTATTCAAATTCATTGAGTAAAGCGGTTATCTAACAATGTAACATCAGCTTGGGAGCAGATTGTGCATACCATCGTTGTGGCATCTGCTCTGTGTGTTCTGTCTTGCTGCAGTTTCAATACGCCTCCAGATGGGAAGTGTTTCTCATCTTCTTCGGCAGCCTCATGGCGTGTGCCCACGGCGTTGGCCTTCCGTCAGTTATGATTATCTTCGGAGACACCGTACAGTCACTTTTAACAGGCACTCAGAATGAAACGCTCAGTGAAGAGCAGCAGCAGGTCCTCTTCAACCAGCTAGAAGATGAATTGACCACACAGGCGTACTACTATTTAGCAATCGCAGCCGGTGTCTGGCTTGCGACGTATCTCCAGGTAAGGACGCCACCGGTGATGGCGTTAAGTGAAATGCAATGTCGTGAACGCACGTGCAACAGGCTCGGGCCTGCATGGTCCCGGCACTACAGACACTAAGCTATGCACGGAGCACGGCTTTGTCGACTATTCACGAGGTTGGAGTAACAACCTCACCAGCACTGTTATCTATTCAGCCATAGTATCTTGCGTTTGCTGCTTGTGTGGAGGTTGGTCGGTGGTCATTAACCATAAGATCATGTTCTGCAGGTCCGGACACAAGTGTGTTTCTTGGCGACAAGAATGGGAAATGTTGCTTTTTTCTGCTGGCCCAGAAGGCCATGACACACAATGCAAGTTAAACACGAATCTGATCTGGTCTGATTGTGGTGGGTGTTTGTTCCATTTCTGGTCTGACGTCCACGCTCAGATGCTGTGCTGGTTTACAGTCGGTGAGAGGATGATCACCAAAGTCCGAAGGAGGTTCTTCTACTCCATTCTGCATCAGGACATATCCTGGTTTGACACGCACAAAACTGGAGAGCTTGCTTCTCGACTATCTGAGTAAGGAGACTCTGTAGCTAACATTGGCAAAAGTCTGGTTCTTGATAGAGAGGAACGCCTGGCTTAGTTATACCTGTCTTACTACTCAGTTTGACTGCCTGATGCAGTGATGGGATAACTTGATGGGATAACTTGACATTTGGCCATGTACACCACAGCAAGTAGGACATCTAATTTCGAATGTAACAAGAACACTTAGGCTTTAACGTACTCATTCATTGGTGGATCTGATCTATCCTCCCCCACCGTTTAGGAGCCGCACCTGACGCCTGATCATGGGGTGGTGGCGTCCCACGGAAGCGGAAAGGTGGTTCTTGACCAGGGAGGTGTACGACTCCTTGTTCTTGACCTGTCCGGTACGCGAACCCCGTCGAATTATTTGAATTATTCATTGGTATGAGGGAAAGATGAACGTATGGGTTGATATTCCGGCTTTAACTTAATACTAGACTTTCCTGTGTTCTGTTTCTGTGCTGTACAGTGATGTTCTGAAGATCTATGATGGTCTGGGGGACAAGAACAGTATCTTCTTCCAGTGGATGTCCACATTCATCACTGGGTTTGTCATTGGATTTGTCAACTCCTGGCGGCTGACTCTGGTCATCCTGGCCGTAACGCCCGTGCTGGGAATTGCAGCAGCATTCGTCTCCAAGGTGTGTGCGTGTGTGTGTGTGTGTGTGTGTGTATGTGCGTGTGTATGCGTGTGTGCGTGTTGACTGCATCATGCTGATGCTGCTGCTACTGCTGCTGTGCTGTCATAGACTGTTCTACACTCTGATACTAGTATGTGAAGTGAAACCATTATCCTTTGTGCCTTAGAGGGTTGTCTCTTTTCACTTCGGTTACAGTTGGCTTCCCTTCCTAATTGAATTTTGGCATCTCTCCCTAGCTGCTGTAGGGATCAGTTGTAATACCTAAGGCCGCGGTCACACCGAATCGAGTCACTTTGGGCTTGTTATCGCTGGGGCTCAGCTGGCTTGCGTGCTCCCTGTCGAGCGGTCACACCAGGCATCGAGTGCAGGGAGTGAGTGAAATCGGAAAGCAACGCAAAGCGGTGGCTGTCTACAACTCTACTTGTTGTAGTGTTCACTTTTGATGAAGAAGCAAAGGAAATCTGGGTCCTTGCTTGTCATAAGAATTTTGCTGATTATTTGAATGTTTGTTTGTCCCCACCGTTCTTCCCACTGCAGCTTGTTGCATCGTTTGGTACGAAGGAGCAGGCTGCGTATGCAAAGGCAGGAGCTGTTGCTGAGGAAGTCCTGTCATCCATCCGCACTGTCGTTGCCTTCGGAGGCGAACATAAGGAAGCCGAACGGTATGGGACGTCTATTCTGACAATTGGCTGGCAACATACGTTGTCATCGATAGTACAACAAGCTGAAAAGATGGTGTCTCAGTATAGAGTCAAGAGAGTTTCAAGAACCGCAGCAGGATATCCTTGTGTTTATCCCAACCGGAGGGAAACTTATGTATGTTCATGTATGTCTATGCTACATGCGCATACATGATATGTTTGTGTTACGCGTGTCTTTTCAGATACACAAACGAACTAGAAGAGGCGCAGAAGATTGGACAACGAAAGGGGTTCATCTTCGGCTTTGGGTTTGGAATGACCTATCTCCTGGTCTTTGGCACCTACGGTCTGGCCTTTTGGTAAGGTGCTGCACGTTGAAAACTGAGTTCATTTTATGGTCTCGTTTATAACGTTACTCACGAAATGCTGTGTGTTTGGTACATGGTGTGTGTGTGTTTGAAAAAATGAAAAAAGACCAAAAAGTAGGGATTCACTGGCCAGAAAAAGCCACTTCATAGCTGTGTGGTTTAGACCAGGCTGAATAGTGGCGGTCAATTCTTCAGCCTTGCAAGCTGTTGAATGGTGCAATCCTGCTATGGCTTCTGCCGTAGCATCGCTATCATCGCCTCCGGCGATGGGCGTCCAATGGTCCAATGGTGTGTGTGCGTGCGTGCATATAAAGCTAACGTCACTCACTCTCTGTGATGAAGAGGCTGGAGTGCCAATTAGGTTGTGCAGCTTACCAAAGTGGTCTTGGCTTCATAGCTGTTACAAGTAGGAAGAAAGGAGAAGTATGAGATGACAGGTTTATGTCACTATGTGTGTGTGTGTGTTGGGGGGGGGGGGGGGGGGGGGGTAGGCAGAAGGACAACATCAACCCTTTGAGCACGCATGACGTATTAATACGTCACGTACAGTGTCACTGCACCCACGCATGACGTATTATTACTTCGTGAGTGTACATAGCGTACAAACGAGATTTGCATGAACCGCGTGAGTTCAAACTATCGTAACTCGGTCAATTCTTGGCCGATTCTCGCGATCGAAATATGTATCTGCAAGAGAAAACTCTCAGCTTGCGATAGAAACAATCGCCGAAGCGATACGACCCCGGGTTGTTGAGATATGCGACTCGACACGGCAAATTCAAATCGATTTTTTTGCGAACTCTGCAGAACGCGTATTTTCCATTTTCGATCATTTTCGCGCTATCTGCTGCCATGGAAACTAGATTCAAATGATGGCAGCGGATCTGGGGAGTCCTCAAAAAAATTTGAGCTCGATACGAGCAAGGAGAGTGAAATGGCAGCTGAGGATTTGATCTCCTGGCCGTGCTCAAGTCTGTCGAGCGCGTGCGTGAAGTTTGCCAGACTGTAGCATGGGCTTTTGGTGTCGCTCCGAGCTGAGCTTGGAACTATTTTGTTCCTCGCCTCAAGACCTTTGCAGGACGCTCAAGATCGTGGAATTCGTCCAAAGAAAGGTAAAGTTATCGATCCTTGAACAGCTACTACTTTCATAGGAAAAACGCGATTTTTGCAGGTGTTGACGTGGGGCGGCATTCATGTAGCGTCGTGCTCAAAAGGTCAAGGGTGAAGAGTGTGACAACAGATGGTAGACAGGAAGTGTGTAACGCATACTTGGCGGGAAGTCTCCACCAAGTACATGTATGTGCCAACATTGATTAGCCATGGAGTGGCATGGCTCTTTGGAAGGCACGGGACTGCAGCCAAACCTGAACTGACGAGCAGGGCATATTATTTTATGTGTGTGTGTGCGTGTGCGTGTGCGTGTGTGTATGTGTGTGGGTGGGTTGTGTGTGTGTGTGTATGTAGGTATGGTTCAAGACTGGTCTGGGACAAACGCATCCTTGCTGGTGAGATGGTGACGGTGAGTGCTGTAGCATGCACGTACTTCGAAGTACATATGCGCTGGTAACAAGTGTGAGGTTATCTGCAGAGGCTGTACATATGCGCTGGTAACAAGTGTGACACCACCTCATGAATAATCTAGAGTACAGTAAAACCTGTCAACGCGACCACTCGGATAAGGGGACCACCTGTCCCAGAAGACCACTGCAGCCAGGACCAAGGGATGCTATTTCCAGTCAAATGGCACTGGATAAGGAGACCACCTGGTAACAGGGACCACTCGTTGAAAGTGCCTTTGAGCAGTCGTCTTGGACAGGTTTCACTGTAGTGTTAACTGCACCACCCAATACATTGCTTGTGTGCCTTGGAGAGGTTATGCGCTAACGTCAAATCCGCCATATAGGAGCCAGTTGGGGTGGCAAAATGCCCAAAGGGGGTACAGAAACCCCTTATATAGAAGAATTTGGGGTGGCAAACGTACTGTATGACGTGTATCGCATAACCTCTCTATTGCCATGTTAACTGGTGACTGCATAGTTAACCTTCCCACCTTCCCACGCCCTGCTCCCCGGAGCTAGGTAGACAATCGTGTAGTGCTTGTTTGGTGGCTTGGTTCTCTGCAGGCGTTCTTCTCCGTGGTCATTGCCAGCTTTGCTATTGGCCACGCCACGCCCGGCATCCAGGCATCCTCCATAGCAAGAGGTGCGGCTGTTGCCGTATACAACATCATAGACGAGGTGCCGGAAATCAACTCGGCGTCCGAGGAAGGCGAGCGGCCGGCCAAGGTCCACGGTGATTTCGAGTTTGAGAACATAGAGTTTACGTACCCGTCGCGTCCCGATGTCCAGGTATGGCTAACATAGCAGTCAGTGCGGCACTAACTGTATTGTACTGCTAATTCCTTGATGTGTTGCTGTGCTCATTCTCTGGCTGTCACAAGCATGTGAAAACACAGAACATGTTTTCGTCGAGCGGGTATGTTGGACTGTTAATAACGTTTTTAGCTTAGCATTACCCAAAGCGGCAGGAGCATGATGAGAATCACAAGCTACGATGCTTAAACACCTGTAGACCTGCACATATCCAGCCAGCCAGAGTTGGCGATGTACATGCAGAGAGAGAGAGAGAGAGAGAGAGAGAGTGACTGAAACATTCAATCAGCCTAAAACGTAAACAGGTCACCGATACCTTTGGTTACCATTACACTATTTTCTGCTTCACTTCCTACCTAGTGTAATGCCCTCACATTTCCCCAAGTGTTTGGAAGTTGGAACGCTAGAGCTGTTGTCTTCTCCATGTTGTAGGGGATATCCAGGATAACGATCTGGAACTGAATCCGCTTATAAGGAATATGAAAAGGTGGCAAATTACCTTTATGTGTATGAAATCTGCTCGATTTGGTAGTACATTGGTGATCTGTGATGCCACCTGCAGAACCCGGTCTACATTAAGCCGGTGGTAATTGTAAATGTGTGTGCACCATGTACTTTCCCACTGCAATAGATTCTCAAAGGCCTGTCGTTGCACGTCAAAAGCGGCACAACTACGGCTCTCGTCGGCCCCAGTGGCTGCGGAAAGAGCACACTGATGCAGCTCTTACAGCGCTTCTATGATCCAGCTGGTGGAGTGGTAAGCAACTCAGTTCTCGTTCAAAGGCTTGCATGTTGCAGTTTTGGAATATGATTAAGTCAAGACCCTAGATGAGGGTAGGATTAGGTAGTTGCTCCATGTGTTTTCATAGTACCATTGTCAGCTTCTGTTCTCATTCCATGCTGGTTGTTACTATTCAGGTCAAAATGGACGGTCGTGACATTCGCGACTTGAATGTGAAGTGGCTTCGCAGTCAGATCGGCATTGTCAGTCAGGAGCCAGTGCTTTTCCACGACACCATCGCCGAGAACATTGCGTTTGGCCACCTGGAGGAGGTCACCCGTGATCAGATCATTCAAGCAGCCAAGATGGCCAATGCGCACGATTTCATCACGGGCTTTCCCGATGTGAGTGGAGTGCGCCTACTGCAATTGGCATACACTATTATGATGGGTTGTTTATTGTTTGGTGGTGCTATGTGTGTAGTCAACGCAAGCATGACTGGAGAGAGGGGGGGGGGGGGGGAGCGTTACGCCTCAGTTGTTCACCTTCAAAGGGTCTTCTTATCTTACAAAGTATAATCACTGGCTAATCACTAGCGATTTTGACTTGAAGTGCTCATGTATGGATGTGCATGACTACTGTACTCATTGATGTGTATTTGATATGCGCATAGGGCTACGAGACGCAAGTAGGAGAGCGCGGAGCACAGATGTCGGGTGGTCAGAAGCAGCGCATTGCCATAGCGCGTGCGTTGATCCGCAACCCGAAGATCCTGCTGCTGGACGAGGCCACCAGTGCTCTGGACACGGAGAGCGAGAGAGTCGTGCAGAGTGCCTTGGATGCTGTAAGCTGACACTGATCCTTGCAACAATTATCTAGTGTTAACAATAGCATGCCTGTACTTCTATGAGCTATGTGTCAGGCCAGTACATGTGTATGGATGCCGGACAGTCAGCCTATCACTACAACATACTGTGAGACGGAGTGGTATACCTGAATTGGCAGGGAAACTGATGCTGCTGCAATGATGACTGTGCACTTCATAAGCAGCTGCGTTTAATAATAATCATGTTATCTCTCTCTCTCTCTCCCCATCTCTCTCTCTCTCTCACTCCCCATCTCTCTCTCTCTCTCATTCCCCATCTCTCTCTCTCTCTCATTCCCCATCTCTCTCTCTCATTCCCCATCTCTCTCTCTCTCATTCCCCATCTCTCTCTCTCTCTCTCTCTCTCTCTCTCTCTCTCTCTCTCTCTCTCTCTCTCTCTCTCTCTCTCTCTCTCTCTCTCTCTCTCTCTCTCTCTCTCTCTCTCTCTCTCTCTCTCTCTCTCTCTCTCTCTCTCTCTCTCTCTCTCTCTCTCTCTCTCTCTCTCTCTCTCTCTCTCTCTCTCTCTCTCTCTCTCTCTCTCTCTCTCTCTCTCTCTCTCTCTCTCTCTCTCTCTCTCTCTCTCTCTCTCTCTCTCTTCTGGTCCGTTTGACGGGCTACTTGTCTCTGGAACTTGTAGGCTCGGTCTGGACGTACCACCATTGTTATTGCCCATCGCTTGACAACCATCCAGAATGCCGACTGTATTGTTGCAATTGAAAATGGCCAAGTGGCGGAGATGGGCTCTCATGCTGAGCTCATGGAGAAGCAGGGATTGTACTATGCTCTGGTTATGATGCAGGCAAGTGACTGAAGTGTGTGTGTGTGTGTGTGTGTGTGTGTGTGTGTGTGTGTGTGTGTGTGTGTGTGTGTGTGTGTGTGTGTGTGTGTATGAGTGTGTGTGTATGGTGTGTGTTCTCATTAACCCTATGTTGGCTGCTGCTGGATTGCGCCTATTGAGCTGTTAAATGCCTTTTTTTCTTCTTAAAAAAAAAACAGCTTTATCCACAGTGATGCGTGCATGTGTGTGACTGTGTGTATGTCGGAAGGGAGTTGCTGTTACAGTGTATGTCGGAAGGGAGTGAGGCTACAGTTACAACACTGGGTGGTGGAAACCAATGACAATTGAATGCGCCGACGTACTATATTTATGCTTGCTCATCCTCCTCTGTTGTGTCATTGCCCTGCAGGATGCGCTGGCAGAAGCCGAGAAAGGAAACGCCGAAGCAGCCAGTAAGGACATTGCACTACAATACTTCCATGTATGCGTGGTTCAGTTGTATGGCTAGCACCTTTTTTTCTGGGAACATGTGGTGCAGGCCGCTGTGCTGGATCCAGCATGAGTTGAGTCATGATGTCATACATGACGTCAGTGTGGGATGTTTGTAGTTGCCGTGGCAGCAGAGATCACATGACATTTATAAGGATAAAGTCCCAGCTCCATTGATTTGATGATTTGATGAATCAATGTACGAATTTCTGTTTTCTCTGCCATGCAGAGTTCCTCTTGAATCGCATGGGCTCAACCAGCAGCGCTGGACCGCGTGCTTTGGAGCTGCTCCGACAAGCCTCGATCACCAGCCCTGGTGATGACGATGCATTTGCCGAGCGCCTCAAGTCCATTTCAGCCCCAGTCCGACAGGCATCTACCATAGAGAGACAGAAATCAGTTGCTGGCATCAGCAAGGCTGTAAGTTTGCCCAGGCTAAGTCAGCTGAATCGTGGTGTCAACTGAAGTGACTACGTACAAGTACACAACACTGACGTTGCAAGTACACAACACTGACGTTGCAAGTACACAACACTGACGTTGCAAGTACACAACACTGACGTTGCAAGTACACAACACTGACGTTGCAAGTACACAACACTGACGTTGCAAGTACGTGTAGAATAGCAGGATGCGCGTAGTGGATATGCGCAGGTGTTGGGCTGGTGCAGTGTCCTGCTTCAGAATCGACGCACACAGGATCTTGATACTGTTTTGAGGACTGCTCATGCCCCTGTTTCCCTTTTGTTTCAGTATACCAAGTACTGCTTGTATCGGTGAGTCTGCTTGATTTTTCAGCACCGGCTGTGTTTTTCGATAAACAGGAGCAGACGTTACGGTGTCATGGCCCTTTGCTTGCATACAGCATTGTGTTTGTATGAGGTTCTCGGGAACAGACACTGATGGGTGATATATTGTATTTGTCATGTGTGTTCCGCACTGTTGCTCTCTTAGCCCACAGCAAAGGAGGAGAAGGAAGAGGAGGAAGAAGAGGAGGAAGACCTACCAGAGGTGTCCAACATGCGCTTATTGGCCTACAACAAACCTGAGTATCCCATCATGATCATCGGTGGCATCTGTGCACTGGCGTTCGGCTGCGTGTTCCCGTCCTTTGGCATTATCTTCGCCGAAATGTTGAACGTAAGCAATACGGCATGTGATCACTGGAATATTAGCGGCGTGACACCGTGGATGACCCATTTTCCAGCTCTGGCTGGTTACAGATAGTGTTGATGAGAGAAGATACAGTCAGTACAAGCACCACTACAGTCAAACCTGTCGTCAAGGCGACCGCTCGGATAAGGCAACCACCTGTCCCAGAAGACCACTGCAATCAGGATCAAGGGATGCAATTTCCACTAAAATTACCCTGGATAAGGAGACCACCTAGTAACAGAGACCACGTTTTGAAGGTCCTTTGAGCAGTCGTCTTAGACAGGTTTCACTGCAGTATGAATTACACCATGCATCGCTACTATTCTGTATCATGGTGATGTTGTACTGAGCTTTTGAAGTACTGATGTTCTGATGTGGGGTGGCAAAGCGCTGTATATGCGAGTGGAGGGAGGTAAGGGAAACCAACGTAATTTTTCTCGTGGCTATTTGAGGAATATTGCTGGATACTGTGTACTGTGTGTGTGTGCTGTGTGTGCATGCTATTATTGGATTGCGTTGCCACAGGTGTTCCGTTTCATCGAAGATCCAAGCCGGGAGGATGAATACAGAAGGGAAGCTGATCTTTGGGCTGGCATGTTTCCCGTACTCGGTATTGCTGCATTCTTCGTCCTGCTCTTCCAAGTAAGCACACGCTTCATGCAACATTTCTTTACTCCCCAAACAACCGCCGCCGCCACCGCCACCACCACCGTCTTATAGTAATTTAAAAAAGTGTGTGTGCATAACGTAAAGAATATTGTTCTTTCCTTTGGAAACACGTACAATGTACCACTATGTGACCTCCTGTTTTGATGTGCTGATTCGATTGTGCGTTTGTGTGTGTGTGTGTGTGTGTGTGTGTGTGTGTGTGTGTGTGTGTGTGTGTGTGTATGCGTGCGTACGTGCGTGTGTGCGTGCGTGTGTGTGTATCTATTCAGTTCTACTTTTTTGCCTATGCTGGAGAGGCGCTGACCAAGCGTATGCGTAGCCTGGCATTCAAGTCTATCCTGAGAAAGGTAGGCCGGGGGTCATAGAAGACCCTTGGGTGCAGTGTGTGTGCTATTCTGTACCCATTTGCATGCCAGCAAAATCGATTGCATAGTTATCGGATAAAAGTCCTCTTGGATATAAGTTAGCTGATTAACTATGCTAGTGGGTCTACGTTATGTGGAGTCTATTTTGTATTTGTATTTGTATTTATGGATTCTCCACCGGCCTTAGCCTAAATCGAGGGAGTCTCCGGAGTGAAGGGATATGTTGAGTACCGATAGTGTATGGTATTGGTAGTGTGTCAGTGTCATCCAGCTTTCCTCAACTGCAACCTGCATGTTATGTTGCCCGGAGTTGCTAGCAGGCTCCGGCGGACATTGCACATTTGCCTGCTATAAGTTACCTGCTATGTTCACTTGAAGTTGTGTTCATGTCTACACCCTGTCATGCTCTGCGTGTGCACGCCGTGTTGTGGTTCCTCTCCATTGTTTCTCAGAACGTTGCCTTCTTTGATGAGAAGAAGAACAGCACTGGTGCCCTGGCAACACGTTTGTCCACCGACGCCGCTCTCATTCAGGGTGTAAGTAGCTTGTGTGTATGTATGGATGTGTGTGCATGTGCTCGTGTGCCTGGCGTGCGTTAGAGTGCGCGTGCGTATACAGGGGTGTGTGATGTGTACCAGTGCCGTATTAATACATGTACATTAGGGGTGAAACGAAGGTCTCAAATTCCCATTCGAACCTTCTTTATTAAAACGAACGAAGGTGTCGAAGGATTCTTTTTTAGCATGATCACGGAAACGCTCAAAAATCTTAAAAATAAAAAGGGGGCAGAAAATCAGAACCCAATACTTATATTGTATGTGCAATTTGTTTCTGAATCTGGTGGTATCAATGTATCCATTCCAGGTAAGAAAATACTTTGGTAGAGCACACAACTTTAGATAGAGGCAAGGTTTCAACATACTCTTGATAGAGGCCATACCTAATACCAAGAGTGCATAAACAATGTTTATGGACTCTTGCTAATACCTGTTTGTGAGTCAATTGTCCATATTTCTGACAATTTAGATCAGTGGGATCGTGTACAGACTTGCAAGCCTTGGCTTTTGTGACACAAAACGACAGGAGTACTGCTCTAGTGTACAGCCAGTTGCATGCTTGAACAACACCAAAATGGACGGAAAAGAGCCATATTGCGTAGTAAATATCAGATGCCCAACTTCATCAAAAAATTGTCAAATATGGACATGTACTTTTTGCTTATCTGCTCGCATCCACTGGGTGCATTGGTGATTGAGAGGAGAGTGAATAGTCACTGGGTGAGGAACTTCACCTGTGTCGATGATTCCAGGCCATCGCTGCGCTCCCTCTCGCTGCTGCTGCTGGGAGAGTGGATACTGCAATGGCTTCAGCGATGGACACTTTTATTTTCGATACAAAAAATGAGACTACACTCGTATCGCTGCTACAACTTTCTCCAGACACCATCACTAGCAGATATCGACGGCAGCTACAGCAAGCTATATTCCTGGTACAAGCAAAACTGAGCGAAAACACGATCGAAATCGCAAAACTACTCTCCTACTAGTAGTTAGTATCGCAGAGCGCCAAACACTCGACGAATACAATCAAAAAAGTGATCCATGAGTACACCATGGTAGATCTACACACCAACGCAAAACGGGAACACACTGGCGACTGGAACAGGGCCAGTTCTTCACTGACTTGTCACTTCTTCAGTTCCGGTGCGCACGCGGACCGTGCCCCTACTTGTAGTACAGCATATCCTAGTGCATGCAGCACATCGCACAAGATCAATGCATTGATGCATGCACTAAACCCGTGTCGACCTTCGTTCGAATCAAAAACGAAGGTTCGTTTCAAAGGAAAACGAAGGTCCTTCGAACCTTCGACTACTTCGTTTCACCCCTAATGTACATGCACATAGGTTATAGTTCAAAGTACTTCTCTACGTGGATGTGCCCTTATAGTGTTTGATGTGATGTCATAATATCACTTATTATAATATTAACACTGATAGTATTGTTGCTGTATGTGTGTATTCGTATGAAAAGAATGAATGTTGGAACATATGATTGTATGACGTTTGTTTACGCTGACAAGGCCTGGTTTGATTGGGGTTTACCTTGATTTACTAAAAATTAGGCATGTTTGAATTGGTTTTACTCAGGATTCACTCACAGCAAACAAGTCTAAATGAGTTTACACATGCTTAAAACTAACTTGCACCAGTCACTATGTGCAACTGTGTCCCTGGACACAGCATTTTCCAATGTGGCGGATAATGCATGCGGTTTCTTTGCAATATCTTCAGTACCGATGTCTGACTAACTTGCCCTGCCTTCCTTTTCTTTCCCTGCAGGCAACTGGTGGCAAGATAGCTAATCTATTGCAGTTCGTCTCGACAATGATAGCTGCTCTTGTGATCAGCTTTATTGCCTCGTGGCAGCTGACACTGCTACTACTTGCTGTTATTCCTCTGGTGGGCGTAGGCGCTGCTGTGCAGACCAAGGCATTGGCTGGATTTAGCTCTGCCAAGAAACCAGAACAATTGGAAGCAGGCAAGGTAGGACATGCCACATGGTCAATGGTGCCACCCAGGTCACGAGAGTACATGCCCATTGGAAGTCCTTTCAGCGTTGGACTTGAACTAGACGATTCCACCTACTTGGAGCTTCTTGTGTGGATAATCCGCATGATTTTGGTATTCCGAGGTGGCGGATAATGTTTGCGGTTTCTTTGCAATGTCTTCAGTGCCGATGCCTGACTAGATTGCCTTGCCTGCTTTGTCTTGCTGTCTACAGCTGGCCATTGAGTTTGTGGACAACGTGAGGACCGTTGTAGCACTGGGTCTGGAGGACCGAGCTGTGGCACGTTACATGAAAGTCCTAGAGCCACTAGCAGCGTAAGTGGCCAGTGAGACTGTTATAATAAAGTAATATGTACTGTACATAGTAGTAATATATCTACTTCTGTAGCACTAGCATGATCACGCTGCGCATGCTCTTGTTCAGCGCTTTTTCCCCAATCTACTGGTGCTTGCTGGATGCTTGTGTGCATGGGGATCAGAACACAACAGAGACATACAGTAATACTGAGCATAGTCCTCTATCTTGAAAACGCTTGGTAAGCTGTGATGGCAGTTGTAGAAGACTCTTTATTAGGCTAGTCCCAACAGGCGATGCCACCCTAGACGAAGGCATTTAATCGGATGAGCAAATACTGTGGGAGATTGTGCCTGGCGACAGTCTAAGGGAAGAGCATTCCACCGTGGTACGCTGTCGCTGGAATGGACCTCTCCATCAATAGTAGTCCAAATCGTCACTCCTAATGCTACGGGCAGCGTGTAGAGGGACCCCATACCGACTGTACGCTTTTATAAAGCACTTCCCTCCCATTTCAGGAGCATTTCACTGTGCTGATAATCCTTGTTTCGTGGGCTCCCCCCCCCCCCCCCCCCCATCGTCAATAAATTATTCAACATGACGGCTGCATGCCTGTGTGGATTGTAGGCCCGCTGGCACTTTGATCCAAATTTGTAACTGCTAGCTACTGTGTCCGCTGTGTCACAGCTATGCCTTTGCTATTGTTTATGGCATGTGTCATCAAACCTACGACCTTCTGCTGTATTGTTTTGCTTTGTTCAGGGCTGGCAATAGGAAGCGTCACATCATTGGTCTGACGGTCGGCTTTGGCGAGGCCATGTTCTTTGTCGTTTACGCCATCACCTTCCGCTTCGGTGGCTTTCTGATCGCCAACGAAGGAACATCATTTGCAGATGTCTTCCAGTGAGTTTGGACCCCGCAGTGTAGGATGTACGAGTACCGGCATGCCGATTGATGTCAAAACCAAACTGCATGTATGCATAGTAAAGCAACTTGAAAATACTTGTGGTCTGCCCGGTTTTGAGTTTTTGACTTTAAAAGTTTTAACACTGCACCTGTTGTCACTTCTTTGATATTTTAAGGGGAGAGTTACAGGCACAGCAGCTGTTGTGTTCACACTTGTGTGCTCAATGTCTTGCGCTGTCCTCTTTACTGCTGCTGCTGTCCAGGGTGTTCGGTGCTCTGGTGTTCAGCGCATTCTCACTGGGTCAGGCTGCATCCATCGCACCTGATATCAACAAGGCCAAGAAGGCGGTCGGTCGTATCTTCGCTCTGCTGGACGACGTTCCACCGATTGATTCCTACTCTGAGGAAGGGGATAAGCCGGTGAGGACGACAGCACAACAGCTAGCTCCTTGAACTTTCATCTCACTTCTTTGTCCTGTTAAGCGACCGTATTTTCTGGAGTATAAGCCGCACTTTAACCCTTTCCGTGCTGGCCCCTTTTACTCCAGCAAACTGACTTTCAAGCGCACTGACTCTCCTGGTGTCGTTTTCGCGCACAGGTCCCAACGAATTTTTCTCTCAGTTCAGTTTACCTGGATGGATTTTCATCATCCTGGGCTTGTTGGAAAGATCAGGACCAAGCGAATCTATCCTGGTAGCTCTCAAGTCAATATGCATGGCGGTACAACTTCTATGTCCTGTCGAAACTACTTCACGATGCCTCGGAAAGGCACAGCAACTCGATCTCACATTCTTTTTTCGGTTTCTTGTTCCAGGTCAGCCGATTTTCACTATTCAAACTGCGCTGCAAAGCTGAGATCCACGTGCTTCCGCTGGTGTCCATTACGCATGCGCTGTACCAAAGGGAAATCCCCTGGCACGCAGCAGAAAACTGCGAATGCACGAACAAAAAACTCACGATCGCTCAGTGCCGTGAATTTTGTGTTCACACCGTCGCCGCTCCGTCAATCTTTCTCCTATCGTGAAGAACTTTATATTGCTGGAAAGCTGAGCTCAATACCTTTCCAACGGTGTATCGATTGTCGCGATAGACTTATTTTTGACGGAGTTACGAAAGTTTGTACACTGATCTATGCACAGCGATATACTGCGCAAATCCCATGACGTCTATTGACGTCACTAGCCGTTTGGCGTACAGCGCGCATGACGTCTATAGACGTCATTAGCACGGAAAGGGTTAAACACTCAAAATTCACCCCCGATGCGGCTTTTACTCCGATTATAAAATTACCGGTGATAAATATGATGGATGTCTGTATTTCGTGGCAAAAATGGGGGGGGGGGGGGGGTGCGGCTTATACTCCAGTACGGCTTATAGTCCAGAAAATACAATACATCTTTTAAGTGACAGTGTTCGAGTCGACTCTGAGGTCCAAACTGAAAATGGGATGGATGATTGTGGTTTCCAGCATTACTTGTTTGTGCTTTGAAGCGCAGTACGGTTTGTTGTAACTGGCCTTTTCTTAGTTCATGTACAGTAAGTATCGTTTATAAAGTGACCGGATATAATGATATACCGGTTATAGTGATAGAACACGTCAAAATCAAAATCAAATCTGAAAAAATACAGCTAAAATATCACTATATACACTATTATCGGCTATACCGATATATCGCTTATTGTGATGGCCTTCAGGAAGCAAACCATATCAAATGTACAGGAAAATATCGCATATAATGATCAAGAGTGATCTTTCTGCATGCTCTTGTCCGTTTCTGGCTGTGTTGCCTCTCACGATGATGTTGCCAACTCACGTACACAGCCACTCATGTCTATTTCTGGCTCTACGCAACTCGTTGGACACCGAGTAGATCTACGATCTACGTGAGCACGGATCCAGCTCAGGCTTTTTTTGGAGAACACGCTGAAGAAGCAGCCATGCCACATGATGAATCGAAGTTCTAGTACCGGTACATCATGGTACATGTACAGTCTGTACTCGTACTGCACTGCATGCCATGCACTGCTCTATGTCATGCACCGGTACACAGTCCGCGGAGCATGCATGCACTTTCAGCATGCTTTTTCCAGCGTGTACGCATCATTTCATGTGCAGTCATGTGCCATGTGTCGGTCAAACATGCAAATCGGCTATAGTGATGCACCGGATATAGTGATACATTTTCGAAAATCAAAGGGGCACGTTATATCCGATATTTACTGTACTCCCATCCCTGGTCCATCTGCATCTCTGCATTGCTCTTGGTTCTTCCTTCACTCTGCTGTGCTGTTTTTTCTCCAACTCCCACTCTTCGTGCACACACATGTCCTCTTTGCAGAGTAGCGTCTCTGGTGACATTGCCCTGAAGAACATCAAGTTCAACTACCCGTCACGCCCCGACGTTCAAGTCCTGCAGGACGCCACCATCACCGCCGATCACGGGCAAACCGTGGCTCTCGTCGGCCAGTCCGGCTGTGGAAAGAGCACCAGTGTATCACTGCTGGAGCGCTTCTATGACCCGGTCGCAGGCTCTGTGGTGAGTGTGGGCATCTTCGTGCAAGTAGCTAGGGATATGTTTGTGTTATGTGGTGATGCCGTGATTGTACATCACTTATTATACATGTTCACAAGAATATTGCTCCTGGCTGCTGCATTTTCTTATGACCTCCACTATGGTTTTCTCGTTGGCTGCCCAAGTCACACGTGTATCAGCGTGTTGTTCTCTCCTTCGCTAGCTCTCATTGAAGAAGTGCAGCTGAACAGTTTCCTGTGTGCACGTCTTGCAATGGAAGACCAACTTCAACCTCCCAAACAACCTGAAAATAGAGGTATTTTGTAATACTTACTGCAACTCTTTATGATATTAACAGCAGTGCAATGTTTTTTCTTCGCCTCGTGTACAGACTGTTGATGGGTTTGACATTCGCACGTTCAACTTGAAGTGGCTGCGTCGGCAGATGGGTATAGTGCAGCAAGAACCCATCCTGTTCGACTCTAGCATAGCCGATAACATAGCCTATGGCGACCTGGAGCGTGAAGTCGGCCTTGAAGAGATCCATGACTGCGCCAAGAGGGCCAACATTCACAACTTCATCGTTACTCTGCCCGAGGTAGGTCAGGTGTACATTGCAGTCAAGTAGTAGTGCAGGATCTGCTCAACATGTTTCACCTTACTAATATCTAGAGCATACTTATCTTAGAGTAGTACTCATCTAGTACTACTCACAAGTGGTGCTTCTAAAGCATGCAGACTCTTCTATTCTGCTCCCTGTCAACGTACACCATCTGAATTACTTTCTTCATTAACCCTTGTTCGTACTCACAGGGCTATGACACCAATGTTGGAGCCAAGGGAACGCAGCTGTCAGGCGGACAGAAACAGAGAGTGGCCATTGCCCGCGCCCTAGTGCGCAATCCAAAGATCCTGCTGCTGGACGAGGCGACCAGCGCCCTGGACACGGAGAGTGAAAAGGTGAGTGTGCATGCACTGGTGACGCACTGAAGGAGTAACTTACCATTCATTCAGCTGTGGATGTAGTAGTAGAGGAATACAATACATTCAGCAGTGCATGTACTAGCCATTCTCCTTTAGCCGTCACGCGGCTTGGTTAGAAAATCAGGGACATCTCATAATGTATGTACATTGAACCTTTAGTGTCTGTACCTCCAAGGGACGTACATATCAGTACTTTATACTAGTAGGCGAGGTAACAGTTACTGTGTGCCCGAGGTCAGCTGTCTACAGCATTGGCCAACCATGGTCGAATGACTGGAAAGGAATGGGCAGAATCCTGAAAAAGGTGCTTTATTGTTTATTCCGGTATCCAATGCAAATAGAAAAGTACTTCAAAGTAGATTACATCCAGGGTATTGTATACTGTAGTGTCACTAATATAGATCAGATATGCCATGGCATAATATAGATCAGATGTGCCATGGCATGAGTGGTCAAAGTAGTAACAGCAACAGAAGGTATGTTTGTTGAAGCGGGAAATGGGAAATGACCATCGTGTGCGCGTTGCTATGCCATGCTGCAGGTGGTGCAAGACGCCCTGGACGTAGCCCGTCAAGGCCGCACCAGCATTGTCATTGCCCACCGCCTGTCCACCATTCACAACTCTGACAAGATCGTGGTGCTCGGTGGTGGAGGTGTTCTGGAGCAGGGCACACACTCTGAGCTCATGGCCAAGGAAGGTGCCTACTACAAGCTGAACAATGCACAGGAGGAGAACAAGGGAGCAACCCTCGCTTAGGGCATCAGGCACTCCAGCGTGCTAGTGCCACAGTTTTTGATGGCGACTCAGGCAATCCAACACCGCCACCAGCCGTAGATGCCTCTCTAATGCATTATTTCCTGAGCAAGAACATGTTCTGTTAGGAGTTGAGCACCTTCTTTCCGTTTTGACTACTCATACTTAGGTTTGCACTGGTTACCATGGAGACAGGTCTGGGTACCATGGAGTCAATGGTTACCATGGAGATAACTCACTTGCATGTTAGGCACTTCCGAATTGCAGCAGTCGGTATCTACATGTATCTCTCGCGGCACTGTTGTCAAGCGATGCGCTCAGGTTCTGTGCACACTGTTTATTGCCACTTGGTGGATACTCATGCCGGGCCATGGTTTGTTTAGTCCACGTAGAGGTACAGTAGGTGGCACGGTTTCTATGGATGCCAAGCAGTCAGCGGCATTCCAGTGTTCCAATTGCATCTCTAGTTCTTCAGTTAGATCCTGCTCGCACAATGCGCACAGTAAATACTGTACTGTATTCCACTCAGATCAACTGTATTCCCGGACTCAGATCTATCAGTCCATTGGACTGTTCACACCCACTCAGTCCAGCGGACCACTTGAGAGAGTATTTCTATTAGAACTTCAATTAGAATTCCTCTTTGGTGTTATCGCAATGCTTGTCTTTGGCCTGCCAGTGTGTTTCCGGTTTTCTAGCGCCCTTCAGTACGGCTCAGCTTTGTTTCCGGCAGAACTAGAAGTAGTACTGCGCACAGCCACTGCCTGTAACTCATGTATGATTGCTTTGCTTTCTGTAGGTTGTGCACTGTATTGTTGTGCACTGTAAGTTGTTGTTGATCATGGCTTCCACTCAATAGCATGCATATTAATAGAATGATTATATCATCTGCCAGCTGCATGTGGCTAGGGCTGTATTTGATATTCTGTATGTTATGACTGCATTGCAGTGTGTTCTTCTATGGGCCGTATGGTGTTACATGTATTATTTCCCACCAGTTAGTGTGTACTTGAACACAGTGAGCAAATAAATAGTCAGTAGCTGCCTTCTTCTAAACATGTACCGGAATGTACCGCGGTGGTCCTAGTGAGCCAGTGAGTGCAAGGCCGGGCTAACTGTATACTGAGTGTATAGTGTACAATGCTATACAAAAGTCATGTATGAAGCCTCGAAGGCCCGAGCCGAGGTCACAAAAGCATTATTGCGGAGATGTAGTACTAGAAATGAGTACTAGTCAAGACAGATCCTACCCCCGTGTAGGCTTGCAACTACAATGAAGTTCAGTTAGTTGGCAGCAGCTCCCTTGCCAGGTTGGCACCTGTGTCTTCTCATAGCAACCCACACACACAGTCGGAAACATTCAGTTTACATCTCAAGTTCTCTTCTTACAATACATGTCTTTGTATGATGATGATGTGAATGCAATGATCATTAATTTTGTATGTATCTATAGCATAAAGATGCAACTAAAATTAATTTAAAAAAATTTATGTTGAGATCAGGGAGACCATACACTGCAATGCCAGTACGCTGTAAGTAAGTTATTGTCGTTTAGCTTTGCAAGCCTGAAGCCGGGGCATAGCATATGCATGATCACCTACGAGTAATAGTTATCGTCTACGATAATAGCTGAAGGGGCAATGCTCAGACCATTATGCAAAAGAGAGGAATGATTTATTATAATCATACTTGTAGTAGAAAGCTGAAAGAAACTGTCTTACATCGGCTTGCAATATGCACGAGATGCGGCCAGTACAAGTCATATTGCATGCACACGCATCATGTAGTGGGTGTCAACAGGTATTCTGGAAAGACGTATAAAGCTCAACATCTCTGGGTATCTAGTATGCTAGTACAGTGTAGACAGTGTACATGTGCATGTAGATCAGTACTGTAACCAATGTCATGCAGGTAGTTATAGGTATTGTAATCAATGTACTTTGAAGTAGTTACTACCGGGCACTTTTGGTCATGGGAATACAAATGTTTGTAGTACACATGGTCAACAAGTGTGTGCTTTCCGCTTTCTCAGAAGATATCAAGCCTAAACGTCACCCGTTCCCCGTGCCTTCTCTTTACGAGTTGCAGTGATTGAGCAATGGGTATGCCGGAATTACCAGAGCAGGATTTCAAGAATCTGCCACGCTGTGTGATAACTTGGGCTTACGCAGGCGTTATACAGTTATACAGTTATACAGTTATACAGGTGTTATACAGGTGTTATACAGGTGGTCGGCAACACTCGTGACTGTAGTCACATTGCCGATGCGAGCAGGTGTTTTCGTCCAGCGTGCAGAAGCGATGCCTATCAACGGCGATACCGCAGTGTGTGCCGTGATAGGGTGCGCGGCATCTGCAGCGCACCTCGTTGATGGCCTTGTCGACCTGAGACGATGAGCAGAGACCGCCGTTCCTGCACTTGTCCTCGCACCATGCAGTGCACTGGCTGACGCGGTGACTGGCCTGCACGTCGCCGCGTAGATCCAGCGCAGTCTGCGAGATTGAGACGCCTTGCATGCAGCCCACCAAACCACTGTCTATGTTTGTAGCCGTGATGTCCTGTGCAAGAAGAGAAGATAGATTAAATTACTTCGAAGTAGGAGATAGAGACAGGGTAGGATACGAATAGAAGGGAAAGGGAGAGAGTGATTTACGTTTATAGATACGACAGAGAGAGAGAGAGAGAGAGAGAGAGAGAGAGAGAGAGAGAGAGAGAGAGAGAAAGAGAGAGAGAGAGAAAGAAAGAGAAAGAGAGAGAGAGAGAGAGCAAGAGAGAGAGAGAGAAAGAAAGAGAAAGATATATATATATATATATATATATATAGAACAATAGAAGTATTTCTTGCGTCGGCAAAAAAGTGCTCAATGTCCTAAGACAGAGCGGGGTTATACACTCAGACACAAAGGATCTCCAAGTTTCTCACTGTTGCTACTCTGAGTTTCGTGCAAAAGCACTCTTCAGGCAACTTACTCTTCTCTCATATCAGTATCCCTTTACATACCAGAAAAGACGAAAAGAAGCACCCTAGGTGGGAATCACAGGTGGGGAAAAGAAGCACGCTAGCCAGTTTAGGTGGGAATCACAGGTGAAGATAAGAGGGATACTGATGTGAGAGAAGAGTAAGTTGCCTGAAGAGTGCTTTTGCACGAAACTCAGAGTAGCAACAGTGAGAAACTTGGAGATCCTTTGTGTCTGAGTGTATATATATATATATATACTCAATCTGCGCATATATATATATATATATATATACACACAACAACAAGGTTGTCAGTTTCATAATACCAAAAGCTTTTCACCCATTTTCATCAGTGGTTACATGGGAATGAGCAAGAACGAAAACGAAGCCAGAATTTATACTGGGGGTAGAGAATCAGCAAGAATATTCTTACGCGCCTCAAGTTCACACTACACTACCATAAGAATGTATGGAGCAGTGGAAAAATGCGGGAAACAACACATGAGGGGAATGCAGTACCAGAACAAACACGTGATAAAGTTGTCAGTCCGGTTGCAGCTTGAACAGCCGTAGCACCTTGATGTGCTTCTTTTGTCGACACAGTTCTGGCCTCAAACTGCGAATGTACAGCGCCTCCAGTGTGAATCGGTGCGCGCTGTTTCGGGCTGGTGTGATCACACTGAAGCTGCTGTTGCATTCTGCTGCTGCTGTTACATTCTTATGGTAGTGTAGTGTGAACTTGAGGCGCGTAAGAATATTCTTGCTGATTCTCTACCCCCAGTATAAATTCTGGCTTCGTTTTCGTTCTTGCTCATTCCCATGTAACCACTGATGAAAATGGGTGAAAAGCTTTTGGTATTATGAAACTGACAACCTTGTTGTTGTGTGTATATAAATTTTGTTCGCCTACCTCTCTATTTAAATATATATATATATATATATATTATAGGGCTGCGTCCCACCCGCCTGTGTGGATTCACAGGAAGTGTGAGTTACGAAGTCTGAAGAAAACGTTGAACGGTCTCTGCTTGGATGACGACTACACCATAGCTCAGTGGTTAGAGCATCGCTGGCTACAAGCGAGGGTCCCTGGTTCGAGTCCTGGTGGTGACAGTCGATTTTTTCTTCAGACTTTTCCCGTTTGTCTCTTTCCCTCAAAACCAGTTAATATATATATATATATAGAGTATATATATATATATATATATAGAACAATAGAAGTATTTCTTGCGTCGGCAAAAAGTGCTCAATGTCCTAAGACAGAGCGGGGTTATACACTCAGACACAAAGGATCTCCAAGTTTCTCACTGTTGCTACTCTGAGTTGCCTGAAGAGTGCTTTTGCACGAAACTCAGAGTAGCAACAGTGAGAAACTTGGAGATCCTTTGTGTCTGAGTGTATATATATATATATATATTTATCGCCTTCTTAGTATTTGACCCCACTAATTTCCCTGATACCTAAGCGGTCAAATATATCGCGTATTTGACTGCTTAGTCAAATACACGATATATTTGACTACTTATATTTGACTCCTTAGAACTTCTTGGACTTAGAAATTTTCTCTCCAACTTCGAAAAAGAAATTTTTGAGGAAAGCAGAAATACACAAGATGGGATTTGAACCCACAACCTTGTGAATCTCAGTCACTCTTCCTTACCACCCAGCCACTGTGCTACCGATGCTGAACCTAGTTTAAACAATGATCTTGACTTTCAATGCAGTACAATGCAGTATAGGCTATAGTATAATACTAGAATTACAAGGATATGTCGTATATGAAGAGAAACTATTGCGTGGAGAATACGATAAATAGATTATAGACCTCATAGTTGGTCTATACAGGATATATAGACCTCGTAAAAGACCTCGGGGGACCTCGGTCTTTTACTCGGTCTATATATCCTGTATAGACCTCCTAACCGGTCTATAATCTATACATATAGAACAATAGAAGTATTTCTTGCGTCGGCAAAAAGTGCTCAATGTCCTAAGACAGAGCGGGGTTATACACTCAGACACAAAGGATCTCCAAGTTTCTCACTGTTGCTACTCTGAGTTTCGTGCAAAAGCACTCTTCAGGCAAGTTGCCTGAAGAGTGCTTTTGCACGAAACTCAGAGTAGCAACAGTGAGAAACTTGGAGATCCTTTGTGTCTGAGTGTATATATATATATATATATATATATATATACTCAGACACAAAGGATCTCCAAGTTTCTCAGTGTTGCTACTCTGAGTTTCGTGCAAAAGCACTCTTCAGGCAACTTACTCTTCTCTCACATCAGTATCCCTTTACATACCAGAAAAGACGAAAAGAAGCACCCTAGGTGGGAATCACAGGTGGAGAAAAGAAGCACGCTAGCCAGTCTAGGTGGGAATCACAGGTGAAGATAAATGTGGCAAGTGTGGTAGTGTGAGCAATCGCGCAGGCCGGGTGGTGTGCATAAAGTGAAGTAGGATGCATGCACATTAGATAGCAGGAGTTCTGTATATGTGTAACAGATAGCAAGCGCAGTCTACAGTTCAGGTCACCTCCGATAGGAGGTACTTGGTGCTGTGGCGACATTTTGTGACCAGGCTGCATCTGGTGTTGAGGAGCGATGCCTTGTCACTCTTCATTATGGCGATCTTCTCCGATAGGCATAGGTTGCACCGCTTCGAGGTTCTTTTGTAGGCGCTGGATCTCTGCCTGATTCTCCACGAGATGTTGACGTCTTCACCTGCCTCCTTCAATGCCCATGCATGCTTTGACAATTCTGTGCTGTTTCTGTGTGGGGCATTCCGGAACGATGACGTGTGGTTGTTGAACCGGAGTTTGAACGGGGTTTCGGAGATGCCGATATACTTCTTCCGGCTGAGATTGGAGAGAGAGACTTTTTGCCGACGCAAGAAATACTTCTATTGTTCTATATATATATATATATATATATATATATATATATATATATATATATATATATATATATATATATATATATATATATATATATATATATCTGATTGGAAATTTTTATTTCCATTGCCATCAGGTTCGGCCTCATTTCCTCTGTGCTGCGCTGACGAGTCCACAAAGGACGAAACAGTTCTGTCCGCAGATTGAGTATTTCGCTCCTGCTCTTGTAGCAGTTGAGCACTCTTGCGTGGGGTAGTGCCTTTGCTGTTTGCGTTATGCAGAGCTCACTGACTTGTCAGTTTGAGCACTCTGGCAAGGTACGTTCGGGCCTGATTGGAAATTTTTATTTCCATTGCCATCAGGTTCGGCCTCATTTCCTCTGTGCTGCGCTGACGAGTCCACAAAGGACGAAACAGTTCTGTCCGCAGATTGAGTATTTCGCTCCTGCTCTTGTAGCAGTTGAGCACTCTTGCGTGGGGTAGTGCCTTTGCTGTTTGCGTTATGCAGAGCTCACTGACTTGTCAGTTTGAGCACTCTGGCAAGGTACGTTCGGGCCTGATTGGAAATTTTTATTTCCATTGCCATCAGGTTCGGCCTCATTTTCTCTGTGCTGCGCTGACGAGTCCACAAAGGACGAAACAGTTCTGTCCGCAGATTGAGTATATATATATATATATATATATATATATATATAGAGAGAGAGAGAGAGAGAGAGAGAGAGAGAGAGAGAGAGAGAGAGAGAGAGAGAGAGAGAGAGAGAGAGAGAGAGAGAAAGAGAGAGAGAGAGAGAGAGACAGGGAGAGAGAGATGAGAGAGAGAGATGAGAGAGAGTAAAAATAGAAGGTTCTCATAGGACGAATGGATGGCAAGATTCAAACAGAAGATGAGCCGAGACGTGTCAAAACACAATACCCCAAACTCAAGGAACCTCCAAACATCACATCCAGGTGAAAGTCAAACCACAACACCAGTAGACAGCGGAGACAGCTGACCACAATAAACAACACAAATCCCCCATACCAACACAAATCCTCCATACCAACACAAATCCCCCATACCAACACAAATCCCCCATACCAACACAAACCCTCCATACCAACACAAATCCCCCATACCAACACAAACCCTCCATACCAACACAAATCCCCCATACCAACACAAATCCCCCATACCAACACAAATCCCCCATACCAACACAAACCCTCCATACCAACACAAATCCCCCATACCAACACAAACCCTCCATACCAACACAAACCCCCCATAACAACACAAATCCCCCATACCTTCAGTGCAGCCAGATCAGGATAGCCACCAAGATACATCGGCTCATTGAGGTTCAAGCCGTAGAGGTTTCCTGCGAAGCGCGCTGAGACGGCTGAGCCACTGCCAACATTCAGAACGACTTGCCGTCGCTTCTTCATTATCGATACCGTGTACCAGGCTCCGGCGCGTATTCTGGCTGAGTGCGCCAGGTGAACAGCCCCGTGACCGGCATCCACAGCTGCATGCACTCGACCACCTGTATGTAAGGCATGGCAATGTACAGAACACACACACACACACAGTGTGTGATGCCGTCCTTGCAGGATTACATGTAATTCATTTCTTGTATCACATGCATCCAGCATGATTGTATACAACACTAACTTTTCATACATTCATACTCCCACTCGCATTAGAAGTTCTTCAATTTTCCGCATGAAGTCCACATTGAGTTTGTTGACACCGGTACACGTAGATCTACTATGTGACTTAGCAAGTGAAGGTAGCCCCATAGCGAATTTTGACTATTGGGGCAGCAGCTGTCAGAGACCTTCTTTTCAAGAACAAGTAGTTAGTTGCTCGACATAGTGAAGGCAGTCAGGCTCTCTCTCTTGTTGCCCTTTCCTCCCTAACTGAAGTCAGTAGCTACCCAATCCCAGATGGGCCTCCTGGGGGAAAGGGGTGGGGAGAGGGGGGGGGGGGGGGGGTAATTTTTGTCCAATCTGGTAACCAAACCCACAAGATGATACGGGTACAGTCAGATCCCGCTTATCCGGTCCTCTTTTATCCGGATCCCTCGCCATCCGGAAGGAAATCGTTGGTTACCGATTTACAGCATGTGTCATGCATACATACAGTATGTGTGTTTGATTATCCGGTTCCCTCGCCTATCCGGACATTTTTGTGGAAAGCTGATGTGTTCGGGAAAGCGAGGTCTGACTGTACATAACCATAATAGTATTACGGCCTACGTTAAAAGTGGTACTGGACTTAAGTCTTGCTCATTGCTTACCAAGGAGGAACAATGCCACGAAATCCCTCTTCCCTCTACCCCTCGCCGACTGTGTGTTGAACAGCAGGAGCTGAGATCGCTCCGGAGAAGCAGTGCGGAATCCCAGTAGTAACGAGAAGCTGATGAACGCCGATGGAATGGTCGGGTAGGCAGCAAAAGAATCTCCAAAGAACCTCGGTTGCTCACCTATAAACCACACCGGAGCAAAACATTGAATGCATCTGAGCAGGCATCATGACACCATTCACGGACTGGGAACCTAGAGAGAGAGGTTCGATTATGAGGGAGATCAATCCGACATTGCACTGAGTGCCTAGCTAGTTGTCATGCATTGATCCCTGGTTTTGTTACAGCTATAGAGCAAAGCACATGCCTTACCAGCCAGTAGAACGTTGACGGTCTTTGAAGTTTCTCTCTTCTGCGATCGGATTCGATTACTGGCCACGCATGTGTAGGCGCCGGCATCGTGTGCAGAAAACCTGTGCAGGTGCAGCGTGGATCCTCTCTGCCGGTGCGGCGATCGTACAGGCCTGCCATCGTGCCGGAACCATCTGACCTTGGGTGTGGGATAGCCGGCCACGTAACACGGTATTGCTGTACTTGTACCGCTGGATATGTACAGTGTCTCCGGCTGGTCAAGCAGAACCTCCGGGGCGCCTGCAGGAGTGTGCATATTTGAACAGAGGAAACCAGTATCCAGCTTTAATTAATGTGCGACCATCCATGGAATTTCAACTCATTCCCATGCTAAGGCTGTATTTACTAAACTAGTATGGTAGTCACGGTGCATTTTCAATTTTTGCTGCAAATCCAACTTTGCCCCCAAACCCGTTGGCATGCAGCAGTTCACATGTGTCGTCATTCAACAAGTACTAGTACCTCTCACCATAGATATAGAGTTGGGTTGATCTTCGTAGAGGAACAGCTACCCCATCTTCGGCCTTGCACCAGAACACACCACCATGATCCAGACTAGCACTGTTGATGCGCAGCTTCCCTACGGGCAGGGAGAGAGAAATAAAGAAATAAAGAAAGGAAGAGAGAGAGAGAGAGAGAGAGAGAGAGAGAGAGAGAGAGAGAAAGAGAGAGAGAGAGAGAGAGAGAGAGAGAGAGAGAGAGAGAGAGAGGGAGGGAAATAAGCATAGAGAATATATTAGAGATCAGGCTCACTCTGAAACAAGTATAATTCCCGTGAAAGAATAGTCCACTGGAGAGCATAGACCATTTAGTGCCTCTCACTCATAGACTCCACACATTTACTGCCGCGGGTACATCATCCAGGTCATGCGGCTGCAACAGATGGGACTTCCAACCTTGTCCGGTCTCATCACCTTACACACATGCACTACGCTAGGAGTAGCTTCATCTTCCCTTCATCCTTTCCATGGAAACGGAAACACTTGTCTGACTGACTCACACCCTGAGTGCTGAGTGTTATTTTCAAATATTGTGGCGCTTCACCTCATTGAAAAAAATTCACGGTTCGCGTGAGACTCGGCTGGAAGCCGGGCTTTCCGCATCCGTAGGAACGCCACCACCCTTCAAGGATCAAAGCGCAGATGCAGCTCCTAAAGCATTTTTTTCAGATTATGTTCAGCGGCATGAACATAATCCAGTCAAGGATATGAACGGATGTAACTTCCACAACATGTATCACGTACATGTAGTTTATCGTACTCAGGGGTTTTGTAGCACTGAATAATTATATGGACAAAAAAATTAGACAAGAGAGTAGACAAGAGAAAAATACAGAACTAGAGAATCCACATTCGAGCATGCGCTCTTCTATACTGGATTGGCTCTCATTGCTATGGTGAAGGAGCGGGAAATACGAATAGTGAGTATAGTACGTTCTTAGTATAAATACACCTATTTAATATACTCGTACGTACCACTCCTTGTGACACTAGCGCCATATGGAATCGGCCCAGCAAGGTTGTGGGAGTCCGAGCGTTGACTTGACCAAGTCCACGTGTAGGAGATGGGTTGATTGGTGGGAGAGCTGGCCTGGCAGTCTAACTCAACACCCGAGCCACTCGTCACGTGCTGTGGCGCAGGATCTGGGCCACTCATAGCATCATCTGACAACATACACACACACGTACCGCATTGAAAAGGATAATGCTGATGTCAGTGATGTCATGAACAGTCCCATTACATCATATGATAATACACAGTGGTGGCGGGATGGGTAGGATGTCACCAACACACGGGCAACAGGCCAATGACCATCATACGGTTCTTCCCGACTGGATGGGCGACGGAGCAGAAAGCCTTGATGTTGTGCTGTTGTGGTACTGGCGTGCACTGAAGGTGTTTCCTTATCCATTTATACGCATAACGATCCCACTGTGGACTATGCCCAGGATAAACACAACATGTTCACAAAAGTCTACATTGTGCAGTCCCACTGAAACCTGTGGATAGCAACAGCAACATTCCTCTTTTACGTTTACCTATGTAGTATGTACCCATATATGGTGATACAATGATGCTGCGAGGAGCTTACCAAAGATTTTCATATCAATCTGGACGGTGATATTGCCCAGCGTGTTGGTGGCGGTGCAGATGAAGACTCCGCGGTCGGCGTACTGTATCGACTCGAATATCAATTCACTGCCGATCTCCGTTGCGCGATCTTTCAGATTGAATGATGGAGTATCGACAAGACTTGTCCACGTGATGCGTGGTGTGGGTACGCCCTGCACTGCGCCACACGACAACGCTACACGCTGACGATAGCGAACATCAACCTCTGATCGCGGATCAGCGTCGCTGGTGGGCTTTTCACCTGGAGATCATGAAAAAAAACAACCCACATGGGTTAAACACCATCAGTTTCAGGTCGTAGCCAAGTATCTATCCAGAACCGGCGATAGCACACTTTGCTGTCCAAGCCACGATCTTCCTATATCAGCCCTCCTTCCCAGATAAAGGTACCGCAGTTCCCCTGATCCCCGAGATACCTCAACCCACCCGGTGTACAGCAAAACCTGTCAATGTGACCACTCGGATAAGGTGACCACCTGTCCCCGAGGACCACTGGATCTAGGACCAAGGCTTGGTATTTCCAGTCAAATGAACCTGGATGAGGAGACCACCAGTGACCTCTACACAGGAACCACCTTTGAAAAGTCCCCAGTTGAGCAGTCGGCATCATGTAGATAGGCTTCACTCTACTAGTAATTGCGTGCAGTGGGTCTTGATAGCAATTCTATAAACTCCAATAGACAGAACTTTAACTTCAATCGTGACGTACCAATAACGACCAGTTCCACTTTGCCAATCGCTATTCCACCTTGGTTCGTGGCATTGCAGATGTAGATACCGGCATCTTCCTTGCGCGTCGACTCCACCGCAAAGAATTGTCCCTCGTGGACGGCGCTTCCAACTCGCTTGCCATCCTCAGTCCTGTACCAGGTGACGAACGGCAGTGGAGTGCCCGTTGCCTCGCATGCCATCAGTGCCGGCGTCCCAAAGTCGACGGTGACCTTGGGAATAACTGCAAAGACCAGCGGGATACTACCTGGAATCGCAACAAACATACCCTGCAACACAGGGCTGGCATGCAGTGGATTAGCGGGTCAAACGCATCAGCAGCATCAACAGCATCAACAGCGTCAGCAGCATCAGCAGCATCAGCAGCATCAGCATCAGCAGCATTAGCAGCATTAGCAGTAGCAATGGCATTAGCAGCATCAACATCAGCAGAATCAGCATCAGCTTTGACATCAGCATAAATGTCATCAGCCGTATCATCTGACATCATCATCAATCAACTATTAGTGTATTTGAAGACCACTAAGGGAACATCAGTGGAATGTTACCATTTCAGTTTTAAAAGTTAGAATAAGTAAGATTTGTATGCATAAAGTGGCATGATACACTGCCAGGGTATGTCTGTGATTCAATGACAAGTCAGCCAGTGTTTGTTGTTGTGTGTGTGGGGAGGGGGGCATTGGAAACCATTATGCTAGACCGTTCATTGGGGCCTGGGCTTCGGCAGCCACATTGCAAGATCAAAACAAGCTTGAGCTCAAACACAACAGTCCCACCCGAGAGCATATTGAAATGGAGGCTAGGCCAGCTCTGGCTACTTCCGTGTCCCACTGATGACTCTAATCGTTTGCTGCTGGCAAGATGGCTGGGACAAATCCTATCATTGCCACCATTCTTACAGTAAAGATATTATGTAAATAGAAGTTTTTCATATCTCTTCCTACAGTACAGACACAGCTTGATACACCACCTATGCAAATTATGCACAAAGCTTGGACACAGCAAGAGAAACTAACCTTTCACGGTGAGCATAACGCTAGCTGATGATCGTCCATACTCGTTCTCGCCACTGCAGAAGTACACCCCGTTGTCATCCACAGTCAGCTGTGATGCTTGCAGAGACCCATCTGGCTGCAGGACGAATCGGCTGTCATCAACGACTCTCTGCTCAAATACGTTAGTCCAGTGCCGAATGGGACTGGGGTATCCGTCGATGTCACAGCGAAACGTGGCCGATTCGCCAACATATCGTACAATCCTCGGTGTCACGGCCCGTGCACTCGGTGCAACGCCTGAGCAAAGCAGAGTATAGAGTACGCCATTATAAACATGGCTACCATACTATATGTATCGTAGATATGGAATGAAGCCGATGGTCCCACTGATTTTGCTGCTCAAGTTCCAGTAGCTGTTTTGTGGCTGAGCCTTTCCTAACTCTCACCGAAGATCTAATTAGTGTGTGTGTGTGTGTGCATGTGTGTGTGTGTGCGTGTGCGTGTGTGTGTGTGTGTGTGTGTGTGTGTGTCGACCGTATCTACATCAGTGATCATGATTGGAAATGTGAAATTTCCTAGCGCCAAGTTGCAACAAAATTATTTTACCCCTTCCCCATCTACCAGCCCGGGGCATTGCCTCTCACCGCCAACTCCGAGGAAAATCGACGCCTTGCGCGTTCCACATGTGTTCGTTCCCTGGCAGTGGAATGTGGTGTTGTGGATATCACTGCGCAATCTCTCCAGCTCCAGCACGGACAGGCTGCCCAGGGTACGCGTGCTGAGCTGCTGCTCATTGTCGCTGCTCCAGGAAATGTCAGGTTGCGGCGTGCCAAGTACAGAGCAGACAAACGAGATCCTGGACACGCAGAAGTAGACAACACCGAGAGGTACTCAATTGGGAGAGCTGATTGGATTTTGTAAAGGACAAACAATATTGGGAAGCATGGTCAATAGGCTTCTAGAGACAGTGTTCCCTTGAAAATGGCGTCTACTTGTAAGTACATGTTTTAAGCAACCATACCAAGGTGCATAGAATGCCTTCTCCCCCACCCTGGTCTTTGTAAACAGGTGGTCTTTCAACACAGGTACAAATGGGTTCTGAAATGACCAGTCTCATTAGATAGGTGGTCTCTAACAGCAGGTTCTACTGCATAAAATTGGACAGTGTTAGATAGGCATGTGTACATCACATATTTAGTCATCTCCTGCATGCTGGTCAGCAATAAGCATGCATGAAAATGACTGCGAGCGTTCGAACTGAACGATGTAGCGAAAGGATCGCAAAGCAACATGCGAAATACTGCCAAGGGTCAACTGGTGTTGCATGATTTCAGATCGCTCACCTGCCTTGATGCTGGCCGACTGCTTCCACATCTGGACCGCCCCCACGTGCACGGCATGCAGAGTGAGGGTCACAGCCAATCTGAATCCTGGGACATTCTGTACAGCACACATCATCACCAGCAGTAGCAGCAGTAGCAGCAGTAGCAGCAGTGGTGGTGCCGGTCGGCCGCAGTAATGGTTAGCAGCAGCAGCAGCAGCAGAAGCAGCAACAAAAGGGGACCTTGGGAACTCGGACATAGAGCGCCCTGGCTATAAAGCACTGATTCTATATCCACTGAGGTATGTTACATGAAGTTTCACTGAGACTGGACAGTGATGTTATGCTTCATCCCTGTAGGATACAGCTGCACTAGTCTACTCTCTACTGTCCCTGGATGTGTAGATCACACACACATAGTCATTGGGTGATGATGATAGCAATACACATCATCATGATGGTACTGGCATGCACACGGGGGGGGGGGGGGGGGGGGGATATTATACACTGTAGGCTCAGGCCTTAGTTTTGACAGGGCATTGTCATTCCATAATTACCATTCTTATAGATAAGATGTCACGCTTGGCAATACAATGCCTAAGGTTACCTGGTTGTAGGTGAAATGGCATGAGTACTTAGCCGAAGTTGGAGTGTTGAAGTGTAGCAGGCTGGCAGACTGTATGCCTGTTTGGCTCCAAATCTCTACCTTGTAATCAGGGGAATGCTGTAGGGCTTGGACTGGGAGTGTTGACAGCCAGCTGCACTCAACAATGACTACATGCTGGGCAGGTGCACATGGAGGGAATGCTGAAGAGCCCCTGGTGACATGTGCACCTCAGAATGGTGCAGCACCATGGCTCACACAACACAAGGGCAGGAAGTATGCCTCCATGATTCGCATGGTAAGGCTCGATTTGGAACCATGACGTGCCACTGGTCACATGAAATCAAGGAAAGTCTTGAGTTATTCTGGGGCAGGGCCCACAGCACAACATGCTGCAGCATACTGATACCTAATTCATCATTGGATTGGTCTACATCTACAAGGTACTACTAGCAACACTGGAGACAATTACATGCATGTGCCTCTTGGACAAGACTACAAGACTACAAGACTACAGGGCAATGCCAGGCTAAGTGTAGAACACTGTAATGCTACATAACACGCTCGGTCATCAATACCAAATCATAGTCTTGAAAGGGTAACTTTTCTTTTGACCCGTACGCTAGAGCGTAATTGCCACCGTCGTGAAAATCGAGACCGTGAGATTGCCACACCTTGCACACATCATAAGTACCGCTCATTCGTTTATAAATGAGTAAACAGCTCAATTTGAGGAATGGACGCATGAGGCACAGGATGGGCTTTGGCCAGGTTTCAGATCGGCAGCAAGCACAAGCCCGCTAGAGAAACTGACTTGGGAAGACAATCATGATGGCTCTGCTTACCTTCTGTCGGCGAGGCAGGATCCGGTGCACCCTACAAGATGAAACAGAATGCATGCACATACACACACACACACACACCGACACACACACACACGTGCCCGTACATACCCGCACACACGTACCGGCACACGAGTGAAGGCGTGGGTTTTCTGTTCTTGAAGATGCATGCAGACTTCACAAGAATTAGAAATGTTTCTCCTGAAGCCAGCATGAACATACAGACAGAATTCGCTGAGCAATAACTTATAGTTCTGTACATAATTTGCACACCAAAGCAACAGGAGGGAAGAAAGCACACATTCTCTTCACATTGTCTATACGCAAACTTTCACTGAAGCGGCAATTGTGACCTTCACTGTGACCATTGCTTTTGGTTTGAAGATCACAGAATGAGCTATGGTATGCACAGTGTAGACTGCAGTAGAAATTGAGATGATTCACCACATACAAGTACTTCAGTATGATGCAAGGTAGACTAAACAGCAAATAGCCCTGGGCTAGGGGGGATACTGTGCATGAGGAAGTCGCCTGTGTCTCCTCACAACTACTTGTACACTGGCTGCAGTAATGCAAGTGATGATTGCTGTACTGATCACATGACATGTATATGTGCGAGTGTGAGACATGAACATGATTACTGTATGCATCGAGTACATCATACTCCACAGCAATACCCAGGCATGCACAACACACTAAAGACCTTAAGTGCTCACACCACTTAGTTGTGGGCCGTACAAAACAATGTTTTCAAGTATGTTTAGTCAAACAATATGGTGGAGCTTCTTTGTCGGGAAGGGTTGTGGTTTTGTGACATAACAAACAGTTGTGGTTTCTGAAGCTCTTCTTTACAACCATGGTCCATAGTGTGCAGGCAGTGCTTCTGATTTGTGGGCTTCCGCTTGGGCACACGGGCAATTCTGATCATGATAATTTCAAATTGGATAGCAGGTCAGTTGTTGCCACAGCTGCAAGTACACTCTCTAGTGCTGCATGTTGCTTGTAGACTGTAGTTCCTAGCACAGCCACCACTGCACTGTACTCTGCTGTACTGTGTCCAATGGTGGATCGATGGCCTGCTTTTCACAAGCAGAAGTACGTTTTCCTGACCTTGCGACTTTCAGGCATTATCCAAAAGGCAAAGTGCAGCGCAGTACTGTCAGCAGTACAATCATGACATCCTGATCACTGGGATGCAGCAGCAATGCTCCGCCAGGGAGCATTGCCATTAAATGAAAACCATGACAAACTGCTGCTGCTGCGGCTGGTACGTGGTGGTGGTGGTATGTGAACTACTTTGCAGGCCTCTCACTGTGCTGGCTGCACACAGGAAGGAAGAGCTGCTTGATTTCGATCAGCACAGGACATGGCAGGTTTCCGCCTCCTGTACCAGCTCACTGGCTCTGCTATGCAATGTGGAAGGACTAATTACAAGGTACCCTGCACTAAAAGCACTTGATTTTCCACTTCCAAGCTTTTGACTGCGCTAGACTTTAGTTTTGTTGTGTTATAGTGATAGGGGAGCCTCATCGGTATGATTTTCAGACATAACACAATACAATTCTCAATGACATACCTATGCAAGTGCATTGTAGTTTTAGTCTAGGGTATGGGAACAATGACAAGATACTACATGATTGTACATGTACTGCTGTCTTATTTGAATAGCTAAGTTATTAGCCGGCTGCTGCGAATACCCAACAACTCGCGCACTCGCCGATGATCAATGACAGCTTCTTTTGTCGTTTTCTACGCAGGGGATACATCCGCCCATCGTCTCTCCCTTCATCTACATGTCCGTGCGTAAGATTCGCACTGATTGCTACTACTGACAGTCTGTACTAGGTTGCCAAGTCATAGCAGAGGCTCTGCGCTTGACCGCGTTCCAGCTTGCCCTGACCACGATACTGCGATAAGAGAGTGACACTGGGCTGCGCACTCGAAATGGTCCGCGGGGGTGCCGTCAGCCACGCTTCCATTGCGGGAATGAAGAGGACGCGAAGAGGAACATTGGGCAGAGGCCTCAGCTGAGAGGGTACTAGGGTGCCGGGCGAAAATAGTTGTGAGTACTCTGTATTGTGTGACAGGTCTATGGCATTCACGTGGCGATGTACGTGTATCATCGTATCATGGTGAAACAAAATCGCCTCTAAGGTTACCTGTTTCTACGAATGGTATGGGGTTCGATGGCTCGATATGGATGCGAAGCGAAAACGTTCCCCTAGCCAAAGACGTCACAGTGAACGCAAGGCGAGCTGAAGCGAGTGCTGTGGAAAAGAAGAAGAGAAAGCTTCTAAACTGCGCTTCGTGATGGTATGCCTGCGCTGATACGTAACCAGGCTGTGATGGAGCCTGAACTGCGGCAGAAGCAGCAGCAGCAGCAGCAGCGGCAGTAGTATTCTAGTAAATAGACGTGCCGGTGAGTGGGATGAATACGGCCGGTTTTACTTCAGTCTCTCTCACTGTCACTCTTTGGACACCGACGCTAGACAGTGAGCACTTGAGCCAGTTTCGCCTTCAACCCATGTAATGCTGCAGCTAGCACCGCGGAAGCAGTAACACGCTGAGAGAGATACTGCACCCACAACACAACACGATTGCCAGAGACGAAACACAATAATGCGGTATAGAATGGAGAGGAGCGGTAGAATTTTGCAATGCTCCAAGCACAGTTATGCTCGGAATCCCACGGTATGCAACTGAAAATAGCTCAAACTGACTGTGCATTCAGGCATGGTCGCTTGACCAAGTCTCAAGTGCAACATAAAAAGACCCTTGCCAAACTCATCACAATGCATTTTTAGAATACTAATGGGAGCATCCAGCTGACTTCACTCATGCAGACCCGTGCACGAAATGAACGCACGCAGGCGGTCAGTATACCGCACGGATGATGATACGTACCGGAGTTTGAGAGGCGACTTGATCACAAGAAACAATCGCTAGCAGTGCTGCTATCACTAGCAGCGGTCGAGTACGCCCACTACATTTCGGGTTGCTGCTGGGATCGGAAACTAGCAATGAACACAAGAACTCCATCTTCTACGAGCTAAACAAAGACGACAACCGTCTGCTACTCCAACCACATCCAAACCGAAGACGAAATGAGCCTTCTTGCCAATCTTGGTCATGTGGAAGTCCTGACACATCTGATTCGGTGCGTCAGTTTGGTTGCGTTATGTATCGTGCGATCCACACTCAAGTAGACCATCTACGAGTGCAAGTGCCAAGCGCCGCATGTGACCGCACTCCTCATCAGGTCTACTCACCTCGCGATATCGGTATCACTCACTTACTGTAGTCTTTTGATACGGTGTCAGTTTTCGATCACCCGCTGCGCATGCGTTCTGCCCGATCTGCGAGTCGACCTTCGAACCCGATCGGCTGAGCCACAGCACACTGAGCACAGGCACAGCCTAGCCACAACCTCATACAGAGCCACGCACTGAACTGTGTGAATCACGAACTCAGTACTGATATGATGTCGTGTGATGATGTCGTGTGATGACTGATGAAGCAGCTGATTTGCGTGGTTTGCGTGGGGACGAGCCATATTTCGACCTGATCGCCGAATCACACGAAATACTTTGACATACCAAAAGTGGCCAGTGTAGATCTACTGTGTAGTCGGCTTTCGCCGTTGACGTTGTTGGCATTGTTGCTCTGACACTGACCCAACTACAGACTCAGTAATACCTACACTAAGGCTACAGTACAGTCGTGTGCTTGCAGCTTACTACATCATTACATGTAGTACATGCAGCAAGAATCGCACGGATTGTGGTCGACTTTGAATGTTTAGAATTAGATGTCAGGTGTGCCAATACTGCCGTATTCACCAAACAAAGAACTCAAAGAAGCGACACTACAAACAGTGACCCGGGCCATGGTGGCATCATTCTACATTCTAGTTAAAATTATCCCTTCCTCGAACGAGTCAAAGCGCAACGTTTATGCGATTCGTGGAACGCATCCTGTTGCCTTTAGGCAAATCGATATGGAAATCGTATCACTATCACTATCAGGGTACATGTATACACGGTATCATATCACGACTCCCTGCTCGGTTCGTACCTCTACGCCCCTGCAGTATTATCAACATGGCTGACAACATGGCTGACAACATGGCTGACATGCACAATGATGTACAACACTCAACAGTCATGTATGCAGTACTAGTATGTAGCCTCCAGGAGTTCTGATCCGTCCATACCGGCACATTTACGTATTACGCATGTACATAAATAGTCATTGTACTTCGAAGTACATAATGTCATTTGTATCGTTACAATTGCATGCACAATTGTACATAATTGCACAGGTACGTGTGCCACATTCAAACTACTACATGTACACGACTGTGTACAATAAACGCGTAGTAGCTGTAGGAAAGTGATGACGATGGGTGGACGGGAGACGTCGAGAATCGGCGGAGGCTGTCGCATGCCTCATAGAAAACTCTCTCGAGGCGATGCCGTGAGTGATTTCACTGATGTCGGCATCTCTGTGTTTGTCAAGGTAGAATTAGGAATACACGAATGCTCCTGATCGCCATCCTACCCGAATGACATCTAGACTATAGACTACTTGTTAGTAGACCTACACTACTACAGTTATGAGCGTAGTAGTAACTGTCCCCTGAGTCTGACTCAGCTGACTGTGACGAACTGGAGACTGATCTTGTTCGCCAGCTCCTCATCTACAAGTACATGTACGTTGTACACCTTCTGCTGCTTCTCCTCCTCCGCCACACTTACCCACCACATGTCCTCCACCGCTTCCTACATCTCCTCCTCCTTACCCACCACACTTCCTCCACCACTTTCTACATCTCCTCCACCACATTTCCTCTACCACCCGTCAGTCTTACCGTCCAGGAGCGACACTGACTCACGCTGCTATCTGGTGTCCACGAGCTGTTTGTCGCGCTGGAAATGGAGCGTCTCTGTAAGTTTGTATCCCTGGTGATGTTTGTTCCTGGAGAGCGCTATATAAGTGGTGCTCTTCGGGCATAATTTTCCTCGGCCTACTCAAGCTCAACTGATGAGGGGTGAATTCCCCGAAACACTGTGTATTGAGCAGGGAGTGGTGCTTTCTCGCAGGTTCGCCGGGTCGAAGGTTCCATGGACTTCTCGTGTGCTCTGGATGACAGTCGAGTCGCGAGTCTGTCAAGATGAAGTGTCAAGCCAGCGGAAAAGCGTGAGCTCCAGTGTGGGGAGCAAACCCTTTCCTTAAAAATCATCGCCAAAGTCGCTACCACCATTTCGTGAAGTAGGACTCCGGTATGATATCAGTTCTGTAAGCAAAGTATAACATCAGTGATTGGTGATTGGGAGTGTCTCCGAGGATACATCTGGTGACTCGAGCCCACTCCTTCCGATTACTTGCCATCCTCCTTAGCCTCCCCAAGTCCCCGTCCCCAGAGTTCCGCAATCACTGCACAGTCTTGTCGAGGTCCCTGTGCAGTGGACTGATCAGGGATGGAGGGCGGGAGCACATAAATGTAAATAGTTTAATGCCAGAAGGGAGTACGCATACTGATATCTGTTCCTAGAGAGAGAGAGTCAGTGGCCCGAAGCCAATGGCTACGGCGAAGATAGTGGTGCACATTTTCCTTAAAAGCTCGGAGGCTCTTGAGGGTTGGGGGTTTGGTGAATAAGAGAAGCCGGGAGCGTGTTCGAGGAGTCAATGATGTTGAGCGGAAATGTGCGCTCAAGGGAATTGGGAGCAGTTGAGGGGAGAGTGTTAGCGAATTGATATGGGTGACCAGCGTTTTTCTGACATTGCCTTCGAGTTACGGGCTCAGCAAGGGTATCGAGACGAGGAGGAACCATTGATATGAGTAGAGGGGACCAGGCAGGCACAGCAACTTATACAGGAATGACAATGTTGCCAATGTCCGCCTTGCCTCGAGGCTCTGCAGCAGCACGTTGGGCGCCAGGATGTGCAGCGCCCGTCGCTGAACGCGCCTTAGGTGCTGGAGGTTGGTGGGAGCAGCTCCCATCCAGACAAGGGGAGCGTACTCTAGAAGTGGTCTTACCAAGCTACGGTACACGACAAGCTTGCCAGGACCGTCCCGTCCCGGACTCGAGCTGCCTTGCACACCAGTCCAATGCGTGAGTTCGCCCGGGCGGCAACTGTCCGGAGGCGGGCGCCAAAGCTGAGCATGGAGTCAAGCGTAACTCCCAGGAGCTTCAGTTGTTGCTGCTGGGGGATGACTTCACCACCAAACGTTAGAGCAGGCATGAGCCAAGGCTGCCGATGGCTGGAGATGTGGAGAAGGGGAGATTTGGAAGGCACCTGTTCTGGACCAACAGTCATATCATGAAGTGGTTTGCTTCGTGCAAGCGAGACTCACACTTCTTGAGATAATGTTCGCAACTGCATCGTCGTATGTTCGTAACATCATTCCATTCCATTTCTTGCATAATATTTTCTTCATGTAGTCAGCCGCACACATGTAAGAAGGCATAGTTGCCTGTTTGTGTTGCGACTAAAAGAACAACAACAGTCAACAGTTGCCTGAAGATCATGAAAAGGGTGATACTCTAAGGAGCTTTATTTATCTCCACTGTGTATTCGTGAAATGCTTAGACATTATTAATTTTTATAAGACCGATGCAGATCGTCCTTGTTACTTGCATAGCATTCGTTTCGCCAGGGCAGGGATGTGCACCAATAATGTACTTCGAAGTACTACAATGTACAATGTACATGTACATGACTGTGTATGTTGCCAACTAATACTTGCCGGTCGTTTCACCACACCCAAAGCCTTGATCATGACTCCAGTGAGTTGATAGAACAGTGGAAGGCGTCATGTTGCCTTTCGTGTCCATCATGACGGTGTCACCTGCGTTACCTGCATACTATAATTATGATAGCGATAATTCGCGGGATTCGCGTTGGCATCGCTTGAATGTTCAGAAACACACAAACTAGCCTTCGCTTCCGCAGGCCACCACTATGCCTATGCCTTGCACACCTGAGTGGCGAATGCAGACCTCACAAGTGAGTCAGGGGAGAGTAGGTGAGTCTCTCAACCAATCGGGCGTGTAACGGCCCGTAAGGCATAACCCTGTAAACTGCATCCTTGTTACCCTCACTCCGAGCTGTGAGTACCCAGTTGACCGTGGGCATGGCTTTTGATCCAGAATGAGAACATTGTATATGTATCTTCTGGACGAGCAGATAAGCCATGATCCTTTGAGCATTGCTTCAGTTGCCCTGTCTCTACTTTTATCAAACGTCCGCTCGAAAGAGGCACGCACGAGTGATTGTCAATGAATCAGCATCACACTCACTTCATTATTTACAACAATAAATAATTGATGCCATGTTGGAATGAGGATACCGATCATCCCGCGGCCCGTCCGATACGATGTAGCATTGGCATGGCAGACGCGCGCGGTATATCTAGAGGAGTAGAGCGTCAAGACCGACAGCAGGGAGTAAAATATACTACTATTACTAGTACTAGTAGTAGAATGACTATGTACATGTACATGTACATGTAAGGCAAGCAGAGGAGGTCACAGCGTCTTTCCCTGTTTCGAAATGGAGATAGACGTTTGGCTGACACTCCACACTGGGGCCGCCGCGAGGTGAGCGGAAATGTCGTCACATCGAAATTGGGAGTTGTTCATCATGCCCGTCAATTGCTGGCCGCTGTCTTTATCTTTGTAGTGCTCGTTCATGTCGCGAATACTCTCAGGCTACAATGATACTGCCATTCTTGCTGTACCTCGTTCGTTCGCACAACACCACACTGAGCTGAGTTCAGAGAAGACAGAGACACTCTACTCTCCAGTTCGTGCTCAGCTGCAACGTTATCGTCGTCTCGCCGGGCAAGGAATGCGGCAGGTAGCTGATCGGTGCTCTGCAAATCGTGTGAATGCTGCGTGTGTCACGCCACTGGCACTGTGCAGCTAAACCTGTCGTAAAAGCTGACCGCTCAAGGGACCTTACACAGTCATGTAGACTTATAGTCCACGTGTACAGGTGGTCTCCATATCCAGGGTCATTTGGCTGGGAATGACATCCCTGCCTGGCCTTGGTCCGGCCTGGTTGTAGTGGTCCTGTTGGGCAGGTGGTCGCCCTAACAGGGAGGTCGAATTGAGAGGTTTTACTATACAATCATGTACATGTACATACATGTGCCTGACTTGTACTACAAATACAAATCAGGGAGTAGTAAAATACCGATATTATACATGTACCTGTAATTACTCCCTGTATGTACATGTACATTACAGTGATTCATGCATTTCGACAAATGGGAATTGCTTACAGCTAAACGTACATGTACATTGTCGTGGTATTTGACTCCTGGAATATTACGGGTTTCTTCTTTTCAATAGTCTATCCAGTGCTCATCAAAATCCAATGGCCGTCACGGGGTTCTCTCTCTCTCTCTCTCTCTCTCTCTCTCTCTCTCTCTCTCTCTCTCTCTCCTCTCTCTCTCTCTCTCTCTCTCTCTCTCTCTCTCTCTCTCTCTCTCTCTCTCTCTCTCTCTCTCTCTCTCTCTCTCTCTCTCTCTCTCTCTCTCTCTCTCTCTCTCTCTCTCTCTCTCTCTCTCTCTCTCTCTCTCTCTCTCTCTCTCTCTCTCTCTCTCTCTCCTCTCTCTCTCTCTCTCTCTCTCCTCTCTCTCTCTCTCTCCCTCCTCCTCTCCTCCTCCTCCTCCTCCTCCTCCTCC